GTGAAATAACACATAATGATAGAGTTCATATTTAATTTTAAAGCAGCATGCCTCTAGATTCATGCTAATTTCTATTTATAAAAAAAATTTAAAACTGTATTTCAAACTAAAATACTGTGAAGTGAACAAAGAAAATAATTTACACAATGCGAAAAGCATTTGCAATCCACATAAAATTACCAAAAAGACGTTATAAAAGCAAAAGTAGCCTGTGTTAGTGACACAGCAGAAACATGGTAATAAATAATGCAAAATCAAATCTTAATCACACTAACAATTGTAAATTACCACTTGAACCTTGAATCTTTTTACTTTATTTAAAATCTAAGTACATTTTTCTCAAGTTTGATTTTTTAAAAATATTTTGGCTCATCTGGTGCACCTTTAAAATACATAAAAGTACCATACAAAATAAACAAATCTTGATTATATATACAATATTCCCTTATTTATATAAAATATTTCCTTTATTATTAGATAAAATATTATAAGCTCACAATTCTGAAAGCCTAATTATCTGCATATAAATATTATGTAAGATGTTGATTGCTTTCACATGACTACTTGAGTACTTCACATGATGAGAAGTAAAAAATGAAATAAACATTTCATAATTCAGTCTGTACATACATGTAATGACCCAGACTGCCTAGTTGACAGCAGTTTTATTTTGCCTTACTCAAGTGTGTGTTGAAGGAGGATACAAATGATACAAATGGCATTGACCACACAATTACATAATCTGTGAATTTATACTGATCTTGAAAAAAAGTTTTAACTTAGTTGCGTTCCAAGCAAATGTTTAATTTTTAACATTCTAAACTTAATAATAAGTGAAACTATACAAACATTTGCAAAAACATGTTTATATCAAGTGTATGATATACTCAGGTCTGTTCATTATATAGTCTAATTAACCTGCAGAAGCAATTTAAGCATAAGGACATCCTTAAAAAAATGTTTGTTTGCAGTAACCCGACCCAGAATTTTCAAGGTGGGTAGGTAGGTCGATTTTTTTTTTATTGAACTATACTCCCAAATAAACATGGAATTTCAAAATGCTGGACAATATATGCTTTGATAATCTGGTAACAATTAATAAATTGATAACTGAATTCTAATTTAATAAGACCTACATTTCATTTCTTCTATTAACCTTTAAAAGAACAAAACAAAGCACAAGGCATAACTTTCTGATTGAAAAAATTTTTTTTTTATCCAGACCATGAAAAAAAATTTTGAATAGGGGCAAAATTTTGTGAGTCGGTCGCGTTACTGCAAACAAACATTTTTTAAGGATGGCCTAATATTTGGGGAAAAAACTTACATAGAGATATAAATAATTTATTAACACTTAAACAGACCTGAGTGTGTCGAACCTCTTTCGGTTATATGCTTGATAAGACCACATGGTCCAAAGCAAGATAACATAATTATAGTACAAGTAGACTCATTCTGTAATTATAGTATTGAACTATATGAAAATAGACAAAAGGTCTAAAAGACCCAGTGTTTCCCCTGCTCTGCATTTCTTGCGTTTTTTTAATTTTAAATATGAAGCATTGAAAAATGCAAAGTGTGTTTTCTATGACGCAGTCATAATCTGCCTTACTTGTATTTATATGCATTTTCATTAAGTTATTTCTTCTATTATTAGTGCCATCCCTTAAAATCGGCAATTATTTTGAGTATATGAAATGGTCATCTGAAATTTATTTATTTCCGGTAACTGCGGGTATGTATAAATTGCTAACCTATTCTGTGTCATTATCGGCAAAACATTAATAGTTCTACAAACAGTCACGGTATCCGGGATTTAGACATGTAAGATATGAGTAAACAAGAGATTTGTGCATGCAGACGCTTTTCTCACAATGGCAAGCACACCACGAAAGAAAGGGGTCTTAGTCAGTGACATAGATACATTTCTGCTTTAGTGGCCAAAATATCAAAGTTTCTGCAATAAATAGACGTCTGACAGGTTAAATGTTTTAATGCAAAAAAGCCTTGGTTTTTCCTTAAAGATTTTTGTTTGCAACGAAATTTAAGTTAACATGTGAAATCAAACAATTCTGAGATTTGCTTTTTTAGCTTTTACTCTTATTAAATTTGATCCTTAATAATTTCAAAAGACCTCCATATTTATATATACTTAGGGTCACAAATGACCCCCCAAAAATCTAGTCTGGCAGAAACACTGGGTCTAATAGATCATTACTGCAACAAATTGTCAGGGATCTGCACAATTTGTTACTTATATGTTTGTCACCCTTTATTACTCTCATTTTCACCATAGTTTTGAATCTATTTGGTTGAGACGTAAAAGACAGACAACTACCAGAATATGTAATATCAGTTTGGAATATTGATTGGTCTTGAAATTGTCACAGGGAGAAATAATATGTGCAGCCTGACTGGGACTCAAACCCGGGACCGTCAGAAAACCAATCAGCAGCTCTACCTACAGTGTAAGAAATTCGAATTTGAACTGACTAGGCTGGTCGGACTACCAGATTGGAATATTCACTAGCCCAAAAGACATTCCACTAGCACGATTCATTTGTTCAAAGCAGTTGTTTATATTGCCTCTGAAAATACAGTAGCCTGGTCGGGCTTGTTACTATAAAAAGTTGGTAGCCGGAGGAGTATTTTAGTAGTCAGGGGTTATTGGACTACTGCTAATTTCAAACACTGTACAGGTCTACTAAGCTATCCTGCCAACTACACATCTTCTCCCCTAAATAGTGAACAGTTTTGAACCGTGACATACCTTCTTTCTATATATTACAGAGCAATGCTAATTTTACTCTGAGCTATATTCAATCACGGCCCCACGTTGGGTGCAATAATGTCACAGGTGAAAAATATGTGCAGCCCGACAGGGACTTGAACCTGGGACCCTCCAAAAAACATTCCACGACTCAATAGACTGAGCTATTCAGCCACTTACACATTCCCTATACACTTAACGACATAGTGAACAATATTTTACCTTGACACAATTATTGAGAGTCAGACTAACACATCAGAGGCCTGAGAAGGGGATTGCTTTGTAGTCTCAATATTGCGACGGCAAGACATATCAATTGTACAAACTGATATTACACAGATGTCAGTATTTTTGGCAACCATCGTCTATAAAATCCCTTAAGAGCACAATTTTTGGGCGACTCGCTTTGTGGAATTATGGTAATTCTTATGTAAAATTTATATTTGTTTAAACATTGGGGTCTCCCTAATTACCGACAAGAACCGTCAGGAACCGACAAGAGCCTATATATTACAAATAAACAAATACAAATGTGTTTTTATGATTGTTAAACATGCAGGGCATAATTATATATTTTTTATATTTGATAAGGTTTTTCTTGTATTTTTATAGAAAATTAAATATATGCATACCGACAAGAAAAATTCGAGTGCAACGCGTACTGTTACTGTTACGTTGACACCGAAAAGAAAGATTTGTTATTTCCAATATAATATAAATAATATAATCAGTTGCAAAAGTTGTGGTCAGAATATCTTATAAACATGTTTCAACCTTATCTGTAGTCATAAAATAGTTTTTCATGACATTGCATGAATGTATATGCAACCGACAAGAAAAAAACAGGGATCATGCGTAATGAAGATTTAGCGACAAGAAATTGAGAACGAGCTGTAGTGTAGATGTAGAACATGTATATAATCTTTTTTTTTGTAATTAAATAACTTTTAAGACTTTAAACTTTCATATTTTAATGCATATAAGAAAAAATATTTGTGTTTAAATTCCATTTAGTTTTAAAATATATTTTAACAAATCGACTACCGACAAGAAAAAAACAGGGATCATGCGTAATGAAGATTTACCGACAAGAAATTGAGAACGAGCTGTAGTGTAGATGTAGAACATGTATATAATCTTTTTTTTTGTAATTAAATAACTTTTAAGACTTTAAACTTTCATATTTTAATGCATATAAGAAAAAATATTTGTGTTTAAATTCCATTTAGTTTTAAAATATATTTTAACAAATCGACTACCAACAAGAAAAAAACAGGGATCATGCGTAATGAAGATTTAGCGACAAGAAATTGAGAACGAGCTGTAGTGTAGATGTAGAACATGTATATAATCTTTTTTTTTGTAATTAAATAACTTTTAAGACTTTAAACTTTCATATTTTAATGCATATAAGAAAAAATATTTGTGTTTATTCCATTTAGTTTTAAAATATATTTACAACTATAACTGATCACTTTCATTAAATATGTTATATCTTGCCTATACATAATGTCTCTTTAAAGAAAACATGATCATGAAGCATGATAATATTTCTTGTCGGTACTGTAGGCATGAAAACATTTCTTGTCGGTAGACATGAACACATTTCTTGTCGGTACAGAAATAAATGCCTAAATGCAGGATATTTTGTAATCAATGACAACGAAATGTTTTAAAATTATTTATTGAATAGATAGGCTGACAATAAATTATTTGAACACATTTAAAAACCTACGCCATTGATAGCAATAATGAAACTTTCTTGTCGGTATCCGCGAATATTCTCATATCATCCATTAATGATGATATTCTTAATTGAATTAGAAAACATTTAACATAATAATTATTATTTATAAAACAACATAATCTTAATAAAAATAATTATGATTTAACACTTATACACAAATTCTTAATGTAATATCAATGATACAAAGATGGCCGAGTTCTTGACGGTGAGAAACTGAGACTGACTTCTTGTCGGTATAGATATTTGCCTATAAACATGGTTCACAACGAATTTATTATGTTTTTAATGTAAAAAATATTAGGAATTTTTATTTTTAAATGATGAATAAGTGAAATTAATTCGTATTTTCCTATTTTTACTTCTTGTCGGTTCCTGACGGTTCTTGTCGGTAATTAGGGAGACCGAAACATTGATATGGTTGCAGAAATATGAAATAAATTTCCTAAAATTACCTGACAACTAATGAACTATAGATCTACTCACCAAAGTTTGAGATGCGAACAGGAAACAGATAAAAATTAAAACTGAAAAATCCATGTTAACAATGAATTTATCCATTCAATAAACAAATAAACGTATTTCAATTTCCTTAAATAATTAATTGCTCATAATATAAGTTATTGTTGTAATTAAATAACTATGACAATAGAGTGGTCCTTCAGCAATCATGAAAATGATTCAACTTTGTACAGAGTCCACTGTTTTCAACACATCTAAGTCATCGGACGATTATGAAATCAAGTAAACAAACATGGCGTGCGCCTTGTGACACCGATCAATCGTACGATTTTCGGGCGCATTCGTTTTTTTATAAGCTGGTTCACAATCTATAATGTTGGTTTACCCTGGACCAGAGGAGACTTTCTATCCCTGGTTAACCTAGATAACTAATTGATATTACCAGCAAAAAAACACTTGCTCTACTGTCAATTTGGTTTTTGTATTTTTTAGTTTTAAAGACAATATTAAAAAGTGGCTTTTTTTTTCTTTCACTGACCTCCCTTAACTACAACTATGCATACAACGGTTACTTCCCTTAAGGCCTCAACAGACGGTAGGATTTAGCTGTACAGCACTAATTAGAGATAATTTAAGATGTACAATTTTCAAAGCTATACAACACTTGCATTCAGACGGTAATTCTATACTGTAAGAATCTTCTGAGGTTTCCCCTAAAAAGGATCCCTTTACATTGGTCCTTTACATACTTTACTCACTTAATACTTTTTTTCGCCATGAGTAATGATTGAAACACCTCCATTAAAAAAAAATATATATATTTTTTTAATGTGAAGCCTGACCGAGACTCAAACCTGGGACCCTCGGAATACCGTACTGCGGCTCTACTGACTAAGCTATGTGGCCGCCTACAAACTACCTCCCCTCCCCAAATTCATGTTATTAGAGAACAACTCAATACCGTGACATAATCATTTTCGGAATAATTTGGGATTCGAACACAACACAACTTTGGGTCTCCTGAAGAGTTTTTCAACATCATTTTTACCCCATCTTACTACTATGTTTACCTTTTAGCCCTAATTGTTCTGGAATTTCATTCATTACATCCATTATCAGGAGATAATTTGCTTATCTGTTACTTGTCATTGTGGGAGGTCTGTAAAAACCGGTACGACAAGATTTTCAAAATAGAACATGTCCTATCCCTTACATCTCGACATAAGGTTTCCGAAATCAAGAAATAGTAGCCTTCACACATTAAGATTTGTCTGTACATCTTAGTTTTAATTGGTGTTGTACTTCAAAATCCTACCGTCTGTTGAGGCCTTTACTGTACACTAACCAAAAAAAGCTAAATGATAATTTGAGACCTTTAAAAATGGTGTTCAAGTCAAATCTGAGGGATAGTATACAAAATATATCATATCTTAGGTGAAATTCATATTCACAAATTTTAATTTGGGGACAAATTACCCGTGCATGAGAGGAGAGCAGTCTGGTATGAGAGTAAAAAAGTGATTGCACTATAAAAAAAAACGTTACTCATTGGCCATATACCGGAGCCATTTTTTGCATCTATTGTATTTTGGCAATTTGTACAGTTATAATTATTTAGCGTTTTTTGTTTTGTTGTTGTTGTTTTAATATGATACTATACTTTGTCGGTTGTACATTTTGCTACCTTATCATATATATATATTTTCATATTCAGTGCTATTTTCTTCAGGTGATAAGCATCTTACATTCTACAAAAAGATGCTCAAACAATTATAATTATGTACTTTTGATATGGATTGGAGTGGCAGTTGATATAACTATAGGGGACAAATTACCTGTGCATGAGATTTTCAAACACTATTAATGTGACTTTTTTTATACGCGAGCACACGCACATGTTTATGTTGAGACATGCACAGAATTGTTGTTGCTGACTGTTGCTATTGTTGTTGTATATATATTTTTTCAGATACCCAGTATATGTGTCCCAAACTTTTGTAAGTCACTTTATACAATCAATACAAATAATTCAAGGAAGTTCAGTTAAATGATTTTCTTAAAGGCACGTTATATGCCACTGAAATATATTTTTTACTCTTAAGAAATGCCAAGCATGTGTTTATAATGCTTTATAATGTTGACCTGAACGTGAAGCAATTAATGTGTCCTAAATGAAGCATATATGTAGGCCTAAACAAAGTATAAGTTTGACTTCCATACAAAATACTATAATTATATCAACTGCCAACAGAGCAAAAGGAGCAAAAGACAGTTCATCACTATGACAAATGAGTATTTTTTTGAAAACTGTAACAAGATATCAAAAATTAAAAAGTTTTTGAAAGAAAAAATGATAGCATTTTTGAGGCAGTATCACTGGGTCCTGATGCGAGTAACGAAAAATGTTCTACAAAATGTACAACGAAAGCATGTGAAGGTTGCGCTACATTTCTAGGGGAGGTGCTCGTGTCCTGATTTTTTAGATGCGTTGCTTATGTTTTCAAGGTTTCTGGATTGTTCTAAGAGCAACCTTTGTGTTATAAGTGCTATAATTGTAAAAATCTATTGTTACCGTCTTGTTTGTCTTATTAATTCAATGTTCGTTTAACAGTCATATTTGATTTTTAATATTTTAATTATAGTATAAGTAACATATTCGACGTAATCGACGATGAAATTCTGTGTTAATGTTCCTTGATGTTGGAAATATGTAAAGATACTAATAATATACCACGTTTTATTAAATTTCTATGCTAGAAAAACTAAATAATTTTTTTTATCGCCAATAAAAATGAGTAGGTTTATCACAGAGTACGTGTATGTTGCTCAACGAAAACAGTTTTCATGAGGACGTAATTCAACGAAAACATTTCGTATTTCAGGAGCCTGGCCATGCAATCTGCTCTCATTAAGTGTTAAATCATTAATTTCTATGTCTCATACATTGACATTCCTAAACCTGAGACAAAGAAGCCCAAAAGAAAACAAGGGCCAAAATACCAGACTACAGAATGTCATCACGAGGCATCCAGCATGTAAGACAGTTTCACAAAACAGGTTCTTCCCCACATACGACACATTATATACGACATGGGCTTAATTATGAACAGTGGTTAGAAAAATAATTTGTAAACATGTAAATGCTTCAAAGTTGTATAAAAGTATTAGTTAAACAAATTCCTTATCTGATGTACAGAAGAATATAGAATGATCCATGAGTGTAATATAGGGCAAGGAGCTAGTCGAAGAGATTATATTTGTCAGTCAGGCTATATATTGTCTTGTTTATCCTGTCAACAACTTGTATAACTGATTTTTATTAATATAGTGAATGTTGACATGATTTTCCTTAGTAAAATCCTTAAATTTTCTATATGTTCAACAGATTGAGATGATTAAAACATGCCCAAGAAAATTAGCTTGAAAACACTTTTAAAAGTGTCCAATCCTCTATAGATATATTATTTCAAGCCGTTCTGAAAGTTGCAGTCTGTGCTAAACATGCTCGACCTTACAGATTTTGTTTTCGTTTAGGAACATGCACAAAAAATACTCAAATCGACGCGTTTCTTTATTCATAAAACGCAGGTGATCTTTAAATAAAAACTATACAAGTACGATTTTCTGGATTAAATAATTCAAGCAATAACGCATATGTAATTTAATCAAATTAGATAAAAAATCAATTTGAACACAGTTCTTCTCCCAAAATTAGAGAAAAAATGTCATTTTACATATACACTCATTCAAAATCTTATTAACCTCAAAATATCTTTCAGTTACTTTTAACAATAAAAACTTTTCAGCCTTGATTGCGCTTAATGTGTGTATTTAGCTGGAAGTTCCGGTCAGATAAAGTGTATTTCTGAATGCTCAAGGTTGCGAAATGAAAATATTATACCTATTTGAATTTTTTTCGTAACATTCTCGTGCTTTCCTTTTGGAACTATTGTCGTTTCTCGCGTCAGGACCCAGTGAATATGGACCTTTAATTGACCCATACCTCTCCATGTTTTAAGGTGGACGAAACATTTTTCGTGCTTAGGGAAAATATAAAAATGTAAACTGGCTGAAAATGAAACAGTGCAGACCATGATCAGTTGGCACGGTTTTATATGATATTTGAGCCAAAGTATGTCATTGTTTTTTAGCTAATGAGGACCTAAATGTACACGTATACAGTAACCTGAGGCAATATAAAAGGAGGAGGGGGATCACGCACCCCAGAATTGCTCGCCAATATGGTTCATTCCGGTGGCGAGGGTAAACAAACCAAACACACACACAAGCACCCCATTACACTTTTTCCCGTTGTCCCTGTCCCTGTTTGTAGGGTCACACTCAGGTATCGACAGCTGAGTCCTAGATTGCGATAGAAGCTTAAATTCACAACGACGAAGGGGTAGTTTGGTCTTCAGAACCTACCCTATATGAACAACAACAGCGCTCAGATTTTAACTAGTCACGTGTCATTTGTGGTGCATCAGCCAAGCTCAAAATCTTCTGTCCATGCCCCGTGCCTTCTCTATGACGTTTACATACCGAGGGAATAGAGAAGTCGGTGCTAGAGGGCGTGGAAAGTAGCTTTAACTTTCCAGCACAGTCCATTAACATTCAATCAAACCGAACCTGCAACTTTTTCATTTTAGCCGTTTTGGACCTTCTTTAGGTATTCTATTTATCTCTATTTTATTCACGCCAATGTTAACCAAGACACATATGGATCAGAAAAAAATGATTCTGATTCTGTTTTCAGTGATTTATGAAACTAAAATTAATCGTATTATACTTTTGAATCTTTTACTTAGTCAAGGGCAAAAACTGAATAAATCCACAAGCAAATCCCATGCAGGTGCATAACTACACATGCTGACCAACATTCCTATACAAACTTTGACGCAAATACATGTTGAAAATTGTAAATTTATACTAAATAATTATCCTTGGTTCCAGTCTGTCGATTTTTTATGTGCTTCTGTTCGGCAAATCGATACGATCAAAACACGATCGAGTATGAAAATAGCGTTTATGTTATGAATAAGCAAGACATATTGATCAACGCCTGAATACCAGGCTAATAACTCCTAGAAAAACGAAAAATCCGCACGCAAAACCCCAGGTGCACAGCTTCACATGTTCATCAACATTGCTATAAAGTTTGTTGATTCTAGCACAAGCACTTTTAGAGGTACAAATGGCACAACATTTTGAACGGGTTTTACTAAGTCAAGGGCAATTACTCTACAAATTCTGAATAGATATACAAGTAAACCCTTAGCCTACGTGCACAACAACACATAACATTTCTGTAAAGTTCTAATGACTCTTGGTCACTTTTTTGGGTACGCACGGCACAAGTTGAAAATTGCAAGTTTTAACTTTGTCAAGGGCAAACACTCAAATACTTAATTAATCTACAAGCAAAACCCAAGTGCACAACTTCACATGCTGATAACATTTCTGTAATTTTTTTAACTCTAGCTTAAGCATTTTCAGAGCCACATATGATACAGCATGAGAACGTTAGCACGCACCAACGGACGGACAGACAAGGGCAAATATAAATGCCCCTACAGTGAGAGCTTATAAACTTCTGCAAATAAACAATTCTATTTTTTTTAGATAAAATTGTGGAATAGCAATACAAAAACATTGCACAAGAATAATCGGAATGAGGATCTATTTCAGAATCAAGATCAAAATTTGGAACACTTTTTAAGACACCGCATCTTAGAAATTAATGATAAAAATGTAATAGCTCATAAACATGCCATTTCAAGTTCAAACTAATATTGAATATTAAATACATGATGTTAAGCATTGGATGCTCCTTAAATCTAACTAGGTGTTCACTCATATCTGAAAAAGTTCACGAAGGGACACTTTAAGTCTTCCTCCACCAGAAAACAGGAAGTCGGTTTGACTGTGTCAGTTTGATTTATAACTTAGTAATAAACCAAGAAATCATCTTTCTAAAATGTCAGTTTAAAAAGCAAAAATTTGAAGGCATCTGCTTTTATAGCCAATACTAGTTGTACAGGTATTTTTTTGTGCATCAAAAACTGTGTTTTTAAATCTTTCGATATTGTAATTAACATGCGATAAAGAAATTTTATCATCGTACGATTTTAGTTTTCCTGTACGATACATGTAGAATGTATGATACAGAACAGGACGTAATTTTTAAGCTGCGTGTCCACATACTGTGTGATTAAAATAAAATATGTAAAAGGGACGTCCTTTGCTGAGTGGTTAAGCTCTTTGCCTTCAAGCCACTTGCCCCTGTGACAACGCTGTGGGTTTGAATCCCCCAGGGACTTTGGATTATGTCATGTGAGGAAGCTATCCGGCTAGCTTACGAAACGTTGGTGGTTTTACTCGGGTGTCGATTTCGAAAGTAACATTTAATGTATTTTAGTAATATCGGAAAAATGACGGTTTTAGGAAAGAGACATCTACGTTAAAAAAATCGTAACATTCAATCAAATTTGAGTTCTACAAACCTCTAAAAGGCTTTTTATCCCGAAACCAAGTGCCTATGTGCGTGCGTGACTATTCTCAAACAAGAGTCTAGATCATATAGAAATTTCTCTAAGTTTATAAAGGACCATAATACTGTCATAATTCTTGAAGAACTTATGGGCTTCGGCAAGCTTCGACTTGCCCAATGGACGGGTCCCCTTGAGGCGGATATTCCGAACCGAACCGCAACATATGACAGATATTATTATTGTTATTACGTCTGACACGGTTGAATAAGAAAATGTACGTAGATTGAGTGCTTTAAAGAAGACGTAATGCAGGGTTCGAGATATATAGGCAGTTATCAAGAAGACCGGTATGACCGACTGATAAACTTAAACACTATTGTGCTACAAAGCAAAAATATGTTTTCTTTTATTCTAACATGCTAAGATGAAGAGAATTGCTAGAATTCAAATATGTTAATTTGTATTTAATTAAAGGAACTCCACTGAAGTGATGAAGCCTATAACATAAATTTTATATTTCTTACGTAGATCAGCTGGTCATCAATACAAATAGATAATTATGCATAATATAATTAAGAAATATACTCAGAAATACCGTTGCAACGCTTTTCAATATTTGGTAATTTTTTTGAGAATAATTATTCTGGAAAAACGTATAGTGCGAATGATCTAAAATTTTGCACACATGTTATTGATCTAGACCTTATTATAAATCAAATGGAACATAAAGCCCGAAAAATATTTTTCAGTCAACCCGCAGTGATGTCCTTTTAAAGCTGCATGCCTCTAGATGACCCAAAATATTTCAAGAAAATTAAACTTGGAAAAACCATACTAAAACTTTGAGAAAAGTGAACAAATTAGAGATACAAGTGATAATTTATATCTTATGTGCAATTAATGACTGTATTTTGTAGTATTTATTTCCATATTTCTACTGCGGTACTAACGCAGTAGGGGCTATTTATGCATATTTTGACCTCTTTTTGGTAATTTACGTGGAATTTAAGTGCCGAGTTGTAATGTGTCATGTACTTTCTTTGTTCATTTCACAATATTTAACCTTTAAATACATTTTCAAAATTTTCATGAAAATTAGGATGAATCTGGAGGCGTGCTGCTTTAAGAGGAAAAGTATCTCAATCTCCCAGACAGTGATCTCCTCTTACAGGATGAGTGACCATAGAGTTCATTATAAATGTCCCTTGCTCTTACAATTTTATTTACTTGTTTTATTAACTCTTATTTATTTGATAAGAAGTACTGTTAAACCATTCCGGCTCCAGTAAATGTATCCATTGTATACAGATCAAAATATTCTTATACATGTACTTGTAGCTGGTTTTAAGAGGGCACAGAAAGTTCAGAAAATCGATTCATAATCAATTTAAAAAGGTAGAACGATAAAGATCTAAAACTTTATTGGAAATGCTCCATTGTCGGATGGATTAGAGGTTCTCCCGCAAGAGAAAAAAAATGAAAACTACATGTTGAATGTTCACAATCTCAGACTTATGGTTCGACCTGTACTTTCATCCTTTCAATGGTAATATATGTACGGTGACTATATCAATATATGAACATTTAAGTTACCCCAATCTACCTTAAACATGAAATTCAAAATTCAACCCATTACGTAAAATGTAACTTAATATTGATTATTCGCATAGAGAAATCATTATCCCGTGACTGACTCGAAGTTTATTTTACCCTTTCAAACACTGATTTTTATTTACTTTTTTAAATTTAGAAAAGCCAATTATCGTTTCGGGATTTTAAAGCTCATGTATTGAAAATGAGCAGACGACACATAGTTTAGGCATGACAAGAGTCTACTTGAACTGAAACATATATGACTACACGAAATGATAGCATCAATATAACTGGTATATTCAAGATGGAGACTAAACTGAAAACGCATTTCCTTAGCATTTATATATGCTTATTATGTTTCTTCTCTTCAGTTCAAACTACAAGTGATTCAAATACATCGATAGTACTTTTAAATGGAGTTATATACACAGTGGATACGGACACAAACTGGCATTTAAATCCAAAGGAAGCAATTGTGTTATATAATGAAAAGATAAAGTATGTCGGGTCGACTGATGAAGCGAAAAAGCTTATTATTCGCGGACAGAGTCATGTATATGACTTACAAGGCGCGATTATCCTCCCAGGCTTCCACGATGTTCACATGCATCCTTTAGAGGCCATGTCACCAATAGCAGGAGCGTGTATACTGCCAAACCTTACACCACCAGATCATCAAAAAGTTACAGACGCGTTAAATGAATGCAAAGATAAAACGGTTGTTGGAACAGACTGGGTTCTTGGTGCTGGACATTCCGTCACATCGTTATTAGAATATGTCAAAAAGGGTGGATCTCCAAAGCTTTTGTTGGACAAGTTTATAAAAGACCGACCAGCAGCAATGCTTGAGGAAACGTCGCATTCCGCATGGGTCAATTCAAAGGCTTTAGAATTGGCAAACATTACAAGCGAAACACTTGAGAAGTCCGGTGGAGTAATTATGAGGGAGCCAGAAAGCAATGAACCCAATGGTATTCTGTTTGAAAATGCAGCAATTGAAATATTTGCGCTTGCTACGAATTCATGTAAAGGAAATGATGACGAATTGATTTGCCAATTGAATAATGCAGGATTGTCGGATTCAATGTACGAATTGAATTCCTACGGTATTACTTCATTTTGTGACGCGAGGGTTTTCTGGAAGTTAGGACATGACTACTCATATGAGAACGGGTGTGAATATGAATATCTTACCGCAAGGGCTGTTCTAGGTCTGTGGGCGTATCCAAATGCAAATGACGCGGATCAAATCAGTAGTTTAAAAAAGCTTTACTCGAATCCGTCTTCAAACACAAAATGTTCGCTAAGGAAAACCCAAATCAAAGTTTATATGGATGGCATTGTGGAGAGTACAACAGCAGCTATGAAGGAAAAATATCTTGTTAATCTCTCTTTGCCCATTATAAGCAAAGAGAACATTGGAATGAACTATTTTGATAAAGGTCGTTTAGTAACATACCTTAAAGAGCTTCAAGAATTTGATAACGAAAACGAAGGATTCGATTTTCACATTCATGCGATAGGTGATCGTGGTATTAAAGATGCACTTGATGCTATTGAGGAAACTAAACAGTATCTTAAAGTGAGAAAACCGAGACATAGATTAACACATTTAGAAATTGTAGATCCGGTCGACATATCAAGATTTGTACAGCTTGAAGTAATTGCTGATTTTCAAGTTGCTGGAGACTTCACGCTTCCCTCAGAACATGAGACGCTTGCTGAGTTTGTAGGAGAAACAAAGGCTAACTTTTCTATCCCTGTTAAAGATGTACTTAAAACTGGTGCTACGACAACATTGAGTAGCGACTGGGATGTTAGCACTCTGAATCCCTTCGTCGGACTGCAACATGCCGCGCAAAGAGGCGATCAATCTGTAACCATAAAGGAAGCTATTGAAATGTATACTGTAAATCCAGCTTTTGTCATGAGACAGGAAGATAGGGTTGGGTTTTTGTCAGAGGGAATGGATGCAGACCTTACTGTCATCGATCAGGATATATTGAAAATAAATGTGGAAAAAATCAAAGATACTCAAGTCTTGCAAACTATTTTCATGGGTAAAAGTGTTTATGAACTAAAAGGAAACGGAAATTTTATAAGAAACATAACTTCAGAATGGTATGTTTCGTCGGCAACTGTAGCTTGGCCAAATGTTCTTCATATAATGGGATACCTCAGCTTTTATTTCATCATTATGATAACAAAAGAGTAACCTGGAAGTTCATTTATATCTCATAATATGCATGTATATATTTTGTTAGGTATAGCTTACCATCACAAATGCATTGATAGTGTATTGCTAGATTCACCAGACAAGAACAATTCTAAACTGATTGAACTGAAGTACCATTAACGAAACCAAAAACAAACTTACGGTACGGCCAGTAACCACATCTAATCCTTTAAAGGGAGATCACTGCAAGGTAGATTGAACAAAAACGTCTCAAGAATTTCTTGATATATGCATAAACGAGAGTCAACAAACAGAAAAAAAAACAAAATCATTTCAGCCTGTTCTAATATATGCTTCGTCGCATTCAGGACATGGAGATAGTTATATCTTTATTATATATTTAAAGTACAGGATGTGAAGGAATGTAATTTATTTTTATTTAACACATAAGAAAATAAACAAAACAAAATTGTTTCTATTCTTGAACGTATGCTTTGATTACATTAAGCTTTTCTTACTTAAAGTAAGATGTACACATTTTATGTACTGCGAGTATCATGGGGAAGGTGGAAATAACGAAGTTCTATGAATGCCAATATATAAGTCAATTTTGGCAGACTTTAAAAACTTTCATTAAAACAAAAAAAAGTTAATGTCCGTATATAGCAGATTATGAAATATTAAAAGAAGAAGTTCTTTTTTGGTTAACTGACCAGAAGAAAAATGGACAAGACTTAAAATTCATTTTTCTTTTTGCAAAATATATATATACATTTGCAGGTACAATAACCAAAGTTTCAATATGCAAACTGTTCATTTTTTTTATTCTAATGCAGAAAGGTACATTCAATACTCTTCTCGTAATTAAAATTATCTGAACATACAATTATTTTACAACGAAAACCAGAAAATTTACTGTCAACAATCTTAAAAAAGATGTACAAATGTATTAACATCGATCTAAAGTAATTGGAGAGGTGTCTTACAATTTGTCTTCTTATATTTTTTTTTCAAGGATAAGGTAATACATATATTGTTGGTGACACATCATGCGGAAAAGTCACCTGTATATTATTACATATTTTACATTTACAATGCTAATATGATATAGGTCGGACGTACACGATAACGTTTAAATTATTCGGTCATACTGTTACGAGATAATGGGTTGTGCAAGTCATTCTAATACTATATTTTGCATTTGTATTGCAATATTGAAGAAAAAAAATTGTGTATGCAAACATGCATCCGAGTAGCATAATTCATGATTGTAAACATAGAGTTCAAACTGTGCACATCTTAAGTGTGATTTTTATGGTGGCCGGTTGCGGCCATTTCGTGACCGCGACCATTTTTATATATTTTAAAGCGGGTAACTTACAAATCAGCGAGATTTTCTGCCGAAATCGTACAAAATATCGTAAGAAACGTATAAACCTCGATATTTTATAACATAACATTTTGATTTAGTGGGCGGTAACGTTCATGGTTTGACTCTCCATTTTATCCATTGTTTGTCTATAAAAAGTCGAGGAACAGAAAGAAATATTTTGCAAGTGTTGTAAAAATTCTACAAAAAGTCGAGGAAAAAAATAATGGGCCGCGATTTTTTTGTTCCTCATCAACGAATTTTCATAAAAAATCGCGGGTATAAAATGCTTAACGCTCAAACTCTATCCTTCAACAAAATAGCGCGGGCTATAATGGCTAGCTAAAGTAAGGATATCTTTGCTTGGATTAGTCTAAATGTCGCGATTTCCTTTGTAAAACTCGACCTTTTAGGACAGAAGTGTGACAGAGAAACTCGAGAGTTTCTATAAGCCCCGACATTGATACAATGTGGACATAAAATCTCGATGATTTAAAAGTTGCCATTTTACAAACTGACATTCAAATTCCTCACGGTTTTAAAATGGACGCTATCGGCCAACATAGGTTTTTAATTTAAGAATATATTGTTGAATCTATTTCTATAGTTTGTCACGTATGTTTTAATTTTCTCTTTTAAAACCCTGTAATTGAATTAATGTTTTGCACAATTTTAAAATGTTGATCCGATCAGACTTTTAGCGAATTTGCTCTTCCAGATATAAATGATGTGGCTGAACGGATGGAACTAAATTTCACACACAAAAGGCTGGCTATAAGTCAAAACAAATAAGCACTGCACGGCTTCTTGAAACGTTCTATGACTTAACATCGTCAAAATGATAAAACACAATGAAATTATGTTTACCACAGCTATGTATAATTAAAAAAACCCATTCGTTTTAAATCTTTCAAAAAGAGTCTATATAAATATGTGACAAAAAGCATTCAAAGAAACTTACTTCAAAGCTTATATTAGAAAGCTTTCAGTAAGTTTTGTTGAATTTGCCCGAGACGTGAATTTGCTATCGGTGGTTTTCGCGTGTAGTTTAAAGTCACCCCGGCAGAGCAATACACTTTTAAATGACTTGACACTTTCTTTTCTAAACCGGTCATCCCAAAAGCTGTATATTATAGGGTTTGCTGCATGATTGATCAGATAAATTCGCAACAGAAAATCATACAGTAAAGCTTCCCAATATGTCAGTTTTTCCCAAAACTTTTCGTCTAGAACATCCACCATAGAAATAATAATAAACGGGAGATAAGCTATTATAAACACAATAGTAATTGTCATCATCATAAGAGTTATCTTTCTTGTATTATTCTCGACGGTTTTCATATCTAGTTTCCGGGAGTACCGTATCATTGTGTCCTTTCGAACAAATTTATGTTCAGCGCACTTGATTTCTTTTCTTCTAGATTCTTTGGTTTTCGTAGACGTACCAGAACTCCGATTTACCATTTCCGCTTCCGCTTTAATGTCACGTGATTCATTTCTGCAGCAAAGGCGTGGATCTATCTTACGTTTAAAAGAAACTTCAATAATAGAGGAGCCACTTTTATATATGGTGTGGCATATTAAAGCGTACATTGATATAAGTAACATTATTAAGACTAGAAATACAAGAACAATTAAACCGAAATATCCGAATGCTACCCAAGAACTGTGGTATTTATCATCAATGAAACATTCTATCCCTGTCAAGTTGTCTACTCCGGTATTAACGGAACTATGACCATAAATAATTCCATTTGGAATGGACAAAAACATCGCCACACCAACCGCAATAGCACATGCTTTTCTGTCACCAAAATCAACTATTTGCTTTTTCAGAGGTCTGCAAATTTTAAGGTACCTGTCCAAGCCAACCACTAAAAGTATAAAAATAGAACTTTGAGTACAAGCTCCCATGAAATAACTGAAAGTCTTACATAATGGTTTGTATGTATAAGTCAATACGAGTGTCAAATCCAGCACGTGGTATGGTATGCCGAACAAGCAAACTGTTAAATCTGCGAGCGCCAAACTTAGAATATATACTCGGGCACTAGATTGTTTAAACTTCAGCTTGTAAATGAATAACACTAAAATATTCCCAATTATTCCTACGCACATAATCACCACGAGAATTATCGTTACTGGCAAATATTTTGTTATCTCAGTTTGATTTAGTTGCACGAGCGTCAAATTTACACTGTTCGTCACACCTTTCTCGTGCATATTTACTATCATCACTACAAGAACGACAACTCAACTCTGTTTTATTGTCAATCAAGAAAAGATATTAAGCAAACACTTTTCAAAGGAACGGCATTATTTTAGCCTTTTATCATAACATTCGTACTAACTTTGTCCTTTTTTTTAAAAAGATAAATCTAGGTTTAAACAATTTTTTTGAAATAATGTTTAATCCGAGGTACAGACCATGTTTAATGTTGCGGAACTTCTAATTGATAAAATACCCTATGTCTTAAAGGCCCATTATGTCCAAGAAATGTTTTATTTTTCAATTCTCAAAAAAAAAAAAAAAAAAAAAAAAAAAAAAAATATTTTAGAAAAACTCGCCAAATACCTGAATCATATATTGCTTTTTTTGCCTTTTGGCACAGTATTTGTGATTTTGTATGGTAGTCAATATACATGCATTTCTTTGTTTATATTTTGCTTCTTTTTATTGCAAACTTTTTCTCATTCAGGCATACTTTCTTCATGTGTTCAGCATCTAAAATTCCTTAAAACCATTATCTATATGCCATGTTTGACCTTTCTTAATAGGGAAACATTTGCACGTATTTGTTTCTGAACCATAGTGTGCCTTTAATATTGCATAAACTTTTTATATACAGTTTATATCACATCAATAGTATAACAAAACAACTGACAATAGATAGAAATACAATCATTAAATATTACCTATTAATTGGACTGAAAGACCTCAATGTTTAAAGACCCAAATGAAGATAATATGGGGATTATATTACAATATATTGATTGATATACAGCTATTCAACATTAATTTTTTAAGGTATACAGTTTTTCTGTTTAAATAACAATTGTATGTATTCACCACTGTAACAAACCGTCTTAAAGCTTATTGTCAAGGGTACTAGTAAAATCTTCATTACTCGCCTCAGTATACTTTTAATATGATGAAATGAATAACATAACAATGTGAAAATTGTGAATTCAACTAGAACAAATAAGTGCAGGATAATGGTCAAGGCGTTTTCCTAACACTACAGAGTATATAAATGTCTGTTTTCAATATATATATAATAAGATTTGCTGATAAGGTTGATATAAGAAAGGTATTAAGTGGTGATTAGGAATTTGGTTAAATCTACATTTTTTAAATTTCTTTAAAAAAACCCTACAAATACCGACATGTCTATAATAAAATGAGTTTCATATCGACTCACGTTCTTAACTTGATGTCTAAACAACCAAAATGAGTTTTATAGAAATAGTTTTAAAATCCGACTTCAAATAACAAAGTTATGGGCCGGACACGAATTCGGGACGTACGTACGAACGGACGGACAACCCGACGACTATATGCTCCTCCGAAATTTTTCGGGGAGCAAAATAAGCAAGCATCGTTTGGCAATATTGACACGAGCCTTATTAATTTTAGGGAGGTATTTCGTTAGTTCCTTAACAATAACTTATTATGCTTAATGCTCGATGGCCTCGTGGTAAGTAAGACGAAGATGTGGCCTAGTAGACACAATTTCGAAAATCTTGGACGAATCCTTTTTTATTATTTTTTTTATTTCATAATTTTGATAATTTCTCATTGCCATGTGTACGACTTAGAATTGTGATTTGCAGGGAAAACACATAATGGTCAAGTTTTGCAAAATATAAAAAAAATCATACAAAAAAAAAACCCCATAATTTAAATAATCACTTGATAGAACCTACCGACAAATAATTACCGATCATCGAATATGTGCAAAGTGACTATGAAAATATATATGTTTAATTATTGCATGAAACAATGCTGTAAAAGTGGTGTCTGCATAAAACAATTATTCTTATGTGCTATCGAAAAATGAAATCAATATTCCTGTCGTATTCCATGCGGTATGGTTAACATTTAATTGCCTTTGAGTGCGATAAACTATCAACACAAAGCTAGTTTATTAGTTTTCTCTACGGAATCCTCCTACCGTCATAACGTTTTTGAAACCTGTGCGACGGAAATCGACGGAATAGCTAGGTTACCACTATATATTTCAATAAATGTACGTGCCTCTTAAGCATAAATTTATTTTGTGATGTTCAACCTAAACTGAACTATTGAACGTTCTTGCCAGAAGTTTGACATAAAGGCCAAGTTTAACCCTTTACCAAGAAAAAAGAAAAATGTTTTGAAAAATCTATTTTTAATGTGTAAAATGTGAGTATACAGACCTTTATAATGAAAAATAACCTTGTAATTATTCATACAAAATTACTATGATTTGCACTTTATCAGCCGCCATACTTTTCCTAGCCATTTATAAGTTACCTGTATGTTTTACTAGTAATAGATTTTATAACAATAACATACAACGGAAGTCACATGATTCTTGCAAAAGAACGGGGGGGGGGGTGTTTATGACTAAATAAAATAATAAAATAGAATAGGTATCATGAGATATTTTAAAAGAGCCATTTCAAATATAATGCGTGATTTATTTATCATACAATAGCAACGCTTGACACTTAGAAAAAAATTAAAGTAGATTTATCCATAGGGATACACTATTAATTCATTTTATAAAAAATGTAATGTTGCTTTTTAAGATGTAAATAAATTTCTAATTTCGTTTCATTGAGCAACGTTATTACAAGTTTGAATTTTTAAGATAACTTAACAATAAATGTGGTCTTTAATTGTTCAATAACAGAATAAATTTGCTTTTATTTTTAGATTTTAAGGCTTTGTATAATATGTAACAAATATAGTCGCTGGTTTCTACCGGCGACTAATAATGTGAAAATTTCACAGTCAGTAGATGCTATGGAAAATCACTGATTGCTATTGAAAGTCACTGGTTATTATAAATGGTACTGGTTGCTAGGGACAGTCAGTGGTTGTTAGGGAAAGTCAGTGGTTGCTTTCTTTATCTTTTATTAAAAAAACTTCAAAAACAGTTGCATATAATATTTGTACAGTTAGTACTTTTTAACATGTCAAGTATGATATTATATAAGAATTAGAATTTAGAAAAAAAGAATTTATAACTGTAATAAACTATTATAACAATTTTATTCGCAATGAGTATCTTTTAACATGTTTTACAATATTTACAGTTTAATATAAAGCTTTTAATTAAATAAGAATTGTAATTCCTATGAACCAGGTATATGTTCATAATGTTAAGTTGGTGTCGAAAGATTCCATGAGTGTTTATAGTATTGGTGCGTTGGTTACGCATACTAAAGCCAATAATTGTAAAGATCAAATTAATTTGCAAAAAAAAAAAAGATTTCTGCACATTTTGAAAACTACAACCTAGTACAATATTTTTTAGAATAAAATTAATGTTACAAAGTTGCAAGAATTCTCTTCCAGACGCATCTAGTGATCGACAATTAATAACAAGAAATGTTCTGTGCTATCAGTACAATTGCATAAAACGCAGTTTGGATTATTTTTCAATTTGCTTTTGTGTCTGTGTTATATTATGGATGAGTTTATAACAGAACTGTTTAACTTTATAGCTATTTTCAATGCTTCACTTTATATGTTCCACGGAATGTCATATTCATATAAGATTTCTAATAAGCGATAAATGTATGTTTTTATTTTGCTTTACTGTTAGTATGTCATGAATTTCTTTGTTCGTATACATTTCGGATAGCTAGTTTGATTTAGTTCTGAGTTTTGAAAGTATAAAATGTTCACCAATCTCGCCATTTGCATCAATGATATCATGTATAAAAATTATGTCATTTATAAAAATACATAGATTTGTGTTTTATAAAATTTGTTCATTAACCCCAAATTATTTCTTTACGTATATCAAAGAAGTGTTTTGGCTGCTTCTTTTTAATATTTAATAAGTTATTTATAGAAATCAGGTAAAGCATAATAATCGTTTGGTCATCTTGAGACAATTTTCAAGTTCATGTAAAAAACAAGAACTAGTCGTGCGTAGAAAAAGGACTGCTTCAACCTTCCAATAGTCACCCATAGTCACCAGTGACTTTCCAGAGCAACCAGTGACTTCCATAGCAACCAGTCATTGTCCTTAGCAACAATTGACTTCCATAGCAATCATTGACTTTTCCTAGCAACCATTGATTTCCATAGCAACTATTGACTTTCCCTAGCAACCACCGACTTCCATAGCAAGCACTGACTTCCCAGTGCAACCACCGACTTCCATAGCAAGCACTAACTTCCCATTAAAATCAATGACTTCCATAGCAAACACTGTCTTCCTCTCGCATAGCAAGCAGTGACTTTCAATTGCCACCATGGACTTCTTTTGCCCCAAGTGACTTTCCATTACATCCAGTGACTTTCCATTGCAACCACTGACTTTTCCTAGCAACCATGGACTTCAGAACAATTACCTTCCAATAGCAACCAGGGACTTTCTATAGCAATCAGTAACTTATATAGCAAGCAGTGATTTTCCAAAGCAACAATTGACTTTCATAGCAACCATTGACTTTCCCTAGCAACTATTGACTTCCATAGCAAAAATTGACTTTTCAAAGCAATCTACGACTAGCAACCACTGACTCCCCAAAGCAACCAGTGTCCCGCATAGCAAGCAATCACTTTCAATGCCACCATAGGCTTCTTAAACACCCAGTGACTTTCCGAGATATCTATTGACCTCCCATAGTAACCATTGACATTTCCTAGCAACAATTGACTTTCCATAAAAATCATTACCTCCCATAGTTACCAATAAATTTCCATAGCAACCAGTGACTTTCAATTGCCACCATATACTTCTTTAGCTCGAAGTGACATTCCATGACATCCAGTGACTTTCTATAGAACCCTAGCAACCATTGACTTTCAATCAGAGGCATTGTTGCTATGGAAGTCATTGGTTGCTAAGGAAATTCACTGGTTGCTATGAAAAGCCAACTGGCTGTTGTGAAAAGTCTGCGGTCGCTGTGGTTGCTTTGGTATGTCACTGTCAAGGGGACCCTCAAAACTAGTAGAAAATCGCATTCGCAAAGGAATCGGATTGATGGTAACGAAGCATTGGCGGTGGGGGTGATGTGTTTTTACGTACATTTCCATATTAATAAGTATGAAACAACGAAAACGGGCCGCGCGCGCCAAGCTCTCATGCTCGAACCAGTGGGGCTAGAACTTTAAGACTTGCATTGCTGTCAAGGGGACCCTCCACACTAGTAGAAAATCGCATTCGCAAAGGAATCGGACTGATAGAATTTTACACATGTGCAGTGGCTGTTTCGCACTTCTTTTTTCACTTTTCTCCCGTATACATGTACCTTTTTAATTCTAGAGCAAATTTCTCAATCTATACTACGGGTTCTCTATTAGGAACACCATACCACAATTTCTCCCAATTATTTTAAAGACCTTTTTTACTGCAGAAACTTGATATGTAGCATGCACATGTATATTCATTTAAAAGCTTAGATATCTAATTTTTATTTCAGATCTGTGTCCTATTTAAAATTCGAAACTAATGCTCCAAAACTATACAAATGATTATAATATTAAAAGGGTGACAACTTTGCTACTAAGGTATAACAAAGGCAAGCTGGAGGATCGTGATTGAATTTGAACATTCACCAACTGATGAATAAAAAGGCGACTGTTAGAAGAAAGCAGGCAATAATCTCTAGAACATTTTTATATTTATGTTGTCCTTGTTCCAACTGCCCTCAGTATAAACTCGGATATTTAATTTCATTCTTCTCCTTTCTGTCTTGTATTTAATTTCTATTTAATTCTGAAAAACTCAGTTTTGTATTTTTGATTTTTAGTTTTTAGTTTGTTCATATGTTTGCTCTTCACTTCGACGAAATTCTAATAAACCGCATACTTTTTAAAAATATAAATTCAACAGTTCCCTAGAAAGCATGGACTTCCATAGCAACCATTGACTTTTCCTAACAACCACCGACTTCCATAGCAAGCACTGACTTCCAAGTACAACCAGTGTCTCGCATAGCAAGCAGTGACTTTCAATTGCCACCCACCATAGACTTCTTTAGCACCCAGCGACTTGCCGTGACATCGAGTGACTTTCCCTAGCAACCATGGACTTTTCATAAGAACCTTTACCTTCCCATAGCAACCAGTGACTTTCCATAGCAACTAGGGACTTTCTTAGCATACAGTGATTTTGCTTAGCAACAATGAACTTCAATAGCAACCACTGACTTTCCCCAGCAACCACTGACTTCCATAGCAACCACTGACTTCCCAGAGCAACCAGGGTCTCGCATAGCAAGCAGTGACTTTCAAATGCCACCATTTACTTTCCGTGACATCTAGTGACTTCCCATAGCAACCATTGACTTTCGCTAGCAACCATAAACTTTCCATAAGAACCATTACCTTCCCATAGCAACCAGCGACTTTCCATAGAAATAATTGACTTCTATAGCAACCATTTACTTCCCCTAACAACCAGTGTCTCGCAAAGCAAGCAGTGACTTTCACTTTTTGAACTCTTATCGAGTTCCTTTAAAATTTTACCAGTATCTTTGCCGCTGTTTAATAACATAATTGGCCAGCATCTTACTTAAACACTTACACATATAAATATCATGTTTAAGGTAAAATAAAACATTTCACTGTTTGTTCGAAAATAGCAGAGTTGTTACACATTCCATGTTCTCTCATGAACAAAGTCGATAAAACAAATTCTGCCATTTTCGTTTCTTTTTTTGATGGGATATCCCTTTTCTTTAAAATTTGAACAGGCCCGCAAATGTACATAAAGATATAATAAGAAACACTTGAAATTATAATGTTTTACTTCAGACTATGATTTTGTGAACACATACACAATCACTGTCAACATTAAAAATACAACAACAATAACAAAAAGAACGACTTTATGCATGTGCATGTATATACTATTTTGTGCAAATGATAAATGAAAACATAAAATCAATAGAAAAAAATACAATTTACATCTTGTATGCCATATATAATTGATAGTTTCTGAAAACAAGTAACAACTTCTTTACTCTAGTAAAAGCTTCTTAAATTAAGTAATCGTTTCTTAAAACTAGTTATGGTTTCTGAAATCTAGACTAGTGAACAATTTCAAAATACATGTATAGTAAGGATATAAAACTATTTATATTGCTTCTAAAATTTGGTAAAATCTTAAAAAAATCTAGAAATAGTTTCCTTAAACATGACATTATATCCAGTGAAAGTTTCTTAAATCTAGAGATAGTTTCTTTAATCCAGTGAAAGTTTCTTATCACAGGCGATAGATTGATAAATCTAGAGATAGTTTCTTATATTTATTAGTCTAAATGTATTATTCCTATACACATAATGAGCACTATGAGGGACAGAACAATCGACTGGTTGAGTTGCAATCCTCAGTAAAAATTGACAACATGGTTCAGTTGGAATCCTTAAAAAAAACACCTGTACAAACTTTACTGCAGTTTTTGGACTAAGTGACTCTTTACTGAAAAAAAATTGAATATTAAAAGGTCTCTTGTTCAGAAATAAGGGAAATCTTAATCATCAAACATTTTCCACCTTTTTTAAACAATATGAGAGATACATAATTAGTATCAGGTGTATAATTCCATAAATCTTGACTTTTTTGTAATACTTTTTTCTAAATCAAGATATTTCTTAAATATAGAGATAGCTTCTAGTGGATTTTTTTTTAATTCAGTGATAGTTTTGGAAACCTTGTCAATTACAAATGTAACCATTTTAGACTGATTCCTACACTAAACTGTCCTGTTTGAATTTACATATACTGACAGTTTAAATTTACACATGTCAGATGCATGTTTAGAAAATTACAGATTACACAATTCAAAATTTACAGTGCCTTGCAACCATTGGCTAATTTAAAATTAAAATAAGATTTTTTAACCAATCCGATCTGTCAATTTCAAGATTCGAATAAATTTCAACCAATCAAAATTTTAGATTTACCAATCACACTGATAATAAGTTTTCAGACTTTGTTTCAAACTTGATTTATCATCATATACATCTCCCAATGAACTGATAACAAATTTACAAAATTCATACATCAAAGGTAACAACAATTCCTGTACATATTTACAAAGATCCAAAATTATGTCCTGGTTTTATTTTACAAAGCAGCAAGTTGGAAACGATGACTTTGACATAGAAATGCTCAATATACTTGGTGTCTGGGTTTAAGTGTGGTTTAAGTGTCTACTGTCCAAACGAAAAGTCTGCAATTTCTTAACATAGGTAGATTAAAGCCATATATTCTCATATGACACTTAATTTAAACAATATATTGTCACCTAAAAGTGTCAAGACTAACTTTATTAGGAAGTAACTAGTTATAGCACTAAAGTGGTGATGATATATGTTTAAAGAAACTCTACTGAGGTTTTTAAGCATTTTGATTTTCTTGAGGCACTTACAGAAAGATTTGCAAAAAGATAATGAGAAAATATATAAAGAATTAAATTGAAAATTGTATTTTGTGCTATTCTTAGCCCAATTTGAGGTAAAAGCATTTAAAAGGTTTTCATTTTTTCATAACTGAACAGATAATTCTAGTAAAATTGAGTGAGCTAACTATATGATATTTTGCACACAAATTATAGGTCCAAGACTACAACAAATGGTACATGAATCTCAAAAAAAAAAAATCAAAAAAATCCTGACATGTCAAAAAAAAAATCAATGTAATCCCTTCCAGGGTGTATCATTTGAGGATTATGGACTGGAGCTCATAATCCCTTGTTTGAGAAGTGGACATCTTAAAGGGACTCCACTGAGGATTAATAATATTACGGACTGGACATTTTTCCCCTGATTTTTTGTGGTTTTTTTGTGTTTTTTTTTTTTTTTTTTTTTTTTTTTTTTTGGGGGGGGGGGGGGGAGGGGCTTAAAAATGCATTGAATACTTGAATACTAGTTTTCATATTTAATTCTAAGTATATTTCTTTATCATCTTTCAGTGTCCAAGTTGATTAGTAATAGATGATCAATTTTATTTTTCGTTTTTAAACTCTTAACCCTCAGTTGAACACATTTAATTTCTATTCACATTTTTCCCAGTGTTAGCCCACTAGTGTAATCCAAAAAGATTTAATAAGCTAAGCCTTCAGCATTCATCCCAATAAAACAGAGCTATACATGTTTGAATTATTTTTTTACAAATCCTGCTGTTGGCAGGTGTTTGGGGGGGGGGGGCTTGGGGGATTATTTGAATGTAAAGGTTTGACAATCATTTTTTTATTTATTTCTAATAACCTGAACAAAAAAATCATCATTTTAAAAATCTGAAAAAAAAATATCTACAGAAAACACATATGAGCAAAATATTTTTTTCTATGGGTAAAAAATCATATATTAATCACATGCTTTCATTAAAAACAAAAATAAACTTTAGTTGCATTATTAAAATTGAATACAGTAGTATTTTCTCAAATACTGGAGGACAAACTTTAATTTATTATATACTTATAAATGAAATATTGAGAAATATTGATGAAATAAAATGCATATTTTCATTTTTTGTATTTTCACTGTAAAAATTTATTTTTCACTGCAGTGAAACATATTTTCTGTATTTTCACTGGTGTCTTGCCAGACTACTTTCTTTTAAATTCTGCCAGTACACAAAATTTAAGGGAAAGTCTTTCAAATTTTAATGTCAAAAAAGAGAAAAATGTATATAATAAACAGAAAATTCAAGTTTTTTCTATAAATTCACGATTTATTTTCATCTTGTGGCATGAAAATTACCATATTTCACTCGTGGCTACCGCCACTCATAAAATATTTATTTTCATACCACTCGATGAAAATAAATCATGTATTCATAGAAAAAACTTGAATATCCTCTAAATCTTGCTTGTTTCAAGTAAACAAAAAAAATAGCCAGTTATCACTGTAATTCTCAATGTTAATGTATAGAGGATATTCAAGTTTTGTCTATAAATACATGATTTATTTTCATAAAGAAGATACATTAGGAAATAAAAAAGTTATTTAAAAATTATAAAGAAGTTATTTAAAAAAAGACAACATTTTTTTTTCATAAAAATTCTAAGTTCAAGGGAGGTAATACTGATAATTTTTGTGCTAGAGTTGTAGACCTTGTCACATACATGTATGATGTGGTTGATGACCAGAAACTTATATTTAAAGTTTGAAGTAAACACCTTAAGAAATAAAGAACTTATGGTGAAAAAGCTGAAAAACCAGAAATCTTGAAATTCAGGCTATTTGTTGCCATAGCAACCAGAATTTTCAACATAGGAAGAAAAGACAAAGATGTGCATAATCTCCAGACTGCCATCTACCCATATTTCAAGTTTCATAAAAATATGTTCAGTACTTTTTGAGTTATCACTGGATCCAGTTTATGTGTTAAATTTGCCATATTTTCAGACTATTTGTTGCCATAGCAACCAGAATATTCATCATAGGAAGAAAAGAAAAAGATGTGCATAATCTCCCGACTGCCATCTACCCATATTTCAAGTTTCACAAAAATATTTTCAGTACTTTTTGAGTTATCACTGGATCCAGTTTATGTGTTAAATTTGCCATATTTTCAGACTATTTGTTGCCATAGCAACCAGAATTTTCTACATAGGAACAAAAGAAAAAGACGTGCATAATCTCCATACTGCCATCTATCCATATATCAAGTTTCATAAAAATATTTTCAGTACTTTTTGCGAAATCGCGGGATCCAGTTTTGTGGACGAACAGACTGACAGACAGACAGACGGACGGACAGTCGGACGGAGGGTAAACCTAAAGTCCCCTCCGGTTAAACCGGTAGGGGACTAATAACCACCTATTATGGGCAGCAACTAAATTCAAGAGTCTTATACTGTTGTAGCCTTCTTAATAAAATGAAATAACATTGTGATTGTGAACATTCTAATAAGATAATGACATTAAAACAGAAATTAAATTATGTTCCATTTGAAGAAAAGGGGCATAACTCTCAAATACTGATCTCTTAGTTATGTCCCTTATCTCTGAGACAATGCCTAATTAAGAATGTATTTTTCTAATATCAACATTTTTCTTTGAATCAGGCAAGCTAAAAACGATTATCTTTTTTGTTGTTCTTCTTCTTTGTTTTTTTCTTTTTTAAAGTGAATTGGGTACAGAATTGAAGACCTGTAACACCATGAATAGTCATGTTGTTAGAATAAAGTATCATACAAGATAAACAATGAAATAATTATACATGGATGTTGTTGGACACAATCCTATTAAACATATCTATCTACATGTAAAGCAGAAAATACATTTTATAGAACCAGATATTATTTTTCATCATATAAATGTTCAAACACATTTACTAACAATTTGCCAACAATTTTTTTTTTCAAGAAATATTTTTATAAGAATATCTATATGACATATTTCTATTGTTTAGATCAATATTTGAATTATTTATGGAAAATGTGTCTTTCGTAGGCCAATCCACTTTAAAGCTAAAACAATCATCTACTGTAAAATCATTATTATTCATGGGGCACTAATTTTCGTGGTTTTGTGGGTAGGTCAATCCACGAATTTAAGATTTGACGAAATTTTATCACAACAAATACTTCTTGCCATGTCTCTATTCTATACATTACAAACATGCATCGGCGCTTTTCTGACGATTTTTATGTAATGAACGCCCAGAGGCAAGGATTAAATTTAATGACAAGCACTGTGTGATACGTAAAGATATGTACATGTGGTAAGTAAAATGCCCAGTGATTAAGTGTAAGATTACTTTGCATTAGGTTATTTATTTTATTTTTTTTAAAAGAAATTGAAAATCCACGAATTTAAGAACCCATGAAAATGCCCGTTTTGATAAAACCACGAAATTTCATGCCCACGAATATAAGTGAATTCGCAGTAATTGGCAAGATTTTGAGTTGATCAATTAGTAGATGTAGATAATAACAAAAAATTTATTTCCGATGGAATTGTATTTCCAGTTAAGTCGTAAGTCAATATTAAGCCCTGATTAAGTTAATATGCAGATTTTATGCTATGCAGATTTTATGATATTCATAAAGGGACATAACTCCCCAGGAGCTACCATTGAAGAGAAATATCCGGTTTTTGAAAATGGTTTTACAGACTCAAAATATAACAAATTTTGAATCTATACATTTGATATAGTCAATTATGTAAGGCTATGTAACTAATGTATACAAATTTTTTCTCTCTCCAAAAAAACCCAAAAAAAACAAGAAATATTTTTTGGCAAACTCGTCGTATTCTATACATGTATAAACTGATTAGATTCAAATTTTTAAAGATTTCTCATTGTCAATATATATATAATGATTATTTTATATATATACAAAGATAAATCATAAATCATTATTTCCATGACAGAGATCTAACAAAGTACAAAATTTTGACTAATAGCTATGAACAATACACAACACATAACAACACCTAGGTTTTATTTATTAGTTCCTGACTGATTTTGTGCCATGGACTGTTTCAAGTTTTAAAATAATAATACCCCACTTATTATTAAAACAGATATCATCATCAATATATTGATGCTAACCAGCAAAAAAGATGAGATTCCGTCCAAAAATTCTGAACCTATTTCTTGGAAAACATAGCGGGCCTCAGTTTGAAGATACAAGAAAAAAAATTTGCAGTGAAATATAAACAGTTCAAAATAGTAAAACACACCAAATCAATAAAAAATAAAAATAAAGACAACTGTATCATACAGATGACATCACTGAACTGTAAGTTGGTTTGTTAACAAATTTAGATTTTTTTTTAATCTCTGAGAAAATAAGTGGTAGTTTTAACAACTTTGAAGTTTATTTTTTTCTAACCCCTTAAAATCGATAATAAATGAAATCCTAAACCATGCTTATTTAGTATAGTGCAGAACTGTCCATTGTTCTTATGACATTTTTTTTTTAAATACAAAAAATAGACCTACCAATTAACCTTTTCCTTCATATAGACATGTTTTGACACCTTTTTGTTCCCCCCTTCCACCCCTCCCACCTTTTGAGGCCTCAAACAGTGAAAAAGTGGCCTATTTAGGCCCGAACACTGTTTTTCGTTTGAGAAATGTTGTTAAAAAAATTGACCACTTTCTTGGCGCCGCCCCCTATCAAAATGTTACATCAGGGGTTGACAGAAGGGGGATGTGCCCCCTTCTGTTAGGGGGGGGGGGTTTGAAGGGGGGCGGTAGTCACCCTCATCGCCAAGAAAGTTTTGGAATCAGTTTTGATGGAAAAAAACAATGCATAATAGTGATTTTTGGCAATTTTGAGACGTCCCCCCATTGCCATGGTCACAGGAAATTTGCAATTGAACAAGCTGTTACAAAAATTATGGTCTAGTCAACATTTGTGCCAAGTTTCATCAGTATTGAAGCATTTTTCATAATTTCATAGCAGTTTGAACTTGTTACAGGAGGCTTTTCAATGAAAACGGCCATATTTCGCAATATGCTCATGGGGTAAAAGGTTAACAAATTTGGTCTGGCCAGGTTTATACCAGTAGCACTCCAGGTCACTATTGCATTTTTCATAAGACTAAACCCATCTTAAACTTATAACTGTTGCTAGTTGACTAAAGGAATTTCGATGTTCAGGGAGGAAGAACTGAAAAGCACCTTGTTTGGGAAATAGAGTTTTTCACACATTTATATGTTGTGTTTTGATTGTTGACACTTGTGACATCACGAGGCGGCATTCACTTAAAACACAAACACTTGACAGGTTAAAGTGGTTGTTCAATGAAAAGATTGATCTCAATTAGCTGACTAATTAGCAGTCGCTGGTGGCGTTGAGCTAAAGTCACTTAATACACTAAAGATATAGAGGGAAAATGATCTGGGGGAATTTACAGTGGTCGTATAAGACAAAAGTCGCTTAATACACGTGGTCTCATGGGCAAGTTGGACTGAACAAGACAACTAAAAAAAAACACCCTGACATTTTTCATCTTCATCAGTATCCGAGCCATTTATACAAGGTCTGTGAAATTATACATATAGATACATATATCTCTTATTAAGAATAATGAATGTTTGCAAAATATTAAAGCCCATCTTGTTCAATGTGTGTTTAGAAATCTAATAACTATGATACAATCAATACAAAATTACAAAATATACCAAGCCAGTAGAGCCTCTTTTCTTCTTTTGCTTTGTCATTTTTTTTCTGCCAAAAATTGTTATTCAATTTATCTTATTTCCTATGTTCAAGTGACATTATGCCAGATATAAGTGTAAATGGTGGGTGTACAGGTCTAAGTCACAGTAACTTAGGATTTATTCAATTTTACAGTCTAGTTTATGTGTATATTCAATAACCCATGTGACTCATAGAAAATTAATATATAAATATCCATCAGAATGTATCTTAAATGTTCAATTGATAAAAATAGTGGGGTAGTCTTTTCATATTGTAGGCAGTTGTTATATTTTATCCTTACCATTTTTCATTATCAATTACTGGTGAATGATTCTTATAACAGTAATCTTATTAAATATACTGGCATGCGAGCAATTCCCGTACAGAAGCAGTACCTGTATTTTTCGTTTAATCGCTTGATTTTTACTTGCTTTCTTTACAAATTGATATTACTTGCTTTCTTTACAAATTGATATCAAATCAAGCAGATGTATGAACGAGACAGAAATAAATGTCAGTTGGGCAATATGTATAAAAAGTTTTTAATCATGTTCACCTATGGGTTGTCAAAACGCCACATTGTAAATGTTGGGGGATTCTGTCCTTGCCTGCATGCGCCATAATACTTATATATGAGGCCTGCTAAAGGGTTTTCCACTAATACCACCTGAGTACAGATAAGTGGGCAATGCGATGAAAACTTGTTAACCCTTTACTTTATATAGACGTGTTTTGACGGCTTTTCGACCCCCCACCTTTTTGAGGCCTCAAACAGTGAAAAATTACCCTTTTTAGGCGCCAAACACTTTTTTTTCGTTTGGGAAATTTTGCTATAAAAAAAGTGACCACTTTTGGCGCCGCCCCCTATCAGAAAGGTTCATCAGGAGGTTGCCAAAAGGGGGATGTGCCCCATTCTGTTTAGGGGCTTTGAAAGGGGGCAGTAGTCCCCCTTATCGCCAAGAAAATTTTGGACTTATAAGAGGGTCTAAAAATGACCCCAAGTCGATCATAAGGTAATGTGTAACCAACCCTGAAAAGCCTTTGACTCTATCTCAATCCATTGAGAAGTTGCAGCATTTTGAATTCAGTTTTGATGGAAAAAAATCAACGCAAAATAGTGATTTTTTGCAATTTTGAGATGTCCCCTCATTGCCATGGTAACACGAAATTTAAGACTGAGCATGTCGTTACAAAGGCAACAGTCCAGTCAAAATTTGTGCCAAGTTTGATTAGTATTGAAGCATTTTTATAGTTTCATAGCAGTTTGAACTTGTAACAGGAGGCTATTCAATGAAAACGGCCATTTTTCACAATATGCTCATGAGGGAAAGGGTGAAATTATCAGAATTTACCTGTATTACTATATTAAATAATTTTATGACTTTAATGAGTAGAATACCATGCATACAAGCATGCCATTGCATGTGAATGCGTTGGGGTAACGGTACCAGGTAATACATACCAGCGCTAAGTCTTCTCTCTACATCCTGAATTACATCTACCGGTATTTACCTCTGGAAAAATGGTCTCTCCAACAATTATAAATGAAAAATAGGTCTGATATAGCAACATTGTATAATTATAATGGGTAATATTTTATGTACGGGAACTACTTCTCTTCATACAAAATAGTGTTATTCTATGTATAGAACATAATGAAATTTCCATAATTTGTATGACCAGCTGAATATTGATGTGTAACAATCAATTTTTTAATGAGTGAACATAATAAAAAATAATTTTTCAGTGACTACAATTTTTGTACGGGAACTGCTCGCATGCAGTATAGCCAATTAAGTTCAACTCGAAACCGAAAAAAAAAAAAAAATGAACATAATGTCACTTCAAAATGGTAATAACAAGGTCATGTGATAAACTCCTCAATATGATCTATTTTCTATCATCCTTTTGCCATTAATATACCTACTTCATGAGTAGAATTTTTACATTTTCTCATCACAAGCTATACACAAAAACGATAAAGATATTGTCTTTCTTCGCGGAAGAACGTTGTTCAAATTTGTGTCACTATTTTACTAAAAAAATATTTACAATAAGCCTTGTCCAAATGTTAGCTAATGACAGAAGAAAAAAACTAGCACAGAACATATGGATTTCTTGAACACATTGGTAACAAAATTTAATCTCATGACGTTATAAAGAGACTTTCTTTTCTCTTCTAAAGATGAGAACTTTGGTGAAGAATGGTCAAACCTGAAATTAAAAATATTCACTTTTTCTATCATACCGATAGAAATGTTCACTTTTTTTTATCCTTACTGCAAAAATGTTCACTTTTCATCATAACTGTAAAAATATTTGTATTTTCTATCCTGACTGCAAAAATGTTCACTTTTCATACTGACTGCAAAAATATTCACTTTTCAATCCTGACTGTAAAAATATTTGTATTTTCTATCCTTACTGTAAAAATATTCAATTTTTCTATCCGGACTGTAAAAATGTTCAAATTTCAATCCTGACAGTAAAAATATTCACATTTTCCATCCTGACTGTAAGATGTTCATTTTTTTTCTGACTTCAAAAATGTTCACTTTTTTTATCCTGGCGATAAAAATGTTCACTTTTTCATCCTGACGATAAAAATTGTCCTCTGGTAAGGGAACATTTCAAGACTTTTTCAGACGCTTTCTACCATCATTATCTGCTGTGGGCGTCATTGCTGCGATTCTGCGACTAGTGCGAGTTGGAGTCAGAATGCTGTTGTTGCCGTTGACCTCTGTCATCGCTGGTGATGCACGCATTCTCTTACTGGCCGGACCTCCATCCTCGTCTCGTTCCGGTGTTCTCTTTGATAATCTTGAAACTGATAAATCTCTCAGAGGTGTGGCAGTTACACCTGAAATGGTTATAATGCGGTATTATGCAAGAACAGTTAAATGAAAGATGATAGGCTGCTCTCTTTAAAGTAAAGAAACAAGGCAGTAGGAGATGCTTAAAGGAACTCCATTTTGGTACAAAAGCCTAAAAACATCAAATTTCTTATATATATCAGCTGGGGCATTAAAATTTAAGAAACACAAGTGGTCAAAACCACCTCACCTGCTGGAGCTGAGATGCCTACACTTACCTCTGATGATCACGCAGGGTTAAACAGTGCCTCAACCTTTAAAGGCAAACCCTCAGCCACAAGGGGAGTTTTCAGTTCTAAATTGAACACTGATCATGATGGAACAAACTCTTAAGAAAACAACCACATTATAATCATAAACATGAAATAAATTACCAAGTTTTTTCTCAAGATCTTTTAGTTGTTTCTCAACTTCACGACACTCCTCGTACTTAGCCTGCATCTCCGGTGCTCTTATTGTTTCCATTTGTTCTTTAAGTTCAGTTTCAGCTGTCTTATGGGCAACAAGTGCAGATTTTAAATTCTGAAGAACATCTGTTAAAGAAAAAATAAAATAAAATGCTTGCATGTGTAAAAAGCTGCAGCATCCCCCTTTGATACTAATAGCTCACCATGAACCTTCCGTTCTGGTGAGCTAATAAATGCCCTATATAGGCCTCACATTGTTTTTTCGTTTCAGAAATGTTGTTTAAAAAAAGTGATCGCTTTTCGGTGCCTCTTTATTCATTGAGAAGTTGCAGCACTTTGACATCAGTTTTGATGGAAACTGGATTATAGTGATTTTTAGGTAATTTTGAGGAAACAGGAATTTAAGATTGAGCATGCTGTTACAAAGGCTATGGTCCAGTCAAGATTCATGCCAAGTTTTATCAGTACTGAAGCATTTTTAATAGTTTAATAGCAGTTTGCACTTGTAACAGGAGGCTTTTTAATGAAAACAGCCATTTATTGCAATATGCTCATTCCGGAAAAGGTTAAGGTGTAACAACTGCGGAGGTATGACCAAAAATGCATTAAAATTGTTGTAAAATCTGGAAAAACAAACAAACCTATATTTGAACAAAACTGATGGTAAGTGTCAGGTACAGGGGCACCAAAAACTGCTCCACGGAGTTTCTCTACAGGTGGTGCTTTGTTCATTAACCCTCCAAACTTTCCGTTACTTCGTATTCTATCTCCTTCCCTGGTAAGAATTGTTGGGCAGTTTGTGTACTTTACAAGCTGAAGGAAAATAGACAAAATAAAATGATAACAATCCAGACCAAAAAAAACAAAAAAAAAAACTTAATTTTTTATGAACAGTCCAAGTATACATTTGGGTTATATGGACAGAACAGTTTTAACTACGTAGGTAATACAGATGAGACTTTTTTCACAAATAGGCTACGCAATAAACTGATGAAATATTGACTTGTTGCATTGGATTGCTCATTTGGATTTAAGTTCTACTAAAACTAAAAGGGTCATATGGCAACAATCCCAGCTATACTGGTGCTACTTTTAACATAACTTAAGGCATTAACATAAAATTGAACTTACAACAGAAAATATGCAAATGACAATAAAAATGTTCAACCTGATCTAGATTTAAACACTACCATAAAATTCCTAAACTGATTTGAATTAAAAGCATTTAAACACTTCATTTTTATGTCATATTGCACAATAAAAAGTGGTAATCCTGGCAATAAACAGTCAGCAAATGATCTAGAAGTTAAAGGTTGCTCAAAGCAGCTTATCAATATTGCACTTGAATCATACAGATAAGAAAAGTTGATAAAATACTGACCTTTACCAAATACAATTTCAAGCAGTCTTAAAACAAACCACTGTTTAATTTATAATAGTACAAGTATGAAATGTAAACAGTATTCACTAAAAGATTTTGTTCCCAAATTTCAAATTGTATACTATTTTAGAGAAGTATGGCATAAATAAAGAAGTTTACATGAAATATTTATTTACCTCTCGTCTGTACTCATTTGCCTGATCAAGTGTGTCAATCCATAATGTGTCTCCGAGTAACATGGAAAACACTAGAAAACAATTTAAGATTATTATGTTAGATCTTTCCTGCTGGAATATGTGAATATGTGTTATGAATAAATTATGACCTGTTTTGAATTTTCTACAGTTCATTCAAAGATATCAAAATACAAATATTGAGCTACCAACAATATATAGCCTGACTCAGCAGGGGGGGGGGGGGGGGGGGAGGGTGCAAAGGCTAAAGACATTTGGTTCCAGCAAATAATAGGTAAACTGCCTGAAAGGGAAAAGCCTTACTACACACTTTAGATTGATCCATTGATACAATTACAATGTAATTTAAGAGCTATGGTTCTAGTACACTTCTGCACTTCCTCTTGTTGTGCTTCACCATTGTATGAAGTTATATTAAATTCCAACAACTAGTTTTCACGTTACGCACTGGATAAGAACAAGAGCACCGCTAGGCGGAGCATTATATGCCCGAAAATGATTTTTTTCTAGTAAAGATGAAGCATTTGTAAGACATGGGAGTAAAATAAAGTATTACCTCCTTCAAATAACAATCCTCCTTTGAAGTTTCAATATTGTGGTCCAAATGGAACTTTAAGTTATGCCCCAGAAACTGTTTTCGATTCTAAGGTAAGTGACCTTGACCTTTGACCTTGTGACCCCAAAATCATTAGGGGTTTTCTACCCAATATGGACAATCATACTATGAAGTTTAAACACAGTAGGCCAAATGATACTTAAGTTATGTTCCGAAAACTGTTTTCAGTTTTAAGGTAATAGTGACCTTCACCTTGTGACCCCAAAATCAATAGGGGTCTTCTACCCAATATGGACAATCATCCTATGAAGTTTGAATATTGTGGTCTAAATGGAACTTAAGTTATGCTCAAGAAACTGTTTTCAATTTCTAAGTAATAGTGACCTTGACCTTTGACCTTGTGACCCCAAAATCAATAGGGGTCTTCTACCCAATATGGACAATCATCCTATGAAGTTTGAACACTGTGGGCCAAATAGAACTTAAGTTATGCTCCGGAAACTGTTTTCAGTTCTAAGGTAATAGTGACCTTGAGCTTTGACCTTGTGACCCCAAAATCAATAGGGGTCTTCTACCCAATATGGACAATCATCCTATGAAGTTTGAACACTGTGGGCCAAATGGAACTTAAGTTATGCTCCGGAAACTGTTTTCAGTTTTTAGGTCATAGTGACCTTTGACCTTGTGACCCCAAAATCAATAGGGGTTTTCTACCCAATATGGACAATCATCCTATGAAGTTTGAACACTGTGGGCCAAATGGAACTTAAGTTATGCTCCGGAAACTGTTTTCAGTTTTTAGATCATAGTGACCTTGACCTTTGACCCCAAAATCAATAGGGGTCTTCTACCCAATATGGACAATCATCCTATGAAGTTTGAACACTGTAGGCCAAATGGAACTTAAGTTATGCTCCGGAAACTGTTTTCAGTTTTAAGGTCATAGTGACCTTGACCTTTGACCCTATGACCCCAAAATCAATAGGGGTCTTCTACCCAGTATGGACAATCATCCTATGAAGTTTGAATATTGTGGGCCAAATGGAACTTAAGTTATGCTCCGGAAACCAAATTGCTAACGGACGGACGGACAGACGGACGCCAGGGGGTATAACATAATATGTCCGAAATTCTTTCGGGCATATAAAAAGTAATGAAGGGCTCTCATGAATGAACTCTATAAAACCTTTAGATAGTTATGGTTCTTGTGCAATGTACTTCCTCATTTGTGCTTGACCATTGTATGTCCATCTGGTAGTTTTCAAGTTATGCTCCGGACAAGGAAAGGTAACAAAGAGCAATAATTCTATAATAAGTCAAGATGGAGTTATGATTCTTGTGCACTGCACTTTCTCTCAATGTGCTTGACCATTGTATGAAGTTGTATTGAATTCCAACTGTTAGTCTTCAAGTTATGCTCAGGACAAGGAAAATGCAACAGACCGCTGGACCGGCCGACCGACCACTAGGTGACTCCTATATACCTGTATAGAAATTGAGCGGACAGAATGCTGGTCACATTGCACCAACACATTAAAGGTCATATGACGACTTTCAAGCTTTACTGGTGGAGGAAGACATCAAGTGCCCCACTGTGTGTTATTTCAGGCACAACCAGGCACATGAGTAAACCCCTGACGTTCCATATGCTAGCTGGATAGCTTTCTCACATATAAGAATCCTAAGAGGCTTGTCTGGCTTGAACCTATAGCAATGAGAGGCAAGTGGTCTGAAGTCAATGACCCACACAAAGTTATCTTGATCATTGTTTCATACAAGTCCTGATGGTAAGTTTATGTAATTACTTACAGGAGTAACATACAATTATGTTTATATGCTACGAACATGGGATTACAGAATGCTTTATGTTTTCTACCAATTTAACATTAAAGGCCAATAAAGCCTCAAAAGCCTTTTATTTCTGATGTCCTTTTACAGGTTCTATTAAGTGACTCATTGGCCACATATTTGAGCCATTGCTTCCTTTGCATTTTGACAATAAGTACAGTTAAAGTGAAATCCAATTTGCATTTACAATAATGTAGGTCACTATTTAAAAGTCCCTAAAAATATTATTCTGTATGTACAATGTAAGTCAACTGTAACTAAAACAGACCTGTTCTGCATTTGTCTTCATTCTGCCAGAATGCCAAGAGATTCCTTGCAAACATCAGATTCCCTGCAGGTCTCCAGTTTGGTTTATATTTAATATGTGGTAATGGTCTGAAATAAAGAAAATACATGATATCTGCAACACACAAGGCCTATATAGAGATTGGGGAACAAATTGTGTAAGCCTTATTATATTGAATGGGGTATATATATAGGTCTATAATCATCACGGATAGCACTTGGTGGATCAATTGGTAACTTAACAGCATCTACATAAAGGTATTTACTCCAAAACAAAATGTTCTGTTTGAAAGAAAAAAAAAACACTTTTTTTGATTTTCAAGTTCACTTGTATAAACAAGGGCAACAAATGTGGTGTTTTTAGGTGTGTTTTTTTTTAACGTAATCTGTTATCGATGCTAAGATAAAAGCTGCATCCCTTCAAAAATATTGCTTTCAGAATTATGCCCCTTGTCTAAAAACTGCACCTTGTCATGTTTAGCAAGTATTCCAAATTTCACATTATATTTGAATTACGGGCTGCATTAAAGTTTGGCACAATGACAATAACGCCACCTTAGCAAAATATTTTGAATTGAAACATGAGCTGAAAAAAAACCATTCATTTAAACTTGCCAGAATACTTTCTACTATGTGAAACCCAATTTTTCTCATTTTAAACTTTTGTTCACACATAAAAGGGGCTTTACTCAGTTACTTAGTCCAGACGGTTTGATTATGACATTAAAGAAATAATAGCCCATCAGCAAGATGTAGCAGGATCAGGGTTTAGTGTTTGCCTTTGAGTTAGCTAGGTAGTTATAAGGGGACTTTCTAGTTTTATTCGTGATAGAAGACCACAGTTGATATTTAAGGCACAAGCAGGCTCCTGGGTTGAACCACTGATGTTCCTTCCCTATGCTAGCTGAATAGCTTCCTCCTCACAAAAAGAATTCAATGTCCCTGGCAGGATTCAAACCCACAGCATATTTCACCTATTTATATATAATTTAAGTGTAACTTTACTCACTTGTTCCACTCTGTAAGACTTTTCTTGAATATAGAATCAAGTGGAAGCACCTGCTGCCGGCCGCTAGTCTGATTGTAGATCTCTTTTGCCTAAAACGATCATTTGTTCAAACAATATAACAAAGTTTCCCCAAGTCTTAATAGAATAAAAATTGTTGATATACAATGTCAATCTTCTTATATCTCTGTGAGAGGTCTTCCGTTAAAGCTATATTTAATGACTTTGTTATATTCTAAAGTGTGAAAAGTGAAGCATAAACTGTAAACAGTTAATTTTCCTAAAATCTGTCCAGTCAGTGTATCTATGCAAGTGGTAGGAAAAACGCATAATTAAAACTCTCAGAAGAGCTTGCTAAAATGACAGACTTTAAAAACTAGAAATGTGTCATCATGCCACGGATGCCCCCGCATGCAGCCAAAATTTCAGATGGTGCAATAAATATTTTTTTCATTTTAAGTTCAAAGCCCTTAAAAATTTTCAATGTTAACATAAACCATTTTCATACAATGTTCAAGGCACTGAAATTATTCAGTCTTAACCTTTTAAAAATAGCATATTGCATATTTGTAGCCAAAATAATGGCTAAATGTATGAGTGCTGAAACTGAAAGTTCAAAATTTTTCCAACATTCAGGAAAATCATTGAACCACGACCAAAATTAAACTTAAACTGCTTATTCCTAAGATGTATCTATATTATTTTCAAAGTGAAAGGGACATAACTCTGCCAAAAAATCATCAAACCATGACCAAAATTTTTGCCATTTCCTTTGAAAAACAAAAATTCAAATTAAGACTGGACATACCTTTTTGGTTGACATGGTTACAACACAATCCATGTCAGATGACATATGCCAGGATAAAACACGTGCAGCATCATCATCTGCTATGTGTGCTAAATGTCCTATCTTAAAAAAAGAATATTGTTATATAAGCATTTATCTATAACATATGTTTGCTTTTATTGAATTTTAAGTCACACTAACACACTCTAAAGGTCAATTGTTGACATTCTAGCTTTACTGGTGGAGGAAGTACCCCGTTTTGTAAAGCGCAAACGGCAAAAGGACGCATAGGAGTAACCTTATATAAGCTGGCACAGCATCACATGAAAGAATCCAAAATCCCTGACAAGATTAAAGCACACAGCAGTAAGGGGAGTGATTTGAAGTGGGCAACATTAAGTTAACATAGTAATGAGAGCCACTTATGATGTACGAAACTATGAAGCAATAATTGTGATTCCCATTTGATGCTAAGAGAAATGGCAAGTAAATGTTTTAAGAAGCGTAGTAGTTTAAAGAAATAATGACTTTTACTAACCTTTCCAAGAACCTCTGGATCATTTGCCATAATCTTTGGAAGCGCACATACCCGTCTCTTCCGGTTTAACTCTTGGTCTTTTCTCTCGTTAAAGTCCTTTATTAATTTCTCCACTGACTCGACCTGAAACAAATATTAACCATGCAAAAAAAACAAACAGTGACAATGATGACTATGCTGCAGTTATCATAATAACTCGACTTTTTCTTGGAATCAGAAGACCTAAATGTAAATATATATAATTATAATACTTGATTTATATATGTATTGTCAATATTTGTAAGATTATATAAATATATTTCTGATAAGCTTTGGATTAAATCAGTGACAGCCATACAAATCTTGCCATTTGAAGGGTTTTCAGAAATCAAGAAGCCAACAAGTATAGTCTTGTCTGGTCAGTCCATACATGATTTCACCTTGACCTGACTCAAAACAGGTGGCAATAGCCTGCAGGGCATTTACACCCTATCACCAGAGGTCACTATGGGACCCCATTCCAAATCAAAAATACTGTTTTTTTCCCCGATTTCAACAAAATATTCCAAATTAAGACTAAATAAATCAAACTTATGAGAAAAGTTAAACTGTTCTGAAAGAAACAGGTTATAAGATCATTTACATCAATAAAACCTTAATGCTTTGAATAAAGTTTTTTTTTTCAAAACTTTTTTCTCTCAAAATTTTTCTGAAAAGTGCCTGAAATGATGCAAATATTTTTTTGCAACATACTTAAGGGACTTTTTAAAGGCCCTGGTCTGTTACCATAGCAATTAGTTCTAAACTCTTCACAATGACTTACTGAGGTGAGAGAGGTAACTGAAATCTTCTGTTTTCTGAGTTCGTCTCGTATCTTAGACTCCTCACTTTTAGCTTCCTTTACTGAGACTGAAACAACACACAAATTATTCAAATAAAACATTCATCTTATTTTCATTTAGGCAAATTTTTTTTTTCAAGTCCATATACAATAAGCTGCATATAAACTCTGATTTAAGTATTGTTGGAGTTATGTAGATTGTTTCATTGTTCCATTGGTAACTTATAATCTCATCTTGAAAAAAGAAATAAAGAAAAATATTATTAACAGCTTTAATCTCATCTCCTTATGTACATAATTGTATTGGCCTTATTAAACAAGCAATTATCATAGTATTGCAAGCAATCCATAAGTCCCCTACCGGTTAGAACCCCAGCAACATTCTGATGGGCCATTGGCCATTCAATTTTACCAGTGAATCAATGACATGAATGAACTTAAATCTTTTGATTTCTAAGTTTGTCTATATCACAGTAATGTGTTAAGTTTAATCCCTGCCTAGTAAGGAAATTATGTTTATACAACCTTGTCATATTATTACGATGTGGGATTTTAAAGTAAATCCTATAAGGAATGAAGAAGTTGGAGTGAAAAATACCAATTTCTCGAAAAAAATCTAAGTTCAAGGTGGACATAATTCTGGAAATAGTCTTGCTAGAGTATTTAACCTTCTCAAAAATGTTGAGTGATAATAAGAATATATATATGAAGTTTGAAGTAAACACCTAAAGAAATAAAGAACTTATAGTGAAAAAACTGAAAAATTTAAATCAGAAATCTTGAAATTCAGGCTATTTGTTGCCATAGCAACAAGAATTTTCAACATAGGAAGAAAAGAAAAAGATGTGCATAATTTCCAGACTGCCATCTACCCATTTTTCAAGTTTCATAAAAATATTTTCAGTACTTTTTGAGTTATCACTGGATCCAGTTTATGTGTTAAATTTGCCATATTTTCAGACTATTTGTTGCCATAGCAACCAGAATTTTCAACATAGGAAGAAAAAAAAAGACATGCATAATCTCCATACTACGATCTATCCCTATATCAAGTTTCATAAAAATATTTTCAGTACTTTTTGCGTTATCGCGGGATCCAGTTTTGCTGACGGACGGACTGACAGACGAACAGACAGACATACAGACGGACGGAGGGTAAACCTAAAGTCCCCTCCGGTTAAACCGGTAGGGGACTAATAAGCTTATTTTACTGATAAAGAGATTCAATCTAGTCATCACAAATCACTGACTTCTCTACCAAAGGTGGTAAGCCAAGACTACCCCCTAAATCTGCTTAATCTGTAAACTTACTCTTTAATTCTTCAATGAGCTGCTCTGTGGTTTCAAACAATGATTTATATGTTCTGATGGCATTCTGTAGATTGTCCCGTTCTTTTGATAATTCTGCCATTTCTGACTGCTTCTTTGCATCTGTAAAAAAATCATGTATATATAATAGCATAAAATATAAATATAAATATTAGCATAAAATATAAATATTTATTACATGCTTTTCGGTGGTTTATAGAAATATATCAGTGATATAAAAACTGGTAATTTCACTGTTTGAAACAGTGAAATTACCACTTTGATAATTTCACTGTTTTGAATTTAAGCCCCTTACGTTGTTTCACTGAAATACCAGCGTGCACAGAACTGGGTACCAACTTAATGACGTGGCGTCGTAATTGACGTCACGTTGTATTATTATTTGGCGCGCTTTTCATTCAGTATTAGGTTTAATGTCTTTTTAAAACGTTTCTTTGCATATAATAAAAAGAAAATTTGTTTAGTTTAGTGTAAGATCAAAATATATTTCACCTTGTGAACACCAAAAGTTCATATTTCACTCGTGGCTGCGCCACTCGTGAACTACACCTTTTGGTGCTCACTCGGTGAAATATATTCCGATCTTACACTGAACTAAACAAATATCCTCTATATATAATAACATTAAATACCAATATATAAAGTATAGAGTAATAGATGAAAATAAACAATTTGTTAGCCAATTTTTTCATCACTAGATATGTTTTAGGTATCTTGTTTTTGAGGGAAGTTCTGGGGAAAATTGTGAGTGGGTTGATTGAAATGCATTATCTTGCATGTGTGTGTTGTGGGGGGGGGAATAAGTATCAACTAAGGATTACGATAAAATCATGATAAATTAAGAGAATATAAATCTTATATATATGTAACATGTATATTTATAATGTGTTTGAAACAGGATTAACAAAAGATCTTATCTGGAAATTTGCAAACATTGATTTGTTGTAACTGTTAAAGTTTGTTGGTACCCTGGGACTGATGTATCCCTATTCTGACCATTAATTTGAATAACAATAGATTTAACCACAAACACTGACATGTGCTCTTTTGTTAATAAATATGTTGTGGTGAATTCTTATTGTATCCACTAATCTGATAACTAGAATTAGACAAGTCAGGGATCTATCCATTAAGATGGAGAAAAACATACATTTACGAGTTCCAGAGTACCTCTATTTTCCAGATGATTATCAAAAGGTCAATAAGCCTATACTAGTACAATAGGATTATAAGAGCACATTGGCGAATCATTTAAAAATCTGTTCAACCCTCTCTGGTTTTAATTTACTGGCCATTAATTAATTAGGCTTTAAACATCATCACTTTAGAGTGACAAAAATCCCAATTGCTTTTTCATGCATCACTGCAATGTAGGGATTCATTAAAACTTCATTACCAAAATGTCTTTCATAATTCATCTACTGACAAGAATCAATCAATTCTATGGTGGTAATTACATTAGGAACAAAACCACTAAATCTGAGCCATAATGGTTTAAGTAAAAATCAATATAGTGGTACCATACCACAGTACAGCAATGATAAAAGTGATCTTCATTAATAATTCACATAAAGAATACCTCCTTTCTAATTCATTATTGACTTATTCTGTCTTACCTCATGAAAGAAAGGTAAAACACCAATTGACCATATATATCCTAATAAGACATTCAGATTATTCAAATTTTGAAAGAGAGAAAGAAGAGTATACATATTGGGAGATGTGGCAGGAATTTAAACAAATTTTTACCAGAATTTCATTGGTGAATCACTAACTTCATATAACCTTATTGCAACATCAGCGATTCACTGTCCTACTTATAGCTTTATTATAAAAACAATTATTCTACTTATTATATACAGTCAGATACCTTAATTACCTTTTAAAGTGCACTTATTATAATAAATACAGTAACTTTAAAAGAAACAGAAATCTGCATCCAAGATTCCTATTATTGTGGTCCAATTAACCTATTCAATATATTGAACCATTCAAGTCAATTACGGCCAACTGTGATGATACAAGGAGTATAAACCTCCCTAATTGGTCCATAAATACTACACACAAAACTGTGTTAAAATTTTCTCAGCAGAGTAAAGAGTTATACTTGAAATAAGTATAGGAAATTTTTTATTGATTATAACCTCATTGGATTATACAGTGTAATTAAGTACTTAAAGAAAACATTGGATGTATTTTATTACGACATGTAATATTTTTCAGGGCATCATAAATAATGACAAAATAATTAACATTGTTATTATATGGCTACAAATGGCACTAATTGTGACAAAGATTTTTTTTTAGAGTAACAGTAACATGTGTATAGGAATCCGAGACAGCTGATGAAATAGCTGTAAAATTTATTTCTTTTATAAGTCTTTTGTAGATTTTGGATTAAAAAACAGACAGACAACAACCACAACAACTGGAGGAGCAGCTAAAACCTAGATGGCACTTTCTACATTAAAGAGCTCTGGATACCGGACATGGTCCACAAGAGCATTTCCTATTCCTGATGACCCTCGGTATGACCTTACATACACATCACATGACAAATCACATGGTACAACAAGGTCAAAGGGTACAATAAAGTCACAGAGTACAAAAAGGTCACAGAGTACACAGTTACGTCTGCATCTCACTACAAATTCCCAAGGACTGGTTCAGCTGGATTTATCCCATAGAGATCTTCAGTTAATGCCGATTGAAATTTTTCTGTTCTCCAGACTGGAAGTGTTGAAATTATCGCAAAACTATTTCCGAGAAATTCCTTTGGCAATTTCAAGGTTACGGAGCCTGAAATTTTTGCACTTGGAAGAAAATAGTCTCAGCTTCTTACCTGAAACACTGAGCAATTGTCTGAACATTCTCGAAATAAACCTGACAAAAAACAAACTTGCTGCACTGCCAACAAACATTGGAATGTTAAAGAAACTTCGTGTATTGAGACTAGGTCAGAATGAGTTTGAATGTTTACCACATGAAATTGGACAGCTTGAAAACTTGAGATATTTAGACGTTCAAGGAAACACACTCTGGTATTTGCCTTTTTCAATTGCAAAGATGCATAAGCTGAAGTATCTGAACTTGTCAAACAACAGATTTGAGCACCTCCCTTTACCAGTGTGCAAGATAACATCTCTTAAGACCTTGACCTTGCGTGGGAACAATTTAATGAACCTCTTGCCGGACTTTGATTGCTTGCAGCAACTACAAGAGTTAAATTTGGCACATAACAACTTTGAGATTATCCCTCAATCTATTTTTAGACTAAAACATCTCCAGTACTTAAATCTCAATGGAAATATGCTGGAAACTATACCAAATGCGTTAACGACATTGAAATCATTGAAAGTACTACATCTCCATGACAACAGAATAAAATTCATTCCTGATGATTTTCAAAACTTGCAATATCTAAATGTAGCCAACAATCAGCTTTACAATTTCTCTGTGGTCAACATAAAGAATTTGAAACTTTTAAATGCCAACAGTAACTATCTTGAGAATATTCCCATGGGCCTGTATTCCCTCTCCAAAATTCAAAGTGTGCGCCTCAACACCAATCAGATTAGGTACATATCAACAGACATCGCAAACCTAAAAAAGTTACGCACCTTGGACATTGGCAACAACATGCTTGTGAATATTCCTCAGGTTCTGCAACAGCTTACAAGACTCGACTATTTTAATGTCAAGGGAAACAAGATACAAGAAAGAATTGCCCTTCACAATGGTGAAATCACTGCACCAATAGACTTCTACAAAAAACGGCGAATGTTTGAAGCCAAAAGGCATACAATGGATTCAGGAAGGAGGTACAAGTCCATTAAAAGCCAAAGGTCAAGATCAAGGTCAAGGTCAGGTAACTTTGAGCAAACCACAATGTCCAAGTCATCTACAATACCAACAACCCAGAACAACTCTCACAAAATGTGGGATTCAGCTGATCTTTTAGAAAATGGTTTCACAGAGCGCCACCTTGAGACAAACGCTAGCTCTGCCTACTTAAACCATAAACCTCCCACATATAGCGAACACAGTCATGGTTACCATGATGCCAGCGTTACGGAATACAGTTACAGGTCATCTGGACATGTTACAGCACATGAGGCCGCCCTACTGACAGATAGTGATGATGTATCAGCAATTACAAGAGCAGACTACAAGTTGCTAGGGATATGTAACCAAGTAGAAATGCTTCTAAATAAACAGTTACTACATCCTGTCCTGTCCTTGAAAGGTCATGATATGGGCAAAAGGTAAATTTCTCTTCATGTTACTGTGTTACTGACACCTTTTCCACTTTTGAAAATTTGCTCACATTTCAAGCATGGTTCAATGTCAATATCAAGTTCAAGCCTGTAAGAGGAGGAAAAAAAATTGTGTATGATTTTTTATTTTCAGAACAAGTAATGAGAAAAAGTTTTTTTTCTTCACAAAAAACAAAATTAAATTGCAAATGACCAATCTGTTTCTTAATAAGTTAAGTAATCATCTCCAATAAAGTTGCTCAATAAAAAGATTGTTCACAATAAACTGACTAATCAGTGGTGAGTGCTCGCTTAGAGCAAAAGTAAATTAAACATTACAGATGAGTAAATGATCAAGGTGAATTTAAAGCCATTGCTACAGACAAAAGTTGATTAATGTCTCATAGGCAAGTTAGACTGTAAATATGAAAAAACCTTAAAACTTTAATGCCGGGGCTAAGAATTGCATAAAAATCAGTAACTTTTATTTAACTGATGAATTTTATGTCATCATTTTAGTTTCTCTGAGAAATCTATAGTTAAGACAGCCAGTGGTTTATGGAGGATGAGTGAGGAGAGAGACGAGAATGTATCACCGGGTCTCGTTGTCATGACAACAGAAACATTTACTGTTACACCGCAAGGTGGTTGGTTAACTTCGTCACATGACAACAACATCAGCATCTTTCTCCCGCCAAAAGCCGTGTCCACTCTCATCCAGACACAAATGAAAGTAAGTTTTCTGGTACCTTCCTGTGGAATTTATATTAACCCCTACCTTGCTAAATATATCCAATTTTCAATCTGGACATCATCATGTATTGTTTTATGGGAAAATTTCAATATATGTACGGACTCAATACCTATAAGCATAATCAGATGGCAGAACTTGGTCTGCAATGGTATTTATAATTGCCACCAGCAGGCTAATGGTTTATTGTAAGAAATATTTTTCACAAAGTATAACATATGACCAAGTATATATGGTTGAATGTTTATTTAACGTGATTCACTTACAATTCTTGCTTATATAAACTGAGTCACTTGAAAATGGGTTTTATTGCAAACAATCAGATTTTAACAAATAAAATAATACACATTTTCTTTCGTTGATAAACTCAGTAATTAATTCATAAATTTGAAGCAGCTAAGTAATAGATAGTCACAGATAATGCAAAAAAAATCTGTAAGTTTGCCCAATGAAGAAAAGTACAGTAACATTATAAACATCCAGTAAAATAAAACCACAACTGCAAGTATAAATTTGTTTGTGGAGACTGTAAAAGAATTACTTTATATTTCATTGCAATGCTGTTGTTACTTTAAATTGGACACATCCAATACTGCGGGGCGTCTGTGGCCGAGTGGTTAAGGTCGCTGACTTCAAACCACTAGCCCCTCACCGCTGTGGGTTCGAATCCCGACAGGGACTTTGGATTCTTTCATGTGAGGAAGCTATCCAGCTAGCTTACGGACGTCGATGGTTCTACTCAGGTGCCCGTTCGTGCCTGAAATAATGCACGGAAGGGCACCTGAGGTCTTCCTCCACCAGTAAAGCTTGAACGTTGCGATATGACCTATACTGTGTCGATGTGACGTAAAACCCAAAAACAAAACAAAAACATCCAATACTGTTTGGAAGCCTACATTAAATCTTCATTAAAATACATTTAAATATTTGTTTTATATCTAATTTCAACTTCAATTGTTTGTTATCATAGAAAATTCAAAGGCAATACAAGAGTGATGTCATGACTTTTTAGTGGAAAAAAAACACTGCAAAAATGCAAATGGGGAGTAAATTATGCTATTATGCCAACTATGATGGTGGTGTCGGAAGTTTTCACCCCGGATCAGAGCTATAAGCCACTATGAATTTACCAGAGCACAGTTCAGCCACCGCATTGTTCCTGGGCATACTGTCAAGCAGTTTACCAGTACTAGTTGCCTTCACTTTCGCTAACTGGATGACTTTTATGCCAGCTATGTTTTATCAGAGAGTAATATATATGTAACTTAATAATGTAAGCCGTGTTTATGGCTGAGTGGTTATGGTTTTTACTAAGAAGTACTTGCCCCCACTTCTGTGGGTTTGAATCAAGCAAAGACTTTGAATTCTTTCATGGGAGGCTGTGAGGGTTCTACTCAGGTGCACACTAGTGCATTTAAAAAATGCACAGAGAGTCACCTGATGTCTTCCTCCTCACATAATGCTGGACAGTTGCCTTATAACCATTATACAGGTGTGACATAAAACACCTCTCAACTATATACAGGTTTGCTACCACTATAATAGTACGTATACAATACATCTTTTATGCAAATTTCGTCAAAATTCATATGCACAACTTTTTATACCTTTCCTTGGTAACTTTAATTAGTTTCTTTATTATATCTCACAGATACTGAAAATACAACCTGAGAGGCTTTTGAAACTGAGACAAAGCAGTAGAATGGTGAGCAACATCATAGCCCTTGGTCCCATTGTATACCTGAAAAACCTTGACAGTGGAGACTTCAACCATCAGGTATGTACAGAATTGAAATGTTCTTTTCTCTGTCCAATATGATCAGGGAAAAAATCTACCTTGAACTTATCGCAGTCACGTTAAAGGGTTTTTACTGAGGTGTTTTGATATGAGGGGACTGGAAAAAAATGTTGTGAGGTTAATGTACCATATGACATAGGTCTAGACCAATAAGCGCTGTCTGTAAGACAATACGCTTGACCACTGTACGTGCTTGACAGTAAGAAAAGGATAATAACTTTGTAAAAATGTAACTTATCTGACCTGTGCCAATCAAATAAGATAATTTCAGAGAACATAATTACTTAGGTTTAGACTAATGTATGAAGTTTCAACCTTTTCCTTTAGGTACTTTTGGAGATTCCTATTAGGACACTAAAATTTAACCAAAATGAGATGGCAACTCACACCAGGGTGATAATAATAGCTTTCAAGATTCTTTAAATTGTCAAGCTAAAAATCATCTTTCAACATGACCGCCCAACAGAGATTTATAAATCACAGAATATTTAATGAAGCATGTTTTCATCTTGAATAAAAATATACATGCAACATTAAAACAAACTTTAAAACTAATGTATATATTTCTGATTGGCTGGTTAGGTCACCATTACAATACCTTCCCCAAAGAGTGAGACACGTGGCCATCTACATCTCCTTACCATCAAGGAAGACAACTCTTGCACACCTTGTACTAGTGGATTCCAACACAAAAATGGTTATGTTGTTCTAAGAGCATGGAACCTAGCTGGGTTAGTATTACAGATGCATTGGGTTTTTCATATTTTTCATATTTTTACATCTTGTTATGATGAAATTAACCATTAACCCGTTGGGGCATGTTACAGCATCTTTAAATAGACTTTGCTAGCCTATATATTTGTAATTGTCTACTTTCGGGATATCAAGATGAAAATTTTAAGTTAGTCAACTACCAGTATCAACTTTAGTCAGACTGCATAAGTCTTTAATTACTTTTTTCTGAATCTATTTCACATGACACTTATATTTCAGAAAATAAGTTCCTATCTATTTCTCTGACCATTTAATTTCACATAACACTTATATTTCAGAAAAGCTGCAATAATCACAAGGGCAAAGTGTAAATATAAAGCCTGCAAGTCCATGGAGAGCCTGCTTAATCAATTAACAGGTCAAAGTTCACTGCATTGATTGAACAGTGCATTGAGAAGATTTAATATCTTGTGGGAAAATCAGGACATACATGTTTATTTGTAAATATAATTTGTGTGTAAAACAGCACTAACTTGCCAATGATATTTTATAATTTATTAAAATTCATAAGCATAGTTAATGATTTGATGATTTTGCTGAGTATGGGTGAAAAATTAATACATGTTTTCTTTTAAATATTTGTTTTTATTTTCTTTCTTTTTTATATTTACTAAGTAAACAAGGAAAGGATGCAGAACAACTATAGTTAATTTAAGCATGTATATTTAAAGGGTATAAAGCTATATATTATGAAATACTTTTTAAAGACTAACTGACAATAAAATTATATTGTTTTCATAATCTTATGGTCAATTCATGCAAGAGTTGTATCATAGAATGTCTCTATTATTTAACATTCATGAATATTGTACACAAACAGAATCAAATGTTCCAGAAAAAAATATTATTTTGCTATTTTAAGGAAGGTTTTATTGACTTAACAATGACTTCATGTATGCATATTCAGGATACATATGAATATTGGTATGTACTTGGATTACACCCCAGACTCTCCAAGCATGTGTATTGTGTTCTTCTATGTTTTTGAAGTTTAGAAGTTAGTCTGTTGGTTTTTTCTGGATATTATGCCAATTTTAACACATTATTTTTTTGTCACATCATGGCAGTCCATTCATCTACAGGTTTCCTCAGATAACTAACAAGTTACTACTTATTTCTCCGCAAGTGACAGACAAATATTCCCATATGATTTCAGAAATCAGGTGTGACTGACAAATGACCAATAAACTTGATTTCAGAGATCAATTGTCGCCCAAAGATTAATCCCACCACTTCTGGATTACAAAGAAGTTAGATCTTTGGCATATAATCTATAGAGTATAAAAAGCCCCAAAATTATATAAAAAAACTTGCTACTGTTGTTTGTTAAGTTGGGTTTTAAGCCACACTGTTACCCGAAAGGTCATATTGCAACTTTCCAGCTTTACCGGTTGAGGTAGACCTTAGGTTCCCCTCTTTGCATTATTACAGGCACGAGAAAGCAGTTGTGTAGAACCACTGACGTTCGGAAAGCTAGCTTTACAATTTTGTCACAGGAACCAATCGAGAGTCCATGTAGGGATCAAACCCACAGGGGTGAGAGGGTGAGTGATTTGAAGTCAACGGCCTTAATCACCCAAACTTCATGGCCCAGCTCCTTGCCATTGAAGAAGTAAAGATTTAAACTTACCATCATAGAACAGGAAAGGTATAATGTATGGCTGAATGTTGCTGGATTTAGGTACATTAGTACAGTTGACGGTACACTTTAGTTGATACTCTGTGCCATCTTTACCCGGACTGTTCTCTTGAAGTGCAATGTTCTACAAATATACATGTTCAAAACTATTTGTTTTCACAAATTTTTACAGGGTTATATAACCAAATATATAAACCAATGTTTGCATATATATAACCAAAGCTTCCAGGATTAGGAATATTTCAATCAACCAATTTATTACTAATAGTCAGAAATATAGAAAATCCAAACATATTTTAAAATTGGTATCAGTCAAAAGTGCTATGGTTAAATGGTTTACGAATATCCATCCAGTGTTTTTTTCCTCTTCTTTGGGAATGGTGCCGGTACCAGACTGATTGGGAAAAAATGCGTTATTTTGACTTTTTTAATTTTTTCAGCTATAAATAAGATTAGTCATCATGAATATAGATAGCTAACAGCTTCCACTGTCCAGGGAGAACTATTTAGTGGTGATTTATATGAATATGTTGGATTTAAATGATTTCAGAGAAATCACTTGGCCTTGTGGTTATTTTGAACAGCCATTTTGGGAATTTAAACATTGGAAATTGGGAATTTTAATGACTATTTTCTATTGGGAACAGTATCGTTTTAGGGTAGTAGTTATATAAAGAAAAAAACACTGCCATCTGATTATATTTTTAAAATCTGATAACCAATATTAATTTCATTTTGTATAGCATCAAGGGGAAATACTCTTTTAACCTTAAAGGGGGGCAATCTTACACTCTCCTATAATAAGTCTAGGTTAAATGTATGCCTATGAAAAGTGTAGAATTAAATTTACATTAAGTTAACTACTAAACAAAGTATAAAAAGACGATAAAAGCTGATGAAATATCTTTGAACCAGATCACATAAAAGGCAGTTGAATAGTCATAACTGTGATAATTTTTGTGACAGACAATTAGAAAAAAAGGACAAACAAAACAAAAAATTAACAAATGTGTTATGCAAATCCTCCCTTGAAAGCAATGTTTCCTAAAAACTTTCATCAAAATTCAGGAATGGTTAGAAAAAAGTAGTGTTTGGCACTAAAGAAGAACTAAAGTGCCTTAAGTGAAAGGGCCATGAATCTTAGAAAATCACAAAATAGTCTGAACAAAATTTAGAGATAGGAAGGTGGCTAAACAAATGATAACCAATTTTCAAGAAAAGAATGTGTAAATCATTTACCTGTATAAAACTTGTACCACCAGCAAGTGTCACAGAAATAGTGCTATTTTTAGCTGAATTATTAAAGACAGGTAACTCTTTCTCTCCTGTAGCACTTGCTATCTCTAGTACTATAGCACCATTCATACCCTTTGTTACATGATTCTTGTATTTATCCTTGATTAAAAATCAATAAAACAAAATATGTTATGAAAAATTGCAAAACATATTACAATTAAATCAAATCATTTGACATGATACAAAATGTATATGATGATGGAAATGCTTCATACAGTAGACCATATATAGCTATTATTAAAAACCATGGTCATTATTAACAATAATAAACATTTTTCTTTTGCATTTAGGTTTTACATTGCACCACCAACATTCTGTAAGCTAGCTGGATAGCTTCCTCCTTTGAAAGAATTCTAAGTCCAGTGTGAGCTTCCTCGTATAAAAGAATTCTAAGTCCCTTGAGAGATTTGAACCCACATCTTTTAAGGGACAAGAGGTTGGAAGCAAACACTTAAAGATCAGGATCCCATATAAACAAACATGACAGTTGTCATAATGATATTTTCTCCAATAATGACATTACAGTGAAAAACACCCTCTTAAACACCAATAAATATATCAAAACTATCTATTACAAAAACTGTAAAAAACAAGGCAAAAGTGGCTTGAAATTGTTAACAACTATTACTTAATGTAAGTCAATATTTTTACTACCGTATGTTCCATAATTATCTAAATAGTATGCTTAAACATCCTTTTATTATAACAAGCATCTTGTATGGTCTAAATGGATTATCCAATATTATAAATTACATTAACCATTTAAACTAATGTATTAATTGTTATAGATTTTTTATTTTTTTACAGGCTATATGGCCAAATATAAATGGGGTTGTATCATTAAAATATAACTAAAAATTCAAGGTTAGGTTATATTGCAAACAACCATTTAATAATTATTCATTTATACAACACCATATAACCTTTTTAAAAAATTTATACAAAATTTGAATCAGCACATTGCCTTTAAGGAAAAATAAAAATTACTCTATAAAATAAGAATAGCAATGTATAGGATTATATAAACATCACAATTATCCAAACAATCATGTAGTATTTATGATACTTTACTTACTCTTAAAAGGCTGCACTGTGGTGATTTTGTTGTTGGGTTTTTTTGTCTGTTTTTTAAAATCAAGTTACCTACCCTTAATTCGAGTTTGAGGTTTCTGACTATACATCTAGTAGCATAGTTTTTCGTATTGGAGACAGTGGCTGTGCCAGGATTGTCTTGGCTGACTAATTGTACTGGTGCTGATGGGTCAATCTTTATGTGAATCTGAAATTTGGAAAATTCTACAAGTAAAGTATGTATGAATCATCACAGTCTTTCATGTAAAAACATTCAAATACACATAGTTTCTTGTAATGAATAACATTTCATATACATATACATGTAGATATACTTTTCCTTTTTTTCTTCTTTTTTTAAGGGGGGGGGGAGGGTTGGTTAACACAGGTTTAACATCACACCAACACAGTAAAGGTCATGCACTGTTTTTCCAGTTTCACTGGTGGAAGAAGACCTCAAGTGCCACTCTATACATTTTTTCAGGCACAAACGGGCATCATTCTAGATTAGATTTTGATTCCGTTGAACATTAAAGGGTATTAAGCTATATCTAATGAAATATTTTTATGAAATTTATAAACTATCAGTAAATTTTGAAGCCACTATCCTTAGATTTTGAGACCTTAACCACTGAGCCACTGCTAGCCTTAGCGTACAATATTATATGAGTATCAATACATAATGAAACAATTGCTTACCACATTACTGAACAGTTGGTGTTTACCATCATAATATACAAACATGACATTATAGGAGCCAGATTCCTCTGGTGCTGTGATATTTCTGAAATTTATAATACAAATGATAATTCTTAAACAAACCAATAAATTCTGTTCTCAAAGTCTTGTTTTCAATCTTCTCAACCAAAGAGATATAAAACATTAAAAAAGTATCTTAAAGAAAGCAAAAACAGAAAGAAATCTTTACCCCAAACAAGACAAAAAGTTAGTCTTTCAAAGTGTTTGTTTTCAGACCTTTTTTCTCAGTTTTGTTTGAATCACTTTTTTGTTAAGAATATGGATTATAAAATTTTTTTTTTTGAATTTATTGTCTATGTATGTTAACATAAAACAACAACAGTCATAGTAACTTTCTGTAATTGTTGTCATTACTTAACTATAGGGTAGGCGAAAATATCTTATAGTTACTTTATAGCTTGAAACCTTATCACACATAAAAAATCCTCAAATCTAAATATTCATTCAATTACTGAATAATCTTATCAAAACTTACTTAAAATGGAAGATTCCTGTCTCTGATTTTCGTGTTGTTTCTGGACTATATGACAGGGTCTGGATAAAAGTAAAAATATATTTCAAATAATCACATAATATAAGGTAAAATTACAGACTCTTAATAGTGTAGAAATTTTACCATTTTTATTTTCTGTGGGTAGGCAGGGGTTTAAGTCCCAATGGGAACACATATTGTTACACAGTATCAAATGTCTATTTCATCTTGCATCAAAGCGAGTTTAACAGCTCAGTAAAACTGATATTGCACAGTCATGCATACATTTTGATGTGATGTCATTACGATATATAAACATAACAAAAAAGATGTGCTAAATGTTAGTGTTTGCCTCCAATTTTATTCAACCTGTTCAATAAATTCAGTATTGAAAGACAGATCCCCGATCCATATTCCTATGTTTTGACCACCTATGGACAGACAGCATGAAAGTTCAACAGACATAGGGAAAATCTGTATTCCTTATAAGCAATGGAAGTTTTAAAATATTTTTATGTATGTACGAAGGTAATAACTTACACGACTAGGAAGGTTGGTGGCATCAGCGTCATCTGATTTCCAGAGTTTCAAGGAGACATGTGAAGGTTTTGCACTGGCAAGTAAACTCTCATCATCTGCGTATATCTTCACAGTGTATTCTATAATATCAACAAAAATATTTACTTCCTTGAATCTTAACATGCTGAAGGAAATTGTGGTTACCCTTTGCCACTGACCTAGGCCAGCCGGCATGCTTGTACAGTCTCACCAGAATTGGCTGACCAAATTTAAATTTTCATTTTGATTATCTTTTAAATTGATAATTCCAAATTTTCAGTACTAGACCTGCCCCTTCAAGAAATTCAGCATGTTAATGATTTATTCTTCTAACTGACTTGAGTCAATGTTTAACATCACTTGGCTGGGAACCAATCCAAATGCGACTGCTCAGAGTCTGGCACAAGCAAGACAGCCATCCAGTGGATCAAAATAGTTTAGTTTCACAACTCAGAAAAACAATTGCCTTGCACAGATGTTTGGACCTATAGTCTGTCCCACCAAATTTGAATATTCCATTTTTTATTTAATATAATAGTAAAATCATTTAAATTAATGTCATGTTAATCCTGACATCAATATCTCTAGGCATGTTTTTCATTTTTTCCATAAAGTCAGTAATATGGTCAAAATGTTAAAATTATAATTTTTCCCGTTGACTTACGTTGTAACCTGACGTGACGTCCATTTCAAAATGGCGGCGCCCATACAGACGTCATTTAGGGTTCGTCTCACAATTAGCGTGAAATGTACTCGTTAATTATAAAAAATTGATTATTCTTATTTACTTACTGATCAATAGCTGAATGTTATCATTAAAATGAAAAATGAGAACAAAGTTGGTGTCGAAAAGGCAATTTTACTAGCAAACCATTATATAAAATAATCAATTTAAAATCATTTGAAGTGAAATATCAGTAACCGCTTTATAAATTATAACACACAAAGATTTATATAATTATATAATTACCATGATATACTGTCGTATTTTATTTTCTTTTTAAGAGAAAAAGAGCAATATTATGAAGTGATTTGATTGGATAGCTTTTCAATCAAGCGCGTATGTTGAATACCGCTACGCGTCGTAATGGAACGGGAATACTCGCTAGAAGACTAAAAATTGGTTCTTCGCTAATGTTTAATTAACATAATGCTGTAGTTGTCTGAATACTGTCCATTAGTATGTATCACGTCTATTTAAAAATAATTAAATTAACCAGGTCCGATGGGATACAAAAATATGTTACCCTTCTTATTTCGGGTGCGATGTTCTTGCGTTAAAACTTTTCGTAGGTTTTAACTTTCACAACAGAAACCTGACTTATAAATCACACACAAATATAACATAAGCATGCAAATCTGACAAGAAATATATAGAAAGGGGAACTGATTCACTATATGTTCAGTATTGTTTTGCACAGTGTCTACTTTAACTAGCTCATTTGCTAATGAGAAAATGTAAATTATAAGAATATAAAAATGCTTTCTACTTTGAGCAACCAAACGTTGGCCTATACACTTTAAGCTTGTAAATACAGATTAATTTTCCGTCTCATAATTTAAAAAATGTCCAGAAAATACCGGCAGTGATTTGATATTATTAAGAATAAGATTGAATTGGAGCGTTTAATCAGGGACAATAAGTTGTTTTTTTGTAGACTCAAAGTGTTACACACTATGTTAATATGAAGGGGAGATCGAGTCAAAGAGAACACAGAGTGATGTCCTAAATAATTATAGCCTTCCTAAAATTTGAAAATATTCAGTGAAAAAACAATAGCTATATTTTTTTCGCGGGAGAAAATAATACCGCATATGGTATATTTTGTAGCTAAAAAGAGTAGTAGAACTCTTGAATAACGAGATAATTTGTAGGGAAATTATTTCTGAGAAATTATAAAATAGTTTAAAAACATAAAATCAAAACGAAGGTTATATGTGAAATAATGGAGAGAGTATTCTGTCAATAGATTCATGCCATTAAGTGTGTTTAAAATTATTTAAAAGTTATCAAAAGTTTTATTGTTAATATATGAATTTGAAGGTGTACTTTTAAACAATTACTGCAAAATCTGTGTATACAAAAATTATTTTTAAATGCCATCAAGACAATTTATCTCGCTTAAAATTATCTTTATGAGGTTACATATTGCCTAACCGCCCTCTGTCAATGCCGCAACTGGAATCATCCATAAAAAGCGCGAGGCATTTTTGTTACGTCATATATTTCGTAAATTGTTGGTGACGTAATAATGTTTTTTCGTCAGGAATCCATTTACATTGTGCTGTCGAACTAAAATTGATGGGCTGTTCTTGAATTATGGATTTGGAACATACTGGATTATGATGTGTTTCATTTCCATATTTCATTTGCTAACCCAGATAACTGCACAAATGGAACAATGTTTTAATAATGAGAAGGATTAGATCTACCAGTTTAAAAAATCTCGATCATCAAAAGTGTAGGAGTCATGCCATTCAGGATTTTTGAAGTACAATTCAGGAGTTTCAAAGTAAAAAAATGGGTTCTACGGAACTGGATATAAACTGGCGATGAAGTGATCTTCAGAATGCGAATTTGTCGTGACGTTTATAAAGGTCTATTTCGAAACTCATAGGAATTCTATTCAGCTTAAAAGTAAGTGCAATTTCTAGATCTACCCCATGTGACTCGATGATCTTGTTCAAGTTGTTGCTTATTATTCATTTTGTAAAGTATTCTATCATGCATTGCAACGAAACTGTTACATCTTGTAGATCCAGCTTTGTAAAATAATCATGAAACGACCCCGAGAACAACATGTACATTTTAGAAACATGACACGTGCTTTCTCCCGTTCATCTTCAAATGAAGAGTACTTCGGCAATGGCTACGGAAAATAAACAACAGAGACTTGCCGTAGAGAAATGAAACTTTGCTTTTACAAGAAAATTAGACACTTTAGAGAAAATCTCGAGGGTGACTTTTTTTTAGTTTACAAAAAAGTTTTAATTTTTATTCAACGTGTTTTTATTAATTCATACCAGGCAAAAGTTCATTTCCATTTTTAATGGGACAGACTATAGTGTGGAAGGAGAATTTTAAACAATGAAAATATCTAACTAAACGTATTTTGGATTCATTTCACAGAAAACAATTGACTGGCAAAATGACAGGGCCGGCAAACTGAATTGTCCCAGGTTTTCCCACTGCCTGTACGGACCAATGGAATTTTTAAGAATTTACTACTGTATATAAACAGCATACAGAAAGTTAAGAAATGCTTCAGATAAGAATGGACAACTAAATCAATATAAGATTTTGTGGGCCCTGCATATAAATGCAATAAAGCTAACACTCCCTTCTGTGATCAGGTTGATCTGACCAATGATTAAAGTAACCAAAGCTACATTCACATGCAAATTATATTTTTTATCTTCTCTGCCTTACCTGGCATAATTTCACCAGCTGTATATGTGGCCTTAGTATTGTAGGAGACATCGAGGCTACTGGGCCTAGTTGGATCGGGTTGCACTGATATCTTTAGCTTAGGACCAGACAACACAAAACCAGCTGATATGAAAGCTTTTGGCTGTAGTTCATACACACCCCTGTAACGGGAAACAAAATCATTACCGCTAACATTTCATTCATTTCTATCATTATCAAGTTTTCTGCCAATATTGCAAATGTGAAAATGAAACAAAGAGCAATAATTTTGCCAAAATGATCAAATATTAAATCTTCAACAAATATGCAACAAAGCATTAGCTACTATATTTTTTGTGAAGGTGTGATTCATTGAAGAAAGTAGAAGTTACGCAAAAAATGTGTATGCCAACCAATCAACTGACTTGGTTAACCAAAAGCATTTACAAAATCAAACAATCAGTTTTTTCCTTTCGTAAAGATGTGTTATTTATTAAAGGGTATAAAACTATATCTAATGATTTTGCTATTAAAATTTCTAAATAGTTATATTATATTGTTTTTATAATCTTTTCATTGATTCTTGAAAATGTCTTTTTTTTTAACACACATGAATATTGCATGTAAACAGAATAAAATATTCCGGAAAAAAATATTATCCTGCTATTCTAAAATAGATTTTTAAGTGTTTAATCAATTTAAGCAAATCCAATACAGAACAGGGGCCGTATTCATAAAGAATCTTAAGTTTTAAGGGAACAATTTCCTTAATTGATAGTAGCTGGATTTGTTATTTGAGAAAGGGAATGAACAAATTGTTTGCTAGTCGGCCATTTTATTTCTCCATTTTTATCGCTTAATAACTTTTTCCCTTAAAAGTTAAGGGAGCATATGGGGTACCTTAATATCTAAGGGAAAAATCGACCAAAGTTAAGGAATTTTTACCCTAAGGAGTTTTATGAATAGCAATTAAGGAAATTCTTAAAAACTAAGGGAAATCTTACGTTTTTTAAGGGAAATCTTAGAATCTAAGGGAAATTTTTCCCTTAGGAGCTTTATGAATACGGCCCCAGGTCATTTGGCAACTTACCAGCTTTAGTAGTTATATAAGAAGACTTCCGAAGTCTGCCTATGCAAACAAGCACCCAGGTAGAACCACCAACCTTTTATAAGCTACTATTATTGACTTCTCGCATGAAAAATACTGAGTTTCTGGCGGGATTCAAACTCACATCAGTAAGGGGCAAGTAATTTGAAGTTGGCAATTTTCAAACAACTGGCTAGGGAATTATCAAAACAATTTTATACAAACTGTAGACAGTAAAAAGTGTTACCTGCCACATGATACTGTAAAAATTCCAAAGTCACCTATCCCATCTTTGTTGGTTTTTATGGGTTGAACTGTGGGTATGAGCTGAAATTTTTCAACAAGAGATGTAAGCACAACACTAACTAGTAACACTTTAAGCACAACTAGAGCTTTCACTAAATGTGATTTATAAACTAAAAATGTCTGGAATTTTAAATTTTTCGCCAAATTTTCAACACACGGAAATATCGACTTATACAGTATATGCTTTTTGCCGAATTTTAATCTGGAACAGTCCATACAAAGATGAAGTGATTCCAATACCAGAATACAACTAGAAATGTGTCATCATGCCACGGATGCCCCCGCATGCAGCCAAAATTTCAGATGTTATAATATTTAGTTCCAAATTTGTTTGCACAAATTATTGTTTTCATTTTAAGTTCAAAGCCCTTTAAACTTTTCAGTGTTAACACAAACCATTTTCATACAATATTCAAGGCACTGAAATTATTCAGTCTTAACCTTTTGAAAATAGCATATTTCATATTTGTAGCCAAAATAATGGCTATACATACATTTCCACAAAAGTAAAGTGCTGAAACAAAAAGTTAAAAAAATTTCCAATATTCAAGAAAGATAAGGTTGTCCAAAATCATTAAACCATGACCAAATTCAAACTTAAACTGCTTATTCCCAAGACGTATCTATATTATTTTCAAAGTGAAAGGGACATAACTCTGCCAAAAAATCATCGAACCATGACCAAATTCCAACTTGACCTGCCCATTCCTTTGACATATCCATATGTCAAATTTGAGTTGAATATGTAACACTGTTGGGTAGATAATGAACAGAAACTGTAAATTTCATATTATTTTCAAAGTGAAAGGGGCATTACTCTGCCAAAAATCATTGAACCATGACCAAATTCGAAATTGGCCTGGGCATTCCAGAAACATATCCATATGTCAAATTTGAGTTGAATGTGTTGTACTGTTGGGGAGATAATGAACGGAAAATGAAATTTTCATATTATTTACAAAGAAAAAGGGGCATAACTCTGCCAAAAATCATCGAACCATGACCAAATTCGAACTTTACCTGTATTTTCTCATGACATATCCATATGTCAAATTTGAGTTGAATGTGTTGTACCGTTTGGGAGATAATGAACGTAAACTGAAAATTTCACATTATTTTCAAAGTAAAAGGGGCATTACTCTGCCAAAAATCATCGAACCATGACCAAATTCGAACTAGACCTGTATTTTCTCATGACATATCCATATGTCAAATTTGAGTTGAATATGTTGTACCGTTGGGGAGATAATGACAGAAACTGAAAATTTCATATTATTTTCAAAGTAAAAGGGGCATAACTCTGCCAAAAATCATCGAACCATGACCAAATTCGAACTAGACCTGTATTTTCTCATGACATATCCATATGTCAAATTTGAGTTGAATGTGTTGTACCGTTGGGGAGATAATGAACGGAAACTGAAAATTTCATATTATTTTCAAAGTAAAAGGGGCATAACTCTGCCAAAAATCATTGAACCATGACCAAATTCGAACTTGACCTGTATTTTCTCATGACATATCCATATGTCAAATTTGAGTTGAATGTGTTGTACCTTTTGGGAGATAATGAACGGAAACTGAAAATTTCATATTATTTTCAAAGTAAAAGGGGCATAACTCTGCCAAAAATCATCGAACCATGACCAAATTTGAACTTGACCTGCGCATTCCTTTGATGTATCCATATGTCAAGTTTGAGTTGAATGTGTTGTACCGTTGGGGAGATAATGAATGGAAACTGAAAATTTCATATTATTTTCAAAGTGAAAGGGGCATAATTCTGCCAAAAATCATCGAACCATGACCAAATTCGAACTTGACCTGTATTTTCTCAAGACATATCCATATGTCAAATTTGAGTTGAATGTGTTGTACCTTTGGGGAGATAATGAACGGAAACTGAAAATTTCATATTATTTTCAAAGTAAAAGGGGCATAACTCTGCCAAAAATCATCGAACCATGACCAAATTTGAACTTGACCTGTATTTTCTCATGACATATCCATATGTCAAGTTTGAGTTGAATGTGTTGTATCGTTGGGGAGATAATGAACGGAAACTGAAAATTTCATATTATTTTAAAGTAAAAGGGGCATAACTCTGCCAAAAATCATCGAACCATGACCAAATTCGAACTTGACCTGTATTTTCTCATGACATATCCATATGTCAAATTTGAGTTGAATGTGTGCAACCGTTACTAAGATAATGAACGGAAACTGATGATGACGGAATGACAGAATGACGGAATGACGGAAGGACGGAATGACGGAAGGACGGAATGACGGAAGGACGGAACAGGGTAACACTATATGCCCCGGCCATTACATGGCGGGGGCATAAAAAACTAAACTACCAACAGAATAGAGTCTGGTCAGACTGAATGGATGGACACGCTGGCTTGGCTCTATACTGATAGCAGAGTCAAGTCACTTTTGGTTCCAGCAGGTTTTTTAGGGATACTGGTTGGGGACCACCAAAACCGGACAACCACCAAACCCGGACGGCCCCGAAAATGCTTGATTTAGAATTTTCTTTGTTCAGTGGTTGTTAGTCACTTTTTTATCAACAATAAATGCATGTTTCTTCTAAAATTAAGTAAATAAATTTATTTCAACCTCCGTAAATGGTAATATTTTAATGTCTATTTCAAGAATATTGACGTTGAAATTTGGGGGTCAAGAAAGCAATGCCTGACCTCATATAACACCTCATAATTATTAGCAGAGTAAACAATAAAATATCCAAAACTTCAGCATTTGCTGCTGAAATATTGTGTGTCATGTTGAAAATAACAAGAGGGCCATGATGGCCCAAAGTCGCTCACCTGTATATAGGCCCCTGGAGCGGGGCCAGTTTTAAACCCCAGGGCTTTTATTTGAACAAACTTGGTTGTATATGTATGCATGTATATATATATATATATATATATATATATATATATATATATATGATATATATATATGTATGTATATGTATATATATACATATACATATATATATATATAATTATATATATATATATATATATATAAATATATATACACACACATAATATGTATATATATATATCTATATATATATATCTATATATATATATACATTTATTTATATATATATATATCTATATATTTATATATATATATATTTTATATATATATATATAAATATTAAATATATATGTATATATATAATATGTATATATCTAAAAAAAAAAAGTCAAGCTAATGAATGACCCCCGGGCGGGGCCAATTTTGACCCCAGGGCTTTTATTTGAACAAACTTGGTAGACACCCATGAGAACATGTTTCATGCTAAATATCTTAGCTCTAGCTCTTTGAGTTCTTTAAAAAGAAGATTTTTTAAGTTTTTACTATATGCGCATAGGGAAAATCAATGACCCCCGGGGCGGGGCCAATTTTGACCCCAGGGCTTTTATTTGAACAAACTTGGTAGACACCCATGAAAACATGTTTCATGCTAAATATCTTAGCTCTAGCTCTTTGAGTTCTTTAAAAGAAGATTTTTTAAGTTTTTACAATATGCGCATAGGGAAAATCAATGACCCCCGGGGGCGGGGCCAATTTTGACCCTAGGGCTTTTATTTGAACAAACTTGGTAGACACTCACTAGAAGATGTTTCATGCTTTATATCTAAACACTAGCTAACTGGGTTTTTTCAAAGAAGATTTTTAAGTTTTTGCTATACACAGTCATGTAAGGAAAATCAATGACCCCCGGGGCGGGGCCAATTTTCACCCTGGGGCTTTGATTTGAACAAACTTTGTAGACACTCACTAGAAGATGTTTCATGCTTAATAGCTAAACTCCAGCTATTTGGGTTTTTTTAAAGAAGATTTTTTAAGTTTTTGCTATACACATATAAGGAAAAATCAATGACCCCGGGGCGGAGCCAATTTTGACCCCAGGGCTTTTATTTGAACAAACTTGGTAGACACCCATTAGAACATGTTTCATGCTAAATATCTTAGCTCTAGCTCTTTGAGTTCTTTAAAAGAAGATTTTTTAAGTTTTTACTATATGCATATAGGGAAAATCAATGACCCCCTGGGGCGGGGCCAATTTTGACCCTAGGGCTTTGATTTGAACAAACTTGGTAGGCACTCATTAGAAGATGTTTCATGCCAAATATCTAAGCTCTAGCTCTTACGGTTTTTTAGAAGAAGATTTTTTAAGTTTTTCTTATTGGTTGCCATGGCAACCAGAGTTTTTAATGGAATTTAAATTTTTGAACAACTTTGAAAGGGGTCCACCTAAGGATCATTTCTGTAAAGTTTGGTTGCAATTGGCCATGTAATTTAGGAGGAGATGTTGTTTGAAAAGTTTGACGCCATTTTTTGAAGGACGCACGACGCACGACGGACGCAGAGTGATGACAAAAGCTCACCTTTGAGCACTTCGTGCTCAGGTGAGCTAAAAAAAAGAACACCAAAGCTTTTATCTGAATTAAATCAACGTTATTACATATCTGTCCGGACACATGGTACTGTAGTATGTACAATTTATGTAATTTTGATACCCTCCTTGACGGGCCTCGGATATAAGTGTCAACATAATCAGAACTAAACAAACTAGTTTGTTAGTTAGGAGAAGAACCTAGCTGTACTGTGTCAAATTTTCATACCTCTAGCTTTAAAACTATGAAATTTGTATAGAAAAATGATCAAAAAGTGTCCGGTTGATGGTCCCTGACCAGTATTATCTTTTACTAAATATTTCTAGCATCTTTATATAACACAAGTCAAAATTAAGTTCTAATTCCTCACTTGATATTTCTGATTTCAAACAACTGTAAGTAATATCTTACAACCCGAATATTTGAACATTAATATTTTAACTTAGTTTTTACTTAATATTTTCACTTTAATCTGAATGTTGCTCAATTTACGCACAATTTTGACCAACCTTCAATTTGACGTCCCGCGCCAATTGTAGTCGTACATCAGGAGTTGTGCAAATATTGTCACCTTCATCTAATAACTGGATGGCTAAAGGTTTTGTAAGCTTGCTCTCATTGTATACCAATACTTCCTGTATGATATAACAAAATCCCATTATTCATCAATATATCTCTTGTAATATTTCAATATAATAATATTTATTGGATCCAATCCTATCAATTTAACCTCATTTATATTTTGAGAGTCCAAAAAGTCAATATCCAATGCATATCGTACCCCATATAGCCACATTTTCACTTTTAGACACCAATTATGTTAACATCAAATGCATATTGAACCCTATATTACTAAGCCTCATTTTCATTTTTACAGTCCAAAAATTCATATCAAATCCTTATTGTACTTGAAGTAACAGAAGTCAAAATGTCAAAAAATGGTGGTGTGAAATAAAGAGGTCATTATACTGTGAGAACAATACTGATTCTATTGGACTCAACACACAGCTACAAAACCTATATCAGACTCGGCTAGCTTCATCCAATATAGGTTTGACAGCTGTGTACTTGTCCAATAGAATTCAGTATTGTACTCAACAATTTATAGCCTCACAAATTCACAATATCTCAATACATGTATATCTTATAATATATCAATATATTTCATAATGGGAGCAAATCTTTCATTGAGGTCTCGATGAAGGTTAACTGTTGACCGAAACTAGCAAACACAAAAATTTTAAAACCAATTTTAGAACTATGTATGTAACACTTTATATTGACTTATACTCCACTTGATCTGGAATCATTTATAATGTATCAGACAGTAAAGCACAAATCTCTTTTCATGTATATTCTGAAATGTCAAAATCTAAAGAAGAAAAAAAAAAGGTTCACAAAATATTGGGTTTGAAAACAAAAATATTTCTCTCTTACCTGATCTGTATTATAATGTATAAACTTCATTTTAGCCGGTGGACCAGCTACCATCTCAAGTCTTACATAATCTTTGAGATTTCTCCATGTAATCTGTAACTCTTTCCTACCCAATGTCCCACCTTCAAACACCACGCCTTTAATGACCATTATCTTCATATTCTAATTAAAAAATAGACAGAAATTGCAAATATGATAGTGATGTTTTTTAATTTGCATACCCATCCTCCTTAATTAACCTATATTTATATTAGTAATAAATATTTTTGGCAGGTCATATAGCACCATATAAACAGTTGACTTTTAAAAGTTATATGTCCCCATATAAATTGTCAATTTTTTGTTGTTGCACTATTTTTTATTTGTTTGATTTTTTGGTTATAAGACCCCATATAAAATGTCTTTTTAAAATTATTTTTGACAGGTTATATGACCCCATATAAATTGTTCTAAGCTATATAACATTAGCTGCCAGATAAGGGTTATATTGCACACAACTATTTATACACTGCCATAAAACCTTTCAAAATAGTTACAACTAATTTATAAGACAGCAAAGTCCTTTGAGAAAAAAAATGAAAATTGATCATTAAAATGACAGCAGCCATGTATTATGATTATACAAATATCATGATTATCCAATGAAAAAAATGTTACAAAAGTGCAGATTTATAAATCATAATAATTTACAATATACATGCACTGACCATTGACACACGGATTTCACAGGTTAAACATATATTTACAGAATTTCATCTTCTTGCCATTCATAACTATTTTATTTATATAATTTTCATCGCTAAGTGGTCTACCTTTAAGGTGAAACAACTTACTTTCTCATGCATGACGACTTTACATCTATCAGCCTTTAGTCCATCTCCAGTGATTTTCAAATCTTTGCAAACACTGTCAGAGTCCTGTAAAATAAGAGTAAAATTTTGGTTAATCTTAGCCCTTAAAATACAGAAACAAACAGTAAACAATCTTTGTTACAAGTATACAGCCACTGCACATTCTATCAGTTTGATAAGGATCTATACTGCTTGTTATGAAACAACAAATTTTGTTTAAGAAAAAAAAAGAAATCATGAAAAGTGAAGACCAATTTTAACTGAATATAACTCCCATCTCTTTCATTTATAGTTTAAAGGTACTCATAGAATCAAATACTAGTTATAAAATCATTTTAGTAATATATTCAATTATTGGTCATTTTGTTTTTATTGTGGTTGGGTGAGGCAGGGCCAGTGGTTTAAAATCAGCAGCTTAACACAATCAAATTAAAAGATTTGCAGATTGGTCTGCAAAATGAACATTTAAAGACAGTATTAAATTCTAAGAACTTGAGAAGCAGTATTCAATTCTAAGAACTTGAGAAGCTTTCAAAAGTTAAGATTTTTCATATAATTACTGCATTTATAAATAATTTATTAAAAGCTAAAAATCCATGCACAAAAATTGTTGCAACTGTGTGGGATTTATAACCATACTAACTTACATGTTGTATATCATTTCCATATTTGTCTCTGACTATAACATGTATCTCACTTGATAATGGCTGCCCATACTTTATTAAATTTGATCCAGTTGTACAGTTCAATGACTTAGGTTCACCTGTAACCGTCCTGAAATAAACAAAAGTTTAGTTTTCTACATATCCATGTCATTATTAGTTCTGTGGTTTTTTTTCCTATTAATAATAAGCAAAAATGAGTCATAAAATATACAAATTGTTGTTATCCTGAATTTGGCCGAAATGCTGGTTTTTCCAAGCCCTATGTCCGGTACAAATATTTAGCATTTTAAACATAATGGTACACTACTGCTCTCAATATTACTCAACCTGTTGAGTTTATATTCATTCAAAGATGTACCTGCAAAATGTTGTTTGTACCCCGATCAACCGGAGAAAGTCTGTCAGCTGATGTCCCACTACTCAAAATGACAAAGTTCAACTTCTGTTTCATTTATTTATATTTTAATTTCAGTGTTGTTATTCACATTTCTAGATGTGACATCATTTGATTTTGGTTTTGTTGATTTTTCAGCCACACAAGCACTGAGGTTATTTGGCGACTGTACAAATGAACTTATGACGAAAGACTTCAGAAACACCTTTGTGTATTATTTCAGGCACAGCCTTGTACTCAAGTACATTCACTGTTCTTAAAATCTTAACTGGAACCATTTGGCAAAGGAGGGAGGAGGCCTTTTGACATTTTTTTTCATAATGCCTAGTACGAGATGAATCCAGGCCCCGTGTTCACAAAGAAAAGATCAGGATCAGGATCAAGTGATCCTAATTTTATTTTCATTGTTTAATGTTACCAAAATTAATTATGTTTTGATAGAATTGATAGTAAATATTTAAAAATGTAAACAATTGCTGATTTACAAAGAAATCAAACTATTTTGGGATAAAATTAACAAATAACAAAACAAATACAAAAATATTCGGATCAAAATAAGGATCAATTTTAGGATCAAGATCAATATTTGGATCAACTGTAAAATGCCCGTATCTTGTAAAAATAACAATAAATTTATTCAAAAATTTCATTAATTTGCTAGTGCACATCCAGTTTTATCAAATTAATATTACATATTTAATCTATAAGGATAAAAATGAAGAATATGAGAGTTTTTAAATTTGATCCTGATCTTGATCCTGATCCTTAAGTCTTTGTGAACACGGGGGCTTGTGTTTATGACACTGTGGTAAAGGAAAATGTAGACTTACTTGAGAACAAAACCAAGTTCTATTCCTGAACTTTCCGAGACTGTAACCTGACAATATTTAACCTCTTGTACTGTGTTAGTGGCCTTCACCCCTGGCATTTGACCTTTCAGTAGAAGATCTTTTGGTGGTTTGGCAAGCCAATTTAACTAAAAATAGAATTTTTTTTGCATCAACATAGATATGAATTATATACAACAAATATATAACAATTTGTTTACTTCTCAATTACAACCAATTATTGTTAATCCGCTAGTTAAGAAAGCATGTCAACATCAACAAAGTCTAATACAAGCCGCAAGGCAAGAATTCACTATGTATATCTTTCTCATTATGTATTCAAGCGATTGACGAATCAGAATGCGCATTGTATCTACGGCAGTTTGCATTGACCAATCGGCAACACACTAACATACTGCGGCTATTTGTTGACAATTACACAAAATGGCGACAGATTCCGATTGCATGATTAAAGACACCTGCATATACAAAATTGTTAAAAACTTTCAGAGCACTAATCTGTTAAAATTATGTGAAGATTTGTATCTAATATTTTATTAATACCTTGAATTCTGTAAAGTTAACACGCTGATTATACAAAATTAAATGTCTCAAACATTCTGGCTTGTGGGCAAATAGCTAAATGAAAATTGTAGACAATGACCAGTCTGACTCATTGCCAATGGCAAGTGGCACTGCTCTATCTGCCCTGAATATTGTTACAAACTAAACATACTCACTACATGTATACATTATATGCATGGGTGCAAGTTTTCAGGCATATGCCTGAAGCTCAGGTTTTTTGTGACAAATTTCAACATAATTTTTTTCCTATTAGATGATGTAGGAAAATGATTATGAATAAAGGTTTTCATGTTTTTCCAAGTTTTCAACTTGCACCCATGTTTATGTAAATATTGTGTTTGCTATTAGTATGCATTTATGAAAAGTAGATTTATAGTAGAATTGTTTATTTGAGAGATGTTTCTTATTTCTTTTCTGGTTTGTAAAGTTTCCTCGCTTATAATTCTCCAGATGATGACGCCTAATATGTCTCCCAACTTCTCCCTAAAGTCTCCTCACTTCTCCCTAAATCAGCTGGAGGGAGAAGTCACTTCACCCTAAAATTTTAACCTAGCTCAAGCCCTGTATGCTGAGTTGTTTCAGTTTCAAAGATTATGAGTTAGTCAGTTATAACATTTTATGATGGTACATATTCTATTTCTTTCCTTAATCCATTCCAAGATAACCCTGTAAACTGCTGTCATGTGTTTTAAAACAGCTGTAAGTTTCAATGTTTATAACATCAATATAACCAAAGACTGAGAAGTCAAGAGTGTAAGGTCTTCTCAGACTGCAAGAAACAAAACTAGCTGACATAGCAAGAGTAAGCATGTTTGCTACTTTACCTAAAATACTTTTTATAATAAAATCTAGAACAGCCATGCAGCTAGATGAGACTGGATATTGCAAAAAAAATTTTAAGTTCAAAATTTGGAGCAACCAGGTAAAAAATCAATGCTAGATATATGGGTCTTTAGAGATTCTGATTTTCTCTACTGGACAAATACCTACATTAATAAATTTACTTTGAAAAGTATGTGATGAGTTTCAGATCTAGGATTGTAGGACAGCCCAAGCTATTCTTCTAACAGTTGAGGTTACCAAGCTTGCATGAAACATTGACAATAAAACATTTACCTTAATTTTTGACACAACTTTTTCATCTAACTTTATTTCTTGTTCAGCCTCATCATATAAAGTGAATGCTGAAAAAATATGTTTTATAGTTAGTTAGTAACATTGTGATTATCTGGCAGGACTTCTAAGACTGGTATATGTATCTGACTCCTGCTTGAAAACGATGTCACTTTGTTTGGTAAAGTGTCCATTTTATAACAGTGTTTGGTTAAAGTGAACTATTATAAACAGTAAAACCTGTCCTGTAATACCTAAATAATTATGAAAATAATTATAAAATGAAAGCTTCTGTTTTAATTTTCTATAATTCAAAAGCTTTACAGACTATACATAACGTTTGTTCTGATATATTTTTTTAAAGATCAGTGTTTTATAAAACATTTAATTTGTAATCAAACAATAAAATATTTATTACTGATTTCATCATAATATTACATAGTGCCAGTCATACAATGATAATACTAACTTAGGCCCTGAAGAGTTTCCCCGGCAGGTTTTGTTATCTCCATCCCGTTGGTTATACGCTCTGGTTTAGACATATCTGCTTCCTGGTAGTACAGTTTCAGCTCACACGCCTTCCCACTAGGCATTAGTCTGATCTTCCTTTCAATGGTTTTAATTAATTTATTTCCCTAGAAACATGAACAGTCAAATATTATTTGTAACAAAATTGTATATAAAAAGAGTACAATACACAATAACAATTTTCAGCAGAACCACAACGTTTGGGAAACAAGTTTTTTTCTAGTTTGTTATCTCGTTATCTTTTAAATGCCGATTTTCACACACTTTTTTTGGTCAATATCTCCCAGATTAATCTGCCTTACAACTTTTCTTGATAAATAACCAGTCATTATCAATATCAAAGGGGGAGGCTAGATTTATTGTAAACTCTTATTTTGGTAACAAGTGACACTTTGTTGGATAATAATTGAAGTATAATTACAAAAATCTGTTATGAAACTTAAAAGCAATATATTTTCCATGAATGACTAAAGGAGTTAAGATATCTACCTGAACATCAAATTTGGCTGTTAACAAAAGTTCTGATTTCATCTTTTTCAATAGAATAGGATCTCCTACAAGGGTACCACTGCCTGTACTGGAACATTCCATTGAATAACTGGGTAGATTGGGTGCCCCTACCAACTGAAATATTGAAAAATTCGCTACATCAAAATGACATGAAAAATTATTAGTTAAATTTTTTTGCTATTTCTATTAAACCCTTAATCAGCTCAATTTATGTTATTGATTTGCTCTGTGTCAAATTCAGAACAGTTCATTTGAAGTCTAAGGATTTCAATACAGTTCAACTATTCTCCGCGCTTGACAGTAAAAAAGGGGAATAACTCTTTAAAAACATAAACGTGTGTAAAATTTCAGCCTATTCTCTTTGATAGTTTTGGAGATAGCAACTTGCACACAAAAAAACTTTAAATGTGATGGAGATGCTGATGCTGACACTGACCCAAACGGTGATGTGTATGGTTGCTTTCACTTTTCTTGAAATAGTTGTACAGGCTGGCCTGGTTCCATACTGGTTGTAAAATCTAATCAGTTTTAGTAACAGCAAGATTAGTGTTAGACATCCAGTTATAAGAAAATGAAAATAAGTAGGATTCAATTCAATATATTTCAGAAAATTAAGTAAATTTAATAACTTCAGCACTGCCACATTAAGATATTTGGCAGTATAAGGGATATAAATTTTGTACACACCTTGCACACTACACTCCTGCCTTCAAGACCTGTAGGATTACCCGCTGCATCTTGTAACTGTATCTTAAAGTTAGGTGAGAATCCGTTCACAACCATTTGTTCTTCCTCGGGACTCACATACAACATTGAAGCTGGACCTGTAACATACACTTACTGACATTTATTTATTTTTTTTTTAGTTCTTTAACCTCCTGAATTTCTTAAATGAACTAATCCATCTTCCATTTTTACACTGGTCCATTATTAATTTTATGGGATATCAAGATGGAAATTTAAAGTTGATCAGCCAACAGCATAGAGCCTGGTGAGACTTGAAAAATGTGCAGGCTAGTCTGACTCTATACTGGTGAAAAAGGTTAGTCACTTTCAGTTCCAGCAGTAGAAAGGTTGAATTTATAAACCAGATATTTCCTTAGCCTGCTGGAAATGAGAGTGATTAGCAATTGCCACCAGTTTTAGGCCAGTCCTGCCTTCACACACATGCAGTCTGATCAGCCTTGATAATAATGGTAGCTCAATTTTGTTATTTTGATATTTCAATTCCTTAAACTTTGAATTCAAAGCATGTCAAATCCGATTCAAAAATTTAGCAAGTTATTTAACTTAATGGATCAGACTATATTGTTATTTAAATCTTTTCCAAGTTTGAATTTTGGACTAGACAGAACTATAAGTGTAAGTGGTATCATTCCATCCTTGCAATTTAAGATACACACAAAAGACATCATTTGAAAAATGTACTGAATTGCTCTGTTAATACATAACAAATTCTTGGTAAAATATCCCTATATTAAATTTGACCTCCTTTGTTAGGGGTGAACTCAAAAACATTTATCTGCAATTAATTCCATGTTTTTTTTTGTTTTTGTTTTTTGTTTTTAACGTTGCACCAACACTGTAAAGATCATATGGACATTTTTTTCCAGCTTTAATGGTGGAGGAAGACCTCAGTTGCCCCCCCATGTTTTATTTCAGACACATACGGGCACCAAAGTAGAACCACTGATGTTCTACAAGCTAGCTTCATCACATGAAAGAATCAATAGTCTCCAACTGGATTTGAACACACAATGGTGAGGAGAAAGTGGTCTAAGTCAAGGAGGTTAAACACTTGAAAAGGATGTCATCTCAATTCTATGTAGTGTTTCACAAAAAAATATTTCAACTTCACAAAAATTAGAGCCATTATAGCTATATTAATTAATCAAACACAAGTAAATATCAGTGTTGAATGACCACAATAACATGATCTGATTGGCAAACACTAAAATATATACAGTACCTGGCAACAGTCTCATTTTCAACACCTGAGTGCTCTGTTTCAGCTGTGGAATAGTGATGCTAACATTATAATTCTGAAAAAAAGAAGATATTTCAAAATAAAAGATCAAACTCTTTTCATTAAAACCCATAAACTGCTGGAACTGAAAGTGCTAAGCCTTTGTCATCAGTATAAACCTAGGCCTGCAAGCACATCCTTGCATTGAATAAAGTAATATTGGAGCCTCTGGTGTGCACAATATCATTTTATATTCAACGAGTTCAATAAAATCAGTAATGAACCTGCACTAATATAATATTCTATTTATCACATACCCAAAATTAAGAGTGTTAAAAGTGAAAAAGAATAATTTTTCTCAGTGACGCACCTATAGAATAACGCTGACATAAGCTAGTCACACTAATATTTAGCATGTCTTTACACTATGCTTGCAAAATGTAAATGAGGTGATGTCAAAATATATTCACAGCCGGCAATACCATTTTTCCGGAGCCACAAAAGGGGCACAAGTATGTGATACAAGAGGACCATGATGGCCCTGAGTCGCTCACCAGAAACAACTGCTTTTCAGTGTTGGAAATTATCCATAGTAAATATTTTCTGATATTAAATTTGAGCATAGAATATGTTAAAACAATAATTTGAAGAAACTTTAGCTTAAACAGGGCCAATCAAATAAATATGAGCAAACTTGATATAAGACTACCTAAGAATGCTACAAAGTTTGGTGATCATCTATCAATAATTTCAGCAGGAAATGATGTTCAAAGGTTTTTCATTTTTTGGCTTTAGTGGCCCCTAAAATGGGCCAACCACTTTAATATAAGCAATCTTGATAAAAGACTACCCAAGAATGCTACAGATAAAGTTTTGTGATCATCTATCAATAAGTTCTGTAGTAGAAGATGTTTAAAGGTTTTTCTTTTTTTAGCTCTGTTGACCCCTAGAAGGGGCCAATTGAAATGACATGAGCAAATTCAAGTGTGACAGTCACATGGATGCTACAGACCAAGTTTGAAGTAAATCTGCCCAGCAGTTTCAGAGAAGGAGAGGACGCATGACGATGGACGCCGGAGCATCCCCCTTTGATACAAATAGCTCACCTTGAACCTTCGGTTCTGGTGAGCTAAAAAAGAGGGCCATGATGGCCCTGAGGTCGCTCACCTGTATATAGGCCCCCAGAGCGAGGCCAGTTTAAACCCCAGGGCTTTTATTTGACCAAACTTGGAAGACACCCATTAGAAGATGTTTCATGATGTTAAGTTTTTACTACACACATATAATGAAAAATAATGATTTTCTCCCCCCTTCCCTCACCCCCCATGGCAGGGCCAATTTTAACCCATGAGCTTTAATTTGAACAAACTGGGTAAACACCCATAAGAAGATGTTTCATGCTAATCATTTAAGCTCTAGCTCATTGGGTTTTTTAAAAGAAGATTTTTAAGTTTTTACTGTACACATATAGTTAAAAACAATGACACCCCTGGGGCGGGGCCAGTTTTGACCCCAGGGCTTTAATTTGAACAAACTTTGTAGACACTCACTAGAAGATGTGTCATGCTTAATATCTAAACTCTAGCTATTTGGGTTTTTCAAAGAAGATTTTTAAGTTTTTGCTATACATATATAAGGAAAATCAATGACCCACGGGGAAGGGCCAATTTTGACCCCAGGGCTTTTATCTGAACAAACTTTGTAGACACTTACTAGAAGATGTTTCATGCTTAATATCTAAACTCTAGCTATTTGGGTTTTTTCAAAGAAGATTTTTGAAGTTTTTGCTATATACATATAAGGAAAATCAATGACCCCCCAGGGGCGGGGCCAATTTTGACCTCAGGGCTTTTATTTGGACAAACTTGGTAGACACCCATTAGAACATGTTTCATGCTAAATATCTTTGCTCTAGCTCTTTTGGTTCTTTAAAGAAGATTTTTTTTAAGATTTTACTATATGCATATAGGGAAAATCAATGACCCCTGGGGCGGGGCCAATTTTGACCCCAAGGCTTTTATTTGAACAAACTTGGTAGACACTCATTAGAACATGTTTCATGCTAAAAATCTTAGCTCTAGCTCTTTGGGTTTTTTAAAAGAAGATTTTTTAAGTTTTTACTATATGCATATAGGGAAAATCAATGACCCCCTGGGGCGGGGCAAATTTTGACCCCAGGGCTTTTATTTGAACAAACTTGGTAGACACCCTTTAGATAAATATCTTAGCTCTAGCTCTTTGGGTTTTTTAAAAGAAGATTTTTTAAGATTTTACTATATGCATATAGGGAAAATCAATGACCCCTGGGGCCGGGCCAATTTTGACCCCAGGCTTTTATTTGAACAAACTTGGTAGACACCCTTTAGATAAATATCTTAGCTCTAGCTCTTTGGGTTTTTTAAAAGAAGATTTTTTAAGATTTTACTATATGCATATAGGGAAAATCAATGACCCCTGGGGCCGGGCCAATTTTGACCCCAGGCTTTTATTTGAACAAACTTGGTAGACACTCACTAGAAGATGTTTCATGCCAAATACCTAAGCTCTAGCTCTTTGGGTTTTTTAAAAGAAGATATTTAAGGTTTTTTCTTTCGGTTGCCATGGCAACCAGAGTTCTGCATGGAATTAAATTCTTTGAACAATTTTTAAAGGTGACCACCAAAGGAACATTCCTGTGAAGTTTGGATGAAATTGGCTTAGTGGTTTATGAGGAGATGTCATTTAAAGTAAAAGTTTACGGACGGACAGACGGACGGACGCCGGACGAAAAGCTATCACAAAAGCTCACCCTGTCACTTTGTGACAGGTAAGCTAAAAAGAGCTAGGTAATTTCATTTGAAGTGCTGACAACAGAAATATGCTTAAATTCTAATCTAAGTCCAAAATAGCCTTATTTTTTAAAAAATATTTAAACACTAAGAAACTTGGTTACAAAAATTCTGTGACAAGTATGATGAATTACCATGTGAAATGAAGGAAAAGTTCCGAGTTATATAGAACAAATTGATTATGCCCCACTGTCCAGAATTCAAACTACATAGACATTCTAATGTCAGCATCTGATTGATGGTAAAATATTTCATAAAAATTCACATGTTATTATCCACAAATAAATTACCTTCCCAGAATTCCCCTGTACTTGACCTTTAGCAACCACATCCTTTAATGTGACAATATGTCCCCTCATCACAGCCAGGGAATATTTCACCTCTAATCCACTATGAAAAATAAATATAAAATCCTGACTATTGAAATCATGATTTCCATGCAAAATGTTATTTAACTGCAATACTTCATCAAATTCTCATATCCACAAAAATTATTTATTTTTCTTTATTGCAATACCTCGAGTACAAATATTTCTTAAATTTAATTGCAACACTAACAACAACTGTTGTTGATTTTACTTTTTTCTGATTCTGAAAATTCATCTCATCAAGTAAAACATAGATATCTGATGCATTTGATAATAAATGTATTTGGCACAAACTCTGCAAAACACAAATTCATTACCAAAATTTATGAGATCTATGTAAACAAAATGCAAGCAATAAATATCTATATATGCCTGCATGCCACTTATGTTTATGTTTTATGAACAGCATCAAACTTCATTTGTTTAAAATTGAAAATAGTGTCAAAAACTTTCAATGAAATCTTTTTTAGATAATAAAACTTACATGCAAACTTTAACTATACACAAAGCAAATACTCAACTTTATTTTCTTTAAAAAAAGATGTAGTGTATCAGCATACACTGATTTATTCTTTCAGTTAAAAAATTGCGCATAAAATAACCAAAACAAAAACCATGACAACCATAGATCACTAACGTGACCGTGACCTATTCATGCAAATAATAAATAAAATGGCACAAATGGGAAATATAAATTAAATACAAAGATACAGAGATATAAAAAAATTCTTATACTTTGCCATCAATTAAGAGCCAAGCCAGCAGTCTGAGAACCTCTACTATTAGTGGCATAATTTTTGCATTTTGATATTTGAAATCCTTTACACAAATTCAGCAGATTAAGAGTTTAAACAGGCTATAAAATATATCTTAACCATTCTAGTTGTTAAATCAAGACACCCACTTGCCTTTTCAAGACCTACCATTTAACTTGTTGAATTTGAGTTATCGGTTTGCCAGCACCGAATTTGGAACAGTTTATTCAAAATTTCAGGGACTTCAGAATCAAAATACAAAAATCAAGCTACCAACAGTATAGAGATTGGTTACCGTAAGATCGTACAGATTACAGACTGGCCTTGACCTTTTATACTAGTGGCAAAGGCCAATCACTTGATTCCAATAGTTTATGGGCAAATGAACATAATATAAGCTTCAATATTACAAATAAAGGCAGCAAAATATATTAATAGAAAAGCTTTCAGAACACACACATCACACTATATGATAGCACTAAACAGGCAGTCCAAACTTTCTAGAACTGGGGAAAATGTCATTCTTGTTGGTGATGTAAAGTCCCTGAACTAACCAGTGGCTTTAAGTTTCCATGAACTAACCAGTGGCTTTAAAGTTCCCTGAACTAAGTTTCCCTTAACATACCAATGACTTTGAAGTTTAAATGGACATTTTTTAAAGAATAGGAGAGAAAATTCAATCCATTCAAACTTATAACCTATGATAACATGGAATGGGGTTGAAAATGCAACATTGCAGAAAATAATAAAATAAGCTGGGATAAATAATTTCCTACCTAAATATAAATCATAAAGCAATTCAGACAGTGTGCACAGTAAATATCATACAAAATATACCTGTGTCCCCTATACATAAAACAGTTTAAAGGTAAACAAAAAATATGAATTAATCAATCTTAGCTAAAAGTATTTTCTTACATATAATTTATGTAATATAACTTAGTTTCAATCAAAAGCCTGACGACAAACTTCATCAATACATGTATTTAAAATATTAGAATTATATAACATTTTTAAAAGACTTCTAAAATTGTATGCACCTCTATAGACACAAGCTTATGTCAAATTAAATATGGAAAAACAATTGGTATAAAAATTAATTATCTTGAAGGTTGTGTTTAGTTTTCATTTTAACTTTTGGAACAATGATAAAATGGATTCTTGAAAAAAACAATAATTTTTACAGTGTCAACAAACACAAGTCAATCCATCTTATAACCAGTATTTCAATGTTAACAAATATTAACATTCATTTTTTACAGTTAAAAAATCTATGAAAAATCCATTCTTAACCATGTCATGTACAAATCACCAACATTTTAGAAAATACAATACTTTCATACAGAAGCAAATCCATTTCAAAGCATGTTTCAATTATCATCATCCTTGCATAAACAAATGGCATTACCTGGCTTCAAGTTTAGGATGGAACTCCTGACCAGCAGGGGCTCTAGCTGGGTTACCAAAGCTGTCATGTAGATCTAGGGGAATATTGAAAGGAACACCAACTTTGAATGGACCGTCTAACACTCCCACTGAAAATGTTTCAGCCTCTCCCTCTACGGAAAAAAATATTATCAATTTAGGAACAAGAGGGCCATGACAAACCTAATATTGCTCACCTGAATATAAACACCCTTAATGACAAGAAACAAGAGGGCCATGATGGCCCTGAGGTCGCTCACCTGTATATAGCCCCCCCCCCACCCCGGGCCAATTTTTACCCAAGGGTTTTTTTATTTGAAACAGACTTGGGTAGACACCCATAAGGAAGATGTTTTCATGCTAAACATCTAAGTTCTAGCTCATTGGGTTTTTTAAAAGAAGATTTTTTAAAGTTTTTATTATACACATATAGTTAAAAACAATGACACCCCTGGGGCAGGGCCAGTTTTGACCCCTGGGCTTTTATTTGAACAAACTTTGTAGATATTTACTTAAAGATGTTTCATGTATAATATCTAAACTCAAGCTATTTGGGTTTTTTCAAAGAAGATTTTTAAGTTTTTGCTATACAAATATAAGGAAAATCAATGACCCCCGGGGCAGGGCCAGTTTTGACCCCAGGGCTTTTATTTGAACATACTTGGTAGACACCCATTAGAACATCCCGTCCCTAGATTTGCCACTACTTGCCAGCTATTTCCACTGAAAAGGGTGGCGTTAAGTGTAAAAAAGGTGGAATTAACTGGAAAATGACAAAATTCCACTATTTTTCCACTGTAGTGGCAAAATTGCCACCAAATGCCACTATCCTTTGGTGGCATTTAGGTGGCATTGAGTGGAAATTTGAACATAGACTTTTTTTATGGTGGCAAAAGGGTGGAAATTGGTGAAAAATGAAACTTAGTTTATTTTGAAGGTGGAAAATGAGTGGCTTTTAGTGGAAAAGTGAAACTCTAACTATTTTCTGGGTGGCAAAATAGTGGAAAAAAACTTAGAAAATTTTGTGAATAACTTTTAGTCGAAAAGGGAAACTCTTAACTATTTTCTGGGTTGTATAAAAATTGGGGAAAAAACTGAGAAATCTAATAATTGTGCATTGCAGGGTTTAAGATTTTTTTAAGTCAAAGCTCCAAAACTGAAATAAATCTGTTTATAGTTTGTACTCTACCAAAGCATCAAGTGAAACTTTTTATCAAAAATATAATTTATTGAAGTTGAACAGTTAGAAAAATTTTATCAGAAACTCATATTTCTTAAACATACTAGAATGCCATGAACACAATTCTGATACAAAGTCACTGCCTCACAGTAACGGTATGATAATTCCAGCTGTAAAGTAGCAGGAAAGACACAGAAATTGGACGTAAAATCACTTTTCCAGCGTTTAAAACATATAATTATGATCAGGAAAATTAGAAAAGTTGGGGTTACTTAACTTCCCATTTTTTATGGCAGTACTTTTCTTTAGGGATGTAAAATTGACTTTCAAGTCAAAATGTTTATGTTACATTCTATGCTTGTAAAATAAAATTACGGCTTTAAAGTTGTACTTTGTTCTTTAGTTATAATCTGTACATTAAAATAGTTGAAATGTTCTTTCTATGCCCAGAAAAATGCATATCTCTGCATAAAGTTTGTTGCTTTTCTATGATATTTAATGTCAATCTTGAATAAAGTTTGATTTTGTCTTTTTTCTTCTAATTGACATAATAAATTGTCTCTTCAATATTACTTTAAACTGATATCTGGTGAGTACTAACACTTTTCATGTAATGCTAACAATAATTAAAGTGAAAAATGCAAAGAGCAATAACTCCAAAAGTATGCAAAGAGTTATGGTTCTTAAACACAAGCACATTACTCAAAAAGATCTATATCTGTGAAGTTTTAATTAATATCTCCAGTACTTTTTAAGCTTAATGATCAAGACAAAAATTAAGCATAGAGAAGTAAAAAATGGCAATAAACCCCAAATCATGCAATAAAAAGTTATGGTTCCTTGGCATTGTAACTTCTCAATAAATGAGATTTAGTTATATGTGGAGTTTAAAATTATTGTCTCTAACATCTTTTGTGCTATGCTTTCAGAGGCTTTAAATCTATTGTAAAAATAAATGTGTGAAAAGTAAATAAGTCATATAATGTCTGATAAATTTCTTTACAATCAGGATAAGTAAATACTAGCTAGTAAATACTGCATCCTCTAAGATTTAACAAACACAGCATACATCTCAGATCTGAATAAAACTACTGCCCTCTTATCTAGTAAATCTATGAATGGGGGTTAATAGTTTACTCATGCTGACCAGAATGTTCCATTTGATTATTTTGGAGAGGCAACATTATACATGATTTATGTAGAATTTGTCTTAAAATAGCATGCTAAATTATCTTTCAAAAGCTTATTTCTACTCAATCTATTTAGGTATTAGATATAGTTTATACATTCAAATGAATGTAAATAATAAAATGATGGGTGCTATGGTTTTTGGAAAAATCCCTCACAATTTAAAAATTATAATGGACTGTCCATGCAGTTACACCGGTTGTAAAAAGTTTGAATTCAAAGGAATTGAGGTCAGTTAAAGCTTGCAAACACAAAGGAAATTATTGATATTGTAGCAATTCTGGAGATATTTTGTTTAAAAATGTAAGGGTGCATATTTTTGATTTCTCAAAGAAAACATTTAAAGTCTTATTAGTGTGGTAAATAGAAAGAGAAGTTTTAACTGAAGTGTGAATGTGTAGACAAGAAGATAAACAGCAGAATCATTCCCAGTCAAAGTTTCCAGGTAAACAACTTTTACATACAATAATTATTGTTATTTATGCAGAAACTGTTTAGTTTTTTGACAGTAAAAATATGAAGTGGTATTGTATAAAATCGTGTTTTATATTTGTTTTGTTTGTAACTTGACTAAAAAGAAAGCTGCATGTACAATGTACATATAAAGAATGTAGGAATATAAAAAGAATGTAGGAAATCTTCATCATTTCTTAAATACAATATGTTAGAAATTTTAAGTTTTGAGAAAAAAATTATAGAATTAATCAGTAAGTACAATATCATTATGTACAATATTACATCAAATCAAACTATAATAACCTGAGGTACCTATTACTACAACTTTCATGCTATAAACAATTTTCCTTTGTGTGTCACATGTGGAAGCAGATTAACAGTAACTGATTTATTAGTAAGTTTCATTCCTTCATTGTTGTAATTCAGCTTTCATGGTGCAGTAGATAATTATATAACCATAACTAGACAGTCTAGAAGTAACATGCTATTAGGAGAATGACAGTTCATAACAGAAACAGCATTAAATAAGAATTATTATTTTGCAGACACAAAGCAATGAGGAGCAGCCTGGACAACACATTTGATCTTCAGTGGCTTTACAAAGGTATCTTGTTAATTCAAAGTTATTTTAGAATTAATAGGAAAGAAGTGTCACAGTACCCATAAGAACACTTTTCAGTTCTTGATAAATATAGCTATTAGTCACTATTTACAAACCTACTTTAATTCAAACTCTTTATGACACTTTAATTTGCATTTACATTTTGTTTTACAAATTTTAGAGTTTTTGTACATTTCAGCTTGAAAATTTTATCAAAATATTTATCCTGATGAAGGTTCGTTAAGAACTGAAACTGGAAGATTATTAATTTACTCAACCTGCACTGGTGTTGATGTGTTGTATTTCTTTATTTCTTTCTTATTTTAAAATTTTAGAGTTGTATACATATACCAAGGTCTTATAAAAGGTTTCATTTTCTGTCTTTACATATTGGATATTGATAATCATTTTCTGTCTTTACTTATTTGATATTGTTTATCATATTTTAGGACCAAGTGATGGCAGAACTGAAGCCATATGCCTCAAAAGAGAAAGGTACAGCAAAGCTCTTCAGAATGCTATTCAATATAGAAGAGATTAAAGGCCGCTCATTGTTTGGTATGAGGAAAGGGAACAGAGAGTCTGACGCCAGACCTTCTTGTGCAGACAAGGCAAAACTTAAGTTCTTGGAAGGTAACTAATGAACTGAATGAAAATATCATTTTTGATTCTGCGTATATTTTCTGCCTTGGAGTAAATAAGAAAAAGTCTGATTCTTCCACATCTGCAGTGCTGTTTTTTAAAGTGTTTTAATCATATCTATGCACTCAAATTGAATATAGAAATATCCAATAGTCATATAAAAATGTAAGCTTATGTTTTTAATTATTGTATTAATCATTCATAATTTTTTTTTGTTTTTAGATTGTGCGCTCGAAAAGTTGCCGACAACCTAAGGACTGAACTCAAACCGTCCAGGAATAGCAAGATAAACTGAAGAAAATAAATGGACTAATGTTTTGCTATTTTTTGAGACAATATATAATTTCATATGGAAACATTAAAAAGGATTATTATAAAATTTGTTTGTTTCCAATTTAGGGTACAGGGTGACTTTCAAGCAGTTTCCAGCTATTGCCACCCACAAGGTGGAAAATTTCTGAAAGGGTGAAAATAGGTGCATTTAGTGGAAACTGAATTTGCCACTATCTGGTGGCATAATGGTGGAAAGTGTCTAAAATACTCCACCAATTTTCCACCCTTATGGTGGCAAAAGGTGGAAATAAGTGGCATTTGGTGGAAAATAAGTTTGCCACTCAATGGTGGCATAATGGTGGAAATTTGTCTAAATACTCCACCAATTTTCCACCATTATGGTGGCAATAAGTGGAAACAAGTGGCATCTAGTGGAAAATGAGTTTGCCACCCTAAAGTGGCATAATGGTGGCATAATGGTGAAAGTTTGTCTAAATACTCCACCAATTTTCCACTCATTGGTGGCATTTAGTGTAAAAAAGGTGGAATTAACTGGAAAATTATATAACATCAGTCCTGCTCAAATTTTTCACCATTTTCATGATTTGGGTGGCGTTTTGGTGGCATTATTGGTGGAAAATTGTCTAAATACTCCACCATTGAAAAGGGTGGCATTTTAGTGGCAAATCTAGGGACGGGATGTTTCATGCTAAATATCTTAGCTCTAGCTCTTTGAGTTCTTTAAAAGAAGATTTTTGAAGTTTTTACTATATGCATATAGGGAAAATCAATGACCCCCTGGGGCGGGGCCAATTTTGACCCCAGGGCTTTTATTTGAACAAACTTGGTAGACACTCATTAGAAGATGTTTCATGTCAAATATCTTAGCTCTAGCTCTTTGGGTTCTTTAAAAGAAGAATTTTTTAAGTTTTTACTATATGCATATAGGGAAAATCTATGACCCCCTGGGACGGGGGCCAATTTTGACCCCAGGGCTTTTATTTGAACAAACTTGGTAGACATTCACTAGAAGATGTTTCATGCCAAATATCTAAGCTCTAGCTCTTACGGTTCTTTAAAAGAAGATTTTTTAAGTTTTTACTATATGCATATAGGGAAAATCAATGACCCCCGGGCGGGGCCAATTTTGACCCCAGGGCTTTTATTTGAACAAACTTGGTAGACACTCACTAGAAGATATTCATGGCAAATATCTTAGCTCTAGCTCTTTGGGTTCTTTAAAAGAAGATTTTTTAAGTTTTTACTATATATACATATAGGGAAAATCTATGACCCCCCTGGGGCGGGCCAATTTTGACCTCAGGGCTTTTATTTGAACAAACTTGGTAGACACTCATTAGAACATGTTTCATGCTAAATATCTTAGCTCTAGCTCTTTTGGGTTCTTTAAAAGAAGATTTTTTAAGTTTTTTACTATATGCATATAGGGAAAATCAATGACCCCCTGGGGCGGGACCAATTTTGACCCCAGGGCTTTTATTTGAACAAACTTGGTAGACATTCACTAGAAGATGTTTCATGCCAAATATCTAAGCTCTAGCTTTGACAGTTCTTTAAAAGAAGATTTTTAAGTTTTTACTATATGCATATAGGGAAAATCAATGACCCCCGGGCCGGGCCAATTTTGACCCCAGGGCTTTTATTTGAACAAACTTGGTAGACACTCACTAGAAGATGTTTCATGCCAAATATCTTAGCTCTAGCTCTTTGGGTTTCTTTAAAAGAAGATTTTTTAAGTTTTTACTATATGCACATAGGGAAAATCAATGACCCCCTGGGGCGGGGCCAATTTTGACCCTAAGGCTTTTATTTGAACAAACTTGGTAGACACTCATTAGAAGATTTTTCATGCCAAATATCTAAGCTCTAGCTCTTACGGTTCTTTAAAAGAAGATATTTAAAGATTTTATTTCGGTTGCCATGGCAACCAGAGTTCTGCATGAAATGGAATTCTTTGAACAATCTTGATAGAGCTTCATACAAAGAGTATTCCTGCCAAGTTTCATTAACATTGGCCTTGCGGTATCATAGAAGATGTCCTTAGAATATTTAAAATGTGGACGGACGACAGACGACGGACGCCATTTGGTTGGCCATCCTAAAAGCTCACCTGCACTTTGTGCAAGGTGAGCTAACAAGTAACAGTGTAAACTATAAATGAAAAGCAGATACAAAATTAAAATCTTAAATTGATATCACAAAATTCATACTTTATAAGATATAGTGCATGTGTAAAAAATTACTGGTTGCTACTTCTAACAGAAAACAATGTTACTAATGAAGTCACTGGTTACTATACAAAAATAAATGGTTTCTTTGAAAGGTAGTGCTCAATATGAAATAGTAGATTTACTTGTTGCTATGGAAAGTTAATGTTTGCTATAAAAGTCACTTTTTGCTATATAAAAAGTCAATAGCTGCTATGGAAGTCACAGTTGCTATGGAAATTTAGAGTTTGCTATGAAAAGACAATGGCTGCTGTGTAATCTTTGATTGCTATGGTAGTCAATGGTTGTTATGGAAAGCAAATGCTTGATATGGGAGTCATCAGTTGCTGTGGAAAGTGAACGGTTGCTACAGAAAGTCAATAATTGCCATGAAAAAAAAGGGTTGCTATCATTGTCATTAATTGCTATTTGAAATCACTATTTGCCATGGAAGTCACAAGTTGCTGCAGAAAGTCACCAGTTGCTATGAAATTCAGTGGTTGCTATGGAAGTCAATGGTTACAATAGAGGTAACTGGTTGTTATGTAAAGACAATGGTTGCTATGGCGAGTCATTGGATGATATGGAAAGTCATTCGGTGTTAAAGAAGTCTATGGTTGCTATGGAAAGTCATTTGTTGATATGTATACCACTGGTTCTTCGGAAAGTAACTGGTTGCTATGGAAGTATATGGTTGATATGAAAATTCATTTTGCTATGGAAAGATAAATGTTGCTTTGGAATTCAATGGTTGCTATGGAAAGTCATAGGATGCTATGGAAGTCAATGGTTACTTTGGAAAGTCACTGGTTGCCACAGAAGTCACTAGTTGCTATGGAAAGTTAGTGGTTGTTATGGAAGTCACTGGTTGCTAAGGAAAGTCACTGGATGCTATATAAGCAGGCCTCGACATTAGCGGTGGTCCGTTGGTCCGAGACCACTTGATTTTGGCAAGGACCACCTAATTTTAAAACCCACTGGTCCGTCGGACCACTTGAATTTTCTGGTTGATGCAAGGCTCATTTGGGAGAATGGCGATTTGGTCAAAAACATGTTATATATTATTTTGTTTAAAATCTATGTCCGATGTACATGTATATGGTTCATTAATCTCTGATTAGTTAAAGAAGTTCTTAAGTCATCAATAACTTTCATTTTAAGTCGCTAAAATTTTGTTTATGCAAGTTAAAAGAGTTAAGAGTTTGTGATATAAATTTAGGTACAAAATTCATTCAAATGGTGCTAGTAATTATGCATCGTCTGATAACCACGGCGGAACCATTTACATTTATGTTATGTTACATGTTAATCAACCGTGAGTATCCAATGATGGTAATTATATGATATCGGATAAACTTAAATTTCAGATACTTGAAATAACGGCAGCAAACGAAAGGAACTGGAAAAAACCATCTAGTAATTCTATGCTATTTATCTTTATTTTAACTGTATAACAGTAAGAGATCTATTTCTTCTAGAGTTAAAATTATTTTAAAAGGTTAAAAATACCCAATGTCAAAAATGAATATCAACCAACAAGCAACAGGGAGGTAAAATTCTGTATTATAAATCTGTGAAAAAATAAAATAAGTTATAGTAAATAATAACGTTGTCATTATTTAAATAATTTAGATATTTCCTCGTTTTCAAAGACAAAAATAAGATAATTTATTAGTTCCATTAAAAATGTTAATCTGTAAAAGATGCTATATTATTATCATGATTATAAGACGTACCACGTATCAGCAATGAATATTTGAATAACAGTAAGAAAATAACAGACACAAATGGCTTCACTATTCCCTAACTTGAGTTGGGAGAGAAATCACTTTAATATAAAAGTTAACATAAATAAAAGCTCTGTTGTGTATTCTTGACTGAGATAAAAACAAATAAACAAATAACTCTACGATAAAATACCTACTGACTTGCTCTCCCTTTTCTAATTAGATGAAAAATATGTATCTAAAAATATCTGTTTTCTTTAATACATCTTTGTCATAAAGTTTAAACAATTTTTCTACATTTGCAGTAAAAAGATATAATAATGATAACTGACCACCTGACTTCTGGAAGGACCACCTAACTTTCAAATCTAGTGGTCCGGCGTACCACCTGCTAAAAAAGTTAGTGTCGAGGCCTGATATTAAGTCTATTCAATGGTTGCTATGGAAAGTAACTGAAAGCTATTGAAAGTCATAGGGTGTTAATGAAGTCAATGCTTGTTGTTGAAAGTTTGAGGCTGCTATGTAAGTCACTGGTTACTGTGGAAGTCAAAGGTTGCCATAGAAAGTCAATGGTTGAAGTATTTGTCAGTAGTTTCAACGGAAAGTCAATAGTTATCATGGAAAGGCAATGGTTGCCATAGAATGTCAATGGTTGCTATTGAAAGTCAATGAATGCTATGGAAAGTGATGGGTTGGGTTGATATGAAAGTCTATGGTTGCTATGGAAAGTCACTGATTGCTTTGGATGTCAATGGTTACGATGGAAAATCACTGATAGCTATCGAAAAACATTGTTTGCTATGGAAGTCACTGGTTGCTATGGAAAGTCAATTGTTGAAATATTAGGTACTGGTTGCTATGGAAAATTACTGGTTGCTATGGAAAGTGTATAGTTGCTTTTGAAAGTCCCAAGTTGCTGTAGAAGTCAATAGAGTTGCTATGGGAATTCACTGGTTGCTATGGGAAGTCACATAGAAGGAAAATGTATGTTCAACTGGGGTGGGTTGCTATGGAAAGTCAATGATTGCCATGGAAAGTCAGTGGTTGCTCTACAAAGTCAGTCATAACTATAAAAGTCAGTGGTTAGTATGGAAAGACAATGGTTCCTATGGAAATTCATGGTTGGTATGGAAAGTCAATGGTTGTTATGGATGTCAATAGTTACTATGGAAAGTCACTGGTTGCTATAATAAGTCACATATAAGGAAAAATCTATGTTCCTCTAGGTTGGAGCCAATTTTGGCCCAAAGGCTATGATTTTAATTTTTTTGCAGAAGTCCAACAGACAATATTTCATACCAAATATATGAAATATAGAGCTAAAGCCTCTATTGTGTAAAAGAAGAAGATTTTTTTCCTGTTTTTTTTTACTATATACATATAAGGAAAAGCCATGACCCCCTTAGTGTGGGGCCATTTTTTACCTAAGGGCTATAATTTGAACAAACTTAGTAGAGGTCTACAAGATAATGTTTCTTGTAAAACAAAAGATTTCTTACCAACAACTTGGGATTTCTCCTTTAAAAATAACCAGATTTCTTACCAACAACCTGGGGTTCCTTTATAGATGAACAAAGTTCTAACAACAACTTGGAATTCCCCTTTAAATATAAACAAAATTCTTACCAACCACCTGGAAGTTGATTTTCTCACATGGTAGCTGTTTACCAGCAAACATATTCTCACCACTTTCATTTAAAACTGCTTGTAACTGTAGCGTATAGGATCCTAGATTCTTGATATTTTCTACAAGAAAATACAAAACCAAATCATTGATACTGTTCAAATGATATTTTTGTTTTATTTTTCATTTCAAAACTTTTATATAGTAACAAAGAAATAAATGAATTGTAAGTACCTTTACACTGAGAAAAATTTCTGCAATGCACTAGCTTTCCTTTTAATTTGAAACTTCTAATTGTGCTAATTGGTAGTTTAAGAGATATCAGAAAACCAATGTTTGTTTTAATTGTGTTCATAGGACAAAGATGCCTGCACATGCCAATGTTTTATCAGTCTATGAACGGTCAATGGATTAGCTTAACAGGAGGATAGACAGGGGCAGATGGAGGCTCAATACTTGTGGGTGACATTGGTCTGTTATAATGATTACTTAATAAAAAGAATGTGCTTAGAGGGTTGACTACTGAAATGCTTTTAGTAGGAGAAAAAAAAAGTACATTTATAGAACAAAACTGTTCAGGTTATTAATGTATTTAAAATAGAAGAGCATTGTGTTGCCAATTTGTTTGGTTGTATTATCTTAATACAGAGTTCATCATGTTTATGGTCATATCTTGGTGATAAGTCCACCTAACCTGCTTTCAAGGATAAACCCCCAAAAAACGTCAGACAATTTTTATGAAGAAAAAAAACAAAAACGGAAGGCAATAGCTTACCCATTTTCCTGAACCAGTACGGCCATGTTTTACCATGCTGACTGATATGAGATACAAGTGTCTGTGGTCCATCTGGCGCTGTAAATATACAAAATATAAATTCTCACTTTCAGCAAGATTCCACTTCCAGTTTCTTTTCTAGTTTCTGCAAGTGCCTTAAGTTTTTTTTAAAACCTTTCACTGCCAGGATTTAAAACTATAAAATTGCAATGCATTTTACAGGGACATTTCTTACAGACTTCAAGGAACTACTAAACATCAGATGCATGCAGATTTTACTGCATGTATATGAAATATCTAAGTATATTATCTATACTTGATAATGACTGAATATCCGTTAAAATGATTTTAATACTAATTTCAAACCAAAAATATTTTTTAAAATACCATAAAATTTAATAAATCAAATAAAATATTGTTTTCATATTCAAGTATTGGGTATATGCATCTTGTACATAACAAGATAGAACTTTGAGTGTAATGGGCTAATAATGGTTGGGTTTTACATCTTGTCAACACAGTAAAGGTCTTATGGCGACTTTCCAGCTTTACTGATGGAAGAAGACCTCAGTTACCCCTTTGTAAATTATTTCAGGTATGAACATTCAACAAGCACCTGAGTAAAAGAACTGACATTCTGAAAGCTGGGTGAATAGCTACCTCGTATGAAAGAATCAAGTACCTGGCAGGATTCAAACCAAAGCCTATGAGGGGCAAGAGGTTTTAAGTCAATGATCTTAACAACTCGCCATTGACGCCCCCCTTTAATATGGGTGACAGACTGCAAGGAAACAAATATACACAAATCCCTACACTAAATATTTTAATAAACTGGTCATATATACTTACATGCCCAGATAACTTTCAGTTCCACCAGCAACTTTTTAGAGGCATTGTCTTTCCCTGGTAGTTTACTCACACAGTCACCTTTCTTGTTTAATATTTCAACACGAATATCACCTAAAAAAAAACAAACAGAAATACATTTTTTCCCAGATTTTTTAATCAATATCACTTTACATAGTAAACAAAAAATTTGGTTTCGATTTTACAAACAAGAGGGCCATGATGGCCCTGAGGTCGCTCACCTGTATATAGGCCCCCGGAGCGGGGCCAGTTTAAACCCCAGGGCTTTTATTTGAACAAACTTGGAAGACACTCACTAGAAGATGTTTCACAATGTTAAGTTTTTACTACACACATGTAATGAAAAACAATGATCTCACCCGCCCCCCGTTCCCCCCCCCCCCCCCCCCCCCCCCCGGCAAGGCCAATTTTCACCCCAGGGCTTTTATTTGAACAAACTTTGTAGACATCCATAAGAAGATATTTTCATGCTAAACATCTAAGCTCTAGCTCATTGGGTTTTTTAAAAGAAGATTTTTAAGTTTTTACTACACACATATTGTTAAAAACAATGACACCCCTGGGGTGGGGCCAGTTTTGACCCCAGGGCTTTTATTTCAACAAACTTTGTAGACGTTTACTAGAAGATGTTTTATGCTTAATATCTAAACTCTAGCTATTTAGGTTTTTTCAAAGAAGATTTTTTTAAGTTTTTACTATATGCATATAGGGAAAATCAAGCCCCCCCGGGGCGGGGCCAATTTTGACCCCAGGGCTTTTATTTGAACAAACTTTGTAGACACTCACTAGAAAGATGTTTCATGCATAATATCTAAACTCTAGCTATTTGGGTTTTTTCAAAGAAGATTATTTAAGTTTTTGCTATACACATATAAGGAAAATCAATGACCCCCGGGGCGGGGCCAATTTTGACCCAGGGCTTTTATTTGAACAAACTTGGTAGACACCCATTAGAAGATGTTTCATGCTGAATATCTTAGCTCTAGCTCTTTGAGTTCTTTCAAAAGAAGATTTTGTAAGTTTTTACTATATGCATATAGGGAAAATCAATGACCCCCTGGGCGGGCCAATTTTGACCCCAGGGATTTCATTTGAACAAACTTGGTAGACACTCACTAGAAGATGTTTCATGCTGAATATCTAAACTCTAGCTATTTAGGTTTTTTCAAAGAAGATTTTTTAAGTTTTTACTATATGCATATAGGGAAAATCAAGACCCCCCGGGGCGGGGCCAATTTTGACCCAAGGGCTTTTATTTGAACAAATTTTGTAGACACTCACTAGAAGATGTTTCATGCTTAATATCTAAACTCTAGCTATTTGGGTTTTTTTAAAGAAGATTATTTAAGTTTTTGCTATACACATATAAGGAAAATCAATGACCCCCGGGGCGGGGCCAATTTTGACCCCAGGGCTTTTATTTGAACAAACTTGGTAGACACCCATTAGAAGATGTTTCATGCTAAATATCTTAGCTCTAGCTCTTTGAGTTCTTTCAAAGAAGATTTTGTAAATTTTTACTATATGCATATAGGGAAAATCAATGACCCTCTGAGGCGGGGCCAATTTTGACCCAAGGGCTTTTATTTGAACAAACTTGGTACACACTCATTAGAAGATGTTTCATGCTGAATATCTTAGCTCTAGCTCTTTGGGTTCTTTAAAAGAAGAATTTTTAAGTTTTTACTATATGCATATAGGGAAAATCAAAGACCCCCTGGGGCGGGGCCAATTTTGACCCCAGGGCTTTTATTTGAACAAACTTCCTACACACTCATTAGAAGATGTTTCATGCTGAATATCTTAGTTCTAGCTCTTTGGGTTCTTTAAAAGAAGAATTTTTAAGTTTTTACTATATGCATATAGGGAAAATCAATGACCCCCTGGGGCGGGGCCAATTTTGACCCCAGGGATTTTATTTGAACAAACTTTGTAGACACTCACTAGAAGATGTTTCCTGCCAAATATCTAAGCTCTAGGTCTGAGGGTTTTTTAAAAGAAGATATTTAAAGTTTTTTCTTTCGGTTGCCATGGCAACCAGAGTTCTGCATGGAATTAAATTCTTTGAACAATTATTAAAGGTGACCACCAAAGGAACATTCCTGTTTAGTTTGGATGAAATTGGCTTAGTGGTTTATGAGGAGATGTCATTTAAAGTAAAAGTTTACGGACGGACGCCGGACGAAAAGCGATCACAAAAGCTCACCCTGTCACTTTGTGACAGGTGAGCTAAAAAAAAACCTAAAGAGAAGTTAAGATGCTAAAAACTGATAACAGATTAAGAACATAAATATTACATAATTAAACAAAAAATATGTTGAGTTCTGAGGAATACACTTTTTAACACAAATATCATCCAAATAGCAGAAATATTCAACTGAAATATATACTAGTACAATTGAATTTTTTTGTTTTGTTTCTCAATCAGTAGCAATTTTTTTAATTTTCATGTAAAATGTTTTATTTTGTTTCATTGCATTGTTTTATTACATGTTTTTATTAAAGTGTCAATAAATTTTGAGATATCTTTTATCATCACAAATTGCATTAATAGCTATTTTCCATCAATACTTTTTTGACAAAGTATTATAAATAAATTACCAATTGTCTCCCCTGTTTTTCGTTTCTCATTTTTTGTCACTTTATTCCCTTCTGGCCATGTTATTTGAAGAGAACTAGGTAGCCTGTAATAAAACATACATTGTATGATCATAACAATATCTTAATATAAATCTGGAGATCTTACAGGAATCATTTTAACCCTATCAAATCTAAAACACACGAGAGACTTATACAGTCCAGGCCTCAAGGTTATAAAACTTTCTTCTGAGTTCTGTCTGGAATCTTGAGATTTTCATCTGTAAATGCACATTCTGTGGCAATTTCTGACCATTAAAATACTAGAGATCTGACTTTACGCATACATGATTTATCTATAAACTTGGACTCTATGTTCAGTATTGTAAGCACATACCGGTCATTAGCAGTTACTACATACTGGTAATGTTGTATTATTCTTGTTCAGTTTGAATAAATTTCTTTATAATAATAATGCAACACTCAACTACCCCAAACACCCCCCTTACCCCCATCTCAAGAAAAATAACTAGGCCTTTGACATAATCAAACAGCTGAGATAGTCAAAAAGGTAAATGTTACCAAAATGTCAGGTAATTTAGGGATAACAATATAATAACCTATTGTTTCCTTACCAATGTCACCTATTGTTTCCTTAATAAAGTAACCTAATGTTTCCTCATTAAAACAAACTTACAGGTTTTTTTTAATCAAAATAAGCTATTGTTTCCTCACCAAAATAACCTAATGTTTCCACACCTAATTAACCTTTTATTTCCTCACCCAAATATCCTATTCTTTTCTCATGCAAATAACCTGTGATTTCCTCACTCAAATACCCTATTGATTCCTCACCCAAATACCCTATTGATTCCTCACTCAAATACCCTATTGATTCCTCACCCAAATACCCTATTGATTCCTCACTCAAATACCCTATTGATTCCTCACCCAAATACCCTATTGATTCATCACTCAAATACCCTATTGATTCCTCACCCAAATACCCTATTGATTCCTCACTCAAATACCCTATTGATTCCTCACCCAAATACCCTATTGATTCCTCACCCAAATACCCTATTGATTCCTCACTCAAATACCCTATTGATTCCTCACTCAAATACACTATTGTTTCCTCATTCAAATACCCTATTGATTCCTCACCCAAATACCCTATTGATTCCTCACCCAAATACCCTATTGATTTCCTCACCCAAATACCCTATTGATTTCCTCACCCAAATACCCTATTGATTCCTCACCCAAATACCCTATTGATTCCTCACCCAAATACCCTATTGATTCCTCACCCAAATACCCTATTGATTCCTCACCCAAATACCCTATTGATTCCTCACCCAAATACCCTATTGATTCCTCACTCAAATACCCTATTGATTCCTCACCCAAATAACCTGTGATTTCCTCACTCAAATACCCTATTGATTCCTCACTCAAATACCCTATTGATTCCTCACCCAAATAACCTGTGATTTCCTCACTCAAATACCCTATTGATTCCTCACTCAAATACCCTATTGTTCTGTTAAGTACTTGAAGAATATAAAACAAGACATCGTCTTACTTAGCTTCCTCCTCTTCAATGAACTTTCTAACATTGTGAGGACTTGTTGTTCTATCCAGCTTAGACAATGGTACAATCTTTAACTCACTGTATATTGATCTTGGCTCCTGTAAAATGACAATAATATATATACAATCAATCTTTTACAGACCATGTTATGCAGTGTGAAAATAATGCGCGACTGTGAAAATAATGCAGGAATGTGAAAATAATGCAGGAATTGTGCTTCAGTCACTCAGAATAGTAGCCCAAATTAGCATCATTGCATTTAAATAAATTATTACATCTTTTATTATATCAATTTAAAAGAAAACAAGATTGCATTTGAGAAAAATGCTATGCCACCGCATGGTTCAAATTTCATAGCTGTGCATCAAAGGACAAGAAAGTAGGTCACATCATCAAAATCTAGGTCAAAGTTCAATTTTACAACTAAAACTGTGCACATGGTCAAAATTTCATTGCTATACATCAAAGGACAAGAAAGTAGGTCACTGTCTCCTTGGGCAAGGCATAATTTTGACCCAAGGGTTTAATAACAATCTTGATACAGGTCCACCAAACAACATTTCAAGTCAAATATCTAAGCTATAGCTTTCTCCCATTCAGAACATTTGTTTTATTTTCTGTTTTTAATATGTGTACATAATGAGAATCACTGCCCCCGAACAGTGCCAATTTTTGAAATTTGAACAAGTTTGGTTAAGGACCTATAAATGATATTATATATCAAATATCAAAGCTCTATGCCTTGAACCTTCAGACAAAAATTATTTTTTTTTCACTATATGTACATAATGAAAATCAATGACCCCCGGGGCAGAACCAATTTTGACCCCAGGGCTATAATTTGAACAATCTTGCTAGAGGTTTACTACACAATGTTTCATGCAAAATATCTTAACTCTATCCTTTGTAAATTTAGAGAAGATGATTTTTTAAGTTTTAACTATATACATATAAGATAAACCTATGGCTCCAAGGGGCGGGGCTAATTTTGACAAAAGAGGCAAAATTTGAACAACTTTGGTAGATTACCTTTAGATGATATTATTTAACAAATATTAAAGCTCTAAGCCTTGTACCTTCAGATAATAAGATTTTTTTATTTTTTTAATATATGTATATATTGAAATCAATGACCCCCAGGGCGGGGGTAATTTTGACCCCAGGGCTATAATTTGAACAATCTTGCTAGAGGTTTACAACACAATGTTTCATGCAAGATATCTAACCTCTAGCATTTGTCATTTGCTAGAAGAATTTTTTTAAGTTTTACTATATACATATAAGGATAACCAATGACTCCCGGGGCATGGCCGATTTTGACCCCAGGGCTATAATTTGAACAATCTGGGTAGAGGTCTACCAGACAATGCCTTATGCAAAATATCTAAGCTCTAGACCTTTTGGGTCTTTACAAGAAGATGTTTTAAGTTTTTACTATATGTACATAAAGCAAAAATCAATTGCCCCGGGGCGGGGCCGATTTTGACCCAAGGGCTATAATTTGAACAATCTTGGTAAGGGTCTACCAGATGATGCCTTATGCAAAATATCTAAGCTCTAGGCCTTTTTTCGGTTTTTACAAGAAGGTATTTAAAGTTTTTACTATATGTACATAGTGAATATCAATGACCCCCGGGGGGGGGGGGGCCAATTTTGACCCCAGGGCTATAATTTGAACAATCTTGTTAGAGGTCTACCAGACAATGCCTTATGCAAAATATCTAAGCTCTAGGCCTTTTGGGTCTTTACAAGAAGATTTTTTAAATTTATTCTTATAATTCCTTTTGGTTGCCATGGCAACCAGATTTCTTCATGGAAAGAAATTATTTGAACAACTTTGGAAGCCCTTCACCCAAGGAACAATCCTGCCAAGTTTGGTTGAAATTGGACTAGTAGTTTTTAACAAGAAGATTTTTTAAGTTCACTATATAATCTATATAACACACACACACACACACACACACACACACAGGTGAATCGCTATATGCCACCGCATCCCAGATTGCGGTGGCATAAAAATCATAAAACTATTATATAAACAGAATTATTATCTTCAGGTTTAAATCTTGTGTCTTTTTATTTGCCATATCATTGGAGAACATCTGAGTCATGATCTATAAAAAATGTGGTTATGATCAAAATCCACTAACCTGGAATATTTCGAGATCACCACCTGTGGCATAAACATCCCCTTGATGATCTCCATACAGTAAAATTCTGCTGATAGACCCCAGTAACTGGGGATTAGTTCGTAAAATCTTTACCTACACAGGAAAAAATAGAGGGCAAAAGTGAAATTTAAGTGTAACATAGTGTAGAACATTCCACAATGTGATTGGCCAACAATATAGAGTATGGTCAGGCTATATACAGATATCTTACCTGTGCCGGGTTCAATACTGCAGATATAGAAAAGTCATTATTATCATTATAAAACATATACTGGAAATGATTTATTCTATTAAGATTACAGCAAAAAAATGTATGGACTCAAAGACAAACATGTGGATAATGGAGCTAAATTAATAACAAACTGTGACACATGAATAAGGTCCTACCATATTTTCAACAGAAATCTATGTGACAAAAATCAATTGACATGTATATTTTTAAATCAAAATACTGCACAATGATATATACAATGCTCGTCTATTGGTTTGTTTGTTTGTCAAATTTAAACACAATTAAGTCGTATCTCGGCAGTCAGTCCACATAACCAGCTTTCCTGATAACAAACCAGTAATTACAAAGTTCTTCACAAATAACCAACTAGAAATCCCACTTGATTTCTGAAAAAGCAGTTGGAGACACATGATCATTAGATTCAATGCCACAGAGAAATTTCCCCTAACCCAAGGAATGAACCACTTAACAACACTTGTTTCTTACCATCTGTCCCTGTTTAAACACTTTTCCGTCCCAATCTACCTGCTTGTAGGCACTCCAAGGTGACTGTCTGTGTTTAGGAAGATCTATACGTAATACCTGACCGACATACTGTGTGAAATGTATAGACTTATCATGTAACTCATGACATTCCTTCAGCCAATTACTGAACTCCTTCTCAATACCTGTTCTCCTTTCCTGAAAATATTAAAATTCAAAATTCTTATTTCACTGCTGTATGTATCATACTTTTTTTTTGCATTAACAAAAACAGATAAAATTAAAATCTCTAATTGCTCATTTAAGTACATGGATAAAGTTTTCATACAATCTTAGTTAAGAAGAACAAATGTAACATTAGAAATTTCCTCATAAATAACCAGTCCAAAAATTATCTTATTGACAATGTTTACAACATATTGTGTGCATAAGACATTAATGTCCTTGTACAGATTTGTTCATAAATCAATAAAAAAAATACATTTTGAAAACTGAAATATTGAGGTCAAGGTCATATTTCAATATATCAAAAAAAAAAACAACAAAAAAAACCCCGCTCTAATCTAGAAGTATGCCGTGTCCATATATAAAGGTTTAAGTTCAGAACATAAAGACGACAATGTCAAGGTTATGTTGTCTGTAGAGAGAGAACCAAATTGGAAAAAAAAACATTACGTCCCCCATCTATTTATGTCCAAAATAAAATAAAAATAGGTTTGAACACAGAATGCTTTTCTTATTAGTTAAAAGCAAAAGCTTAATCTTAAACCTTATGAATTTGTGTTAAGGATTTGCCTCATATTGAACTTGGAAGAAATTCATTAAAAGTTTAAAGGATTGCAATACTGACTGTTTGACATTAAGAAAAGGGGCAAAACTCTCTAAATAGGTAACGTAGTCTGAGTCAAAGTTATGGGACCTGTGTCTATCAAGTAAGATAATCATAGAGAACAAGTGTGTGAAGTTAAAACATATTTCCATACGTATCTTAAGATACCAACTTGCATGCAAAACTTAACCAAAGTGTGACAGTGACTTTGATGACTAGGTGCGTTAAAAGAGCTCTCTGTATTCTTCGAAAAAGTAAGCTAAAATTATTATCTATCTACCAACATTAAAAAGAATGGAACTGGCTCTATACTTGTAGCAAAGACAAATCATTTTCTAATCCAGCTGGATAATAATATAATTCGTACCTGTCCATTCACAACACGTGTAAAAGCTGCCAATTTATCTCTCAGTTTAATCTCAAGGTCAATGAAGGTGAGTTTATTTGTGCTAACTTGGAAGTTATCATCTGTCCAAAGTACACCAGATACCCTGGAATATCAATATATCAATGTCATAATTGTGTTTTGTTGGGTAAAAGACATCAGAACTGTATAAAGAAAATAAGTCACAGTTTGGCTTTTTTTCTCTCGTAGTAGATGACTTTACTTGCTTTTTCCATAATTTTTTTCAGCAACAGAAAAGTATCTTAAAAGAATTAAAAAACTTCAAAAGACAATATGGATATTGTCCTCTTTACCAAGTTCAATACTGCCATTAAGTACTGTACAAACGTCAAAAATATTACAAAGGGATTATAGATGCTTTGCTATTTGTTTCAGTATGAAAAACTTACCAGCAGTAAAAATCAGTTTTTGTACATTTTGTTTGAATGTCAAAATGTCTAAACATTTAATTGGAACTACATAAGTTTCAAATGTCAAAAACCTTATAATATTGCAAAAATCAGATGAAACATCTTTGTTTGAATGTCAAAATGTTACTCATCTTTACATTTAGTTGGAACAGCTTTAGTTTTGATTGTCAAAAACCTCACCTATTATAACATTCAGATGGAATAGATTTAGTTTTCTTTGGAGGGCTACACCAATCAAAACTGTCAATGGTGGTATATGGAATCAATCTGCCATTCCAAAAGCACTCAAATATATGTCTCCGACCACGTGCTGGTGTATCAGATATCGCATAGCCATGCTCATCCTCGAATGTTACTTCACCTGAAATATATAGTCCAGACATCGAAAAATATTTTCAGAGTCACTCGTCCTGCAGGATAAGTAGCTTCTAGATCCATTGTGTAGGCAACATTTTTCTACTCGTCCTGCATTGAGTTCTCTTAATTGAGTTCTACTCTTAATTACGGGCAAACAAGTTGAATTTTTTATCTCTGTGGTCCATACCTTATAGTTATTGACTAAGAATTTCTAGAGTCAGAAATAAGTTTACTTTATAACTCTTGACATTTTTTCTCTTTATTCTTTCTGCCTTAAAACTTAAAACAAAATACTTAATGTCTCTACCATGTTAATTGAATGATATATTATGACACTAACCTTGGGTTTTGAACTAACCCACTGCCCTTTTCCATTAAAATATTAACATTCATGTAGCTTAAAAATGATTCTTTACATAAAATTCACATTCCTGCTTTCCTTTTGTAACTTCTTCTTTAATGAAGTTCTTGATTTTAAATTCAAAGCACAGAGAATAAAAATTAAGAAAATGAGAAGCCCAGACTGTCTATCATAAAATAAACATTGAAAGATATCCACTGAGGTCCAAAAACCTAAAATCATTTGAACTTTTTCCATACAACAACTGGGACACTTAAATTTAAAAGATATGCAAAAAATAATAAAGACATATATTAAGAATTAAATTGAAATACACATTTTTGTGCATTCTTAGCCCAGGGCTGCCAACAGCAAATTGCAAAATCAGAGGAAAATACGCCGGGGGTCAAGGGGGCTGCGCAAGCCCCCTTTGCAGGTCCAGGGCAGAGCCCTGGTGGGGGACCAGGGGGCAAAGCCCCAGGAAGCTCCTGGATTCTGATGATTTGGTATGCCCTAAAATCAATTTCCTGGACTCTAAATTTGACAAATATCCGACATTTTGACGCATTTTGACAACAGACAAGAGCGACAATGTAAACTGTAATTTGATTAGTTATTCTAAAATAGAATGCCGGAAAAGACTCGATATGACCAATGAGAAAAGCGCTTACAGACGTACCATAGGCGGCTAGCGTAACGATAAAAGCCGAAGCGTGCCGGTTTTTGGGTACTGTATAAAATATGACGAATGAATTTATTGTCTTTGTCGAATTTACATCGATCTCAAAAGTGACCAAGGAGCTCACGAAATCCGCGGATTTCCGCGGATCCGCGGAAAATCGGCAGCCCTGTTAGCCCCATTTAGGTTAAAAAGAGTTTAAATGCTTTTCTTTTCTTTTTTAGCTCATCTTGCACAATAAATATTATTATTCTGGAAAAATTAAGCAAGTGAAAGATTTGAAATCTTCCACTCAATTAATTGACATAGACCTATATCAAATTGTACTATTTCCAGTCACATCATGTCAAAAAATCGGTCAGTGGAGTTACTTTAAGATAAAAACTTACTTCTGTCATACATATCCACTGGGTAAGTCTCCCTGTCGTACAAGAATGGGTGATATCTCAGCACACCTTCTACCTTAGCTCCCTCTATGATCGCCTTAAATTCAAACGTACTGACGGCACCACGTACAAACAGTGTCTGCATATCGTCATCAATGTCTCGCAAATTCACAGTTCTAGGAATCTCCTGGCTTCTTGAAGACCACAATTTAACCTATGAATACAAAAAATATAAAATAATTTGTCAAAGTTCTTAACCTGTTGAGTTTGTGAAATCAATTTGCTTTGCTTAGGATTTGGAACAGTCCATTTGGAAATCCAGGTATTTCAATTCTTTATTTTATTTATTTATTTATTTATTTGGGTTTAAGTAACACCAACACAGTAAAGGTCACATGGTGACATTCCAGTATTACTAGTGTAGGAAGACCTCAGATGCACTTCTGTGCATTATTTAAGGCACAAACAGGCACCCGAGTAGAATCAATGACGTTCCGTAAGCTAGCTGGATAGCTTCCTCACATGAAAGAATCCGAAAGTCCCTATCAGGATTCGAACCCACAGTGGTGAGGGGCAAGTGGTAGAGATTTCCATACAAAAAATATAACATAAATTGAATTACATACACTGTAGTGCAGGCTGGCCCAAGTATATACAAAAGGCAAAAGCATGTCATTTTTGTTTCAACATGTTAAGGGTTAAAAAAAGAAATTGGCACAAAGACAATTACATACATTAAGTTTTCAATGTTTGGTCATTAAAGTATTACCATTGGTGTTTCTGTACCTTAATACATTGGCAATAGATTAAAGTCCCATTTCTTCTTAAAAGCACATTTACATAACAAAATTAATAATAACGAAACATTAACAAATTGTTTCAGCCCTAAAATGGACAGGTTTCTCATTTCCAATACTTATTACTGGTGTTAAAAAACTAAAATTAAATTACTTTATCTGTAAACATGAGATTGGTTTTGGTTTTACTATCTGGAACACTTAAAATTTATTTTGAAACTATACAACTATACAATAAATCTGGAAGTGTTTTGCAAAAAATTGCTTTTTTGTTTTTGTTTTTTTTTTATGCAGATTTTAACACAGTTACAGTCAGACCCACTAAACTGGCTTTCCTGTATAAAACTATCCAGTAATTTCCAATTTCTCTGCAAGTGACTGACTACTTATCTCATATGATTTCCTTATTAGAAGTAAGAGAAAAATGACCATTAGAGACCATCCGAGATTAATAGTCACTGAAAAATTATGCCTTGTGGTTCAAACCAGCAACCCTGGATCACTAAAAGGATGCTCTCCCTATTGCGCTAAGCTATCAAAATAACTTCTTTCATAATTTTATGTGTATAAAAATTTATGAAATATCATGCAGTATGTCAGTGTTTCTTGAGATATTATGGTATAAATATTAAAGCATATAGCATACCTCTATATCAATGTTTTTAAATGGTGAAGCTCCTCTACTATTGTTATCAGATTCCACGTTGCCAGCAGGTCCATGTAGGTAATAGTGATATATGTGCCTGTAACAAATATATACACATTACACAACTTTTTAAAAGAGATGACCATAATCTTCAGCATGCCCAATGTATCTTTTAAAAGCAGGTACTGTACCCACTAGTTTTGTTTCAAAAGTGGGTGGTAAAGCATTAAAAATGTGTGTACAATTTGCCAGACAAATAAAAACAATTATTTGATTTGTCAAAAAAAGATTGGTTTGTTTACAATTTTTCCACTTATTTCTAACAAAGTTTTTACAAAAAAAATATTTGCCACTGAATTTCAAAATCACAGGTTTAGTTTATAGTAATTACAAATATATGGTACAAAAATCAGGCCAGCCTATGACTTAAGATGAAATATTTTGGAGAAAAAAAATAGACAAAAATTGTAAACAGATCAAGATCAAACAATCACTATGATATATTTCAACAATTACCAAATATTTAAAATAAGACATTGAAAAATGAGGACAGTGTGATACTGATAAGCATCAATATTTACAAAGGATTTTTAAAGTTTACTTGTCATGTGATATCTCAGCTTACAGTTCTCATTTTCATCTGAACAGGGTGAGAAAATAATGGCGGCTGTGGAATGTCCAGGAAGGTTTGTGTTAATATATCCACCAGACATTGATTTGCATATTAATCAGTGCATTATCTAAACATATTTGAAATAGTTATGAGCAAATTTCTTCTGCAACTTAAATAATTCGCTTATTGTCTGATTTCTGCAAAATTTTATCAAATTTATGTGTTTAGTCATAATTCAGTGATGTATTACACACAGGTGCTTTGAAAAAGTGTTTTGGGTTTCAAACTGCTATATCTTGCAGATTTCTGTATAGATGGCAGCTAGGCCACTATATTATTGCCATTATTGTTCATTCCTCATCGGCAATAAATGTGTGTACTTGCACATGGTTTTTGGAAAAATTACATACTCATTGTATTTTCTACATGAGATACACAGGATTGTGCATGACTGAGCATGCTGACCAATATGTGTATCAATTAATTCATATAATGCCTGATCAATATGGTACATAATTTATCCACAAATTATTATTTTGATGAAAAGTGAGCCCCTTAAGCTAGGTTTATTACTTGTTGTGTACACTAGACTACATCTGTAGGTTTGCTGCTTCAGGCATTGTCACATAAATCCTTACAACCTATAAACAATCTAAGCAAACATACGAGAGTTGTCTTGTCCATTCTGATATACCATCTTTCAGATATTGTAGGTGATCTTTACTAATGCCCTGTATAACAACCACGGTAAAATGCTCTCTTATTTTCTCCTCCACTTCAATCATCTGTCGTAAAACCTCGTCCTCCGCAGGAATATGACTAGCATCTCCAAGCTGCAACATATTCATGGACAATTTATTACCCTGAACTTACTGGATTTCTTCAACAGGATTTTTACTTTTATCTGAGGCAACAGTTGTGCCAAGAAAACCACTGATTTTGCTTATACTTTAATATACAGGCTGAAAATACAATTTTTACAGCATTTTTTCTTGTGGTATGGAACGCCAATCTGTTAATGATGGAAACCCTGTTGAATAGACTTGCCCAGAAACAATTCTCATCAATTCAATTTTAGGTATATAAAGATGAAAATTTAAAGTAAGTCAGTCAACAGCTTAGAAATTTTACAGACTGGTCAAACTTTTTGGATGCATAATCAGGGTTCAATAATTCCACTTGTCTCCTGGTATTTATGAGTAGACCTGAAGCATAACAAAAAGTAGTATTTTCAGATTATGGAGTGTCCAGATTACCACTGTACTGTCATGACTCTATTGTACTGCCACGTACCTAATCAATTAATATATGTTTTTGTTTTTTTTAAAGCAGAATTTAATTGAATATTGGTAAGAAAGCTGAACTTGGCAAATATAGACAGGTAAATTTTAAAAAAAAGAATCATTATTTAAATAGAAAAATTAATTCTTTCTTTTTGTGTAGGGCCAAAAATTTGTCAGGCTGCACAAACAAATTCAGACTATTTTACAAAACAGCCATGGTTGCTGGGTAAAGTTACCTTTCTTTTCCTGATAAATCCACTGTAAATATCTTCATTGTTTCTTTCTTTTTTTTCAAACTCCTCCTTAGATATGACCAGTTCATTTACATCCTTTGAACCTTGGGGTCGTGAAATCATCTGAAATGCACATGTTAAAATAACCCTTACACCATTACCTTACTGAACTTGTGAAATGTACTTTTCCTGCCTTGTATAATGACTTCCAGGTATTATGAGTAAATGCTTAACCTACCAGATTTCTATAATAAACTAGATTGAAATTTTTGATTAAAATTTTGGAACCAACCATTATCAATTTTATCGTTTATTGACTAGACAACAATATCAAGTATCACTGGTGGAAAAGACTAACTTCTAGTTCTAGCAGGGTGAGGGTTTTTCACTATAAAAACAACCTGTTCAAGTACAACAGTAAAATTGGTGACAGACATCTATGAATACAGCCATTATGTGAATAATGTTGCCTAATACATGTATACCAGTACTCCAAATAAAAAGTTCCTCCTAAGTTACAATGTTAACTTAAATGATAAATAACATGATAGTGTAGTTTCAATCACATTTGGTATATTCTACAATGATTTAATTTCTGTATCTTTAATTTCTGTATCTATCAGAAACTAAATTCCAGCAAAGAACTTGAGGATGAGCATTAACTGATCATAACTGCAGAACTAACTTTTACCATCCTAAGTATGGATTTCTCATGACAAATTAGATTCCTTAGAGGCTAAGTATATATTTTTTTTTTTGTTGGATTTTACGTCGCACCAACACACAAGAGGTCACATAGCAATGTACCAGTTTCAGTGGTGGAGGAAGACCTTGTTTGCCTATCTGTGCATAATTTCAGGCACAAATTGTAAGCTAGCCAGAATAGACATGACAGAACTATTATACATAAGTATTGAGTCCTTAAAACACACATAATTAGCTAGCGAGAGGTCACCCACAGGTTGATATCATTTGAACTGGAAAGTGTATAATATGTCATTTCTTGAAACTACCCTAATCTAAACAGACTTACCCGCGTAGAGGTTCCGATGAAGAAAATCGCCTGTTTTCCGCCGACACCAAAATAAGAGATATCACTGTTGAGGGATTTCGGCAAGTTCTGGTCAACAAATGATTCGTCCTCATCTATCTCATCTAGTCCACTGAAAATAAACATCATACCATGTAACTTCATCTGTTTAACCCTTAATCTGATGACATTCTTGAAACTGTCTTTTATGAATTTTGGAATTTCATGATTTAAAATCATAAATTTCGTTATTTCATAAATATGCATATTAAATTCATTTACCTCAGAGGTCTTTTTTCTTTACGATTAAACTTCGAGAGTCTGTATATAGCCCAATTGTTTAGCTGACGTGAAGTCATTCCCTTCCCATTGTCAATAACATACACAGTGGCTTCATCAAAATGCTGAAAAACCATCAAATTAATACATAATTTTTACACAAGTTACATAACACATACAGCCTGAGGTTTAAAGGGACTCCACTGAGGTTTGTTGACACGACAGGCCAGGAAATGGTTTTTCTCTCGAGATGTTGGTTTATACAAAGCACTTGTGTGCAAACTCTTATTATTCGCTAGCTTTATTTTCTAGAATAAACATATTCATTGTGCAAAATTACCAAAAGAAGAAAATGCAAACCAGGCTAAACAACTAATACAAGTTTTTTACAATTTCATATACATTATAATTATTTCTATGATGTACATGTTTTATCAAATTTATTCATATATTCAAAAAATGCTTTAAATATCAATTTTAAATCTAATCCAGAATATATTTCTTTTTCATCTTTTTTTCTGTTTTAAATGCCTGAGTTGATCTATTGTATGCTTTTAGATTTCTTGATCTTAATATGAGCACCTTTAAAGCAGAATTTCAGTAACAAAAGTTCTTAGTAATGTTAGGCATAAGGTTCAAGTGTTAATACTCTCAGTACTGAAATATTCTATAAACAAGGATAATAAAGATTTATCCAGTGACAGAATGCTCTACTTTCCTCAGTGCTGGAAATTACAATTAATAATTAAAGCCAAATAGAACAGGGCACGTTGCTCTGCAAAAGTGACTTACCAGCAGTTGATAGTGAACAAGTATTTCAAATTTTAAGTGAATAGCTTTGATCGTTTTTGAAATCTATTCTGAATTTAATAAAAAGGGAAATAATTCAACAAAAATGACTAAGTTAAGTATTATCTGCCCCTTAGATTTTGTTTATGAACAAGTATTACAAGTTTAAAGTGAATGGCTTTGATTAATTCACACCAACACTGTAAAGGTCATATGGAGCTTTTGTGGTGGAGCAAGACCTCAGGTATTCTGGTAAAAAAGGCAGCCAGGTAGAACGACTTTCCGTAAGCTTGTTAGATAGCTTCCTCACATGAAAGGATCCAAAGTCCCTAGCTGGAATCAAATTTCCAGCAGTGAGGGGAATCAAGGGATGGTTTAAAAGCTATGTCCTTAACTACTTGGCCATGGCTGCTTAAAATGTGCAACTTGAAAATTACTGATTATCACACTTACCAGTCTAATCTCTATATTCCTGGGTCCAGAGTTATTTCTTGTGGCAGCTAAAGAATTGTCGATCAATTCTGCAAATGCATATGCTGAAAAAATGAATTTTTAATGTGTTAGTCATTATTCATTTTAAAAAGATGATACTATGCTTTCTAATTTAAAATACATTATTCAAAAGTATAAAGAATCTCTTTATGGTAGATTGTGTTTTGGTAAAACGACAACTTTTATAACAAGATAATTTTTTAATATAAGTCATGTGTTTATGGTTTTAAAGTATCTTAAAATTTAACAGACAATTAGTTTGCACATTTAACCATAAGTCTGACAACAATCATTTTGTTTCTCTAATGAAACAAACCTAAAATTCCTTGATTCTTGCTGTTAAGGATTTACCCTCATTGAAAATTTTTTCTTCTTTTTTCTAATTTCATTTGAAACTTTATCTCTTGAAAGCTGAACACAGGCAAGAAATTCTGTAGTCAAATTTTAATTTCTGTACCCAAATTAATTATTTATTAAGCAAATGGCTAAAACAGCTAATGGTAAGGGTGTAACAGTATACCGTACATGCGGTATACCCTACAGTTTTCACTCGGTATGGTTCACGGTACAACAAATCACCTGTAAGTTACAGGGCGGTAGAGCATTTTAAACCATTTTCAAGGGGAGTAATTATTTCAGTAAAAATTGCAGAAGATGATTTTAAATCAGGGTCAGTGTCTTTTTAGTCAAAATATAGAAGCATTTTGGATTTAAGCTGAAATAATAATCAGGAAAATGTCTTCTTTGACTGCTATTTCAATGTGCTGAATTTATTTTTCTGACATTGCTATTTTTGTAAAAACTGACCATCGGCTGAAACTGCCTTTTTGGAAACACTTTTTGGCAAGCTGAAATTTGTGAATAAAGGAAATCTTTGTTGAATCCAAAATATTGTCAAAACACTGCAATAGGCAGCTAGTTGTGTAGAGTTATGGCTACGATATTTTGTTGGATATTTTCCATACCGATCCATATTGTCAACGGATATATGTAACTGTTAGTAAATACATTATAACCAATATGAATGTTATAAGTGAGTAAAGTAAAATAATTTTTGTGTTCAGCTTATGCTCATTATTACACGTAGTCCGTAATATGTCTCATCCAGTACATCTAACTGCTGAACATTTTAAATTTTTCTCTTAAATCTGAGTAATTTATCCAAAATAGTTATCACCTTCAGAGATCTGCTGAGGACGCGATTTTGCGCCATTGGCGCTAAAATAAATGAGAATGGAGCAGGAAAATCGGCAGCAAAGGGCCATGGGCGCATCTAAAATCTGTGACAGACTTATAAGAAAACAAAACTGTCTGCTGGGTTATTTAGTCATCCAGTCAAAACTGGTACCAACAGCAACATGTTACCCATGCCCCTGTAATTACGCATATTCTTGAGTTTATCAATTCCCCTATAGCTTTTGTCCATGTTATCTACTTACCGCATTTCTTCCCATAATCCCTTTCCCACACAGACTCATTTCTACTACCGTAAATTTAATCCAATAAAACAAACAAACAAATTATACAACTACATTTGTTGTACTTAATATTTAAAATGATTATCGGTAACTGAAAAAAAAGTGTTGCTATTTTAAGAAATGCTGTAAGTTACAGTATAATCTGACAGGTGTACAAGTTGATCACCCCTAAGGTCACTCAAGTTCACGCAAGTTTTGGCTGATGAAGTGTAAAAAAAGATGTCTTTTTCGTCATCAGAATATTTGGCAGGGTGATTAACCAACCAATCAGGGAAACATTGTGCATGACTTTTTTCATGATCAAAAGGTCTGTCGGCAAGTGTCTTTGATGTATGCTGTCTACACAGAGGCATACAAGGGGCAATAAAATTCGTCAATATACAGTGGTAAGGGACATTTGGTGCAAAGTAGGAACAATTAAATGGATAATGCACAGTATAAGACATTACAAGTAAGAACCAGCAATTATGTGAATAAATTTGCATATCAAATTTTTAGCAGCCATTTAAAAAATATTTTGCAATTTGCAATTAATATTAGTTAGAAAGTTACCATGTAGGCATAATTTTTAATTATTGGTTAAGTACTGAATCATAAGTGAACCACTTGTCATAAAATATGATTTAAGTTTTATTACCAGGGAAATTCAATCATCTACAAACTTTTTAACAGTTATTTTGATCAATGTTTACTTATTTTCCCAAGGCCCATACTTTGGTAAAAATGGCCCATCATTTTCAGACCAAGTGGGCCCAGTACTTTCAAATTCTTGGCAGATCTTTGCACCTTACATATGACAAAAAAATGTGATGTTTCTATCACCTGTGCTTCGATATTGAATGATATTTTTATTGTACGTATTTCACTTCTCAAAGCTTCAGAAAATATTAAAGCCTTTAGCCTTTTACTTTAACTATCAAAATGTCAATAAAATACATAATGTTGTTACATCATAATTTTAAATTAATTTTGCATAATACATCTGCGTGAAAATATAAAGTTTAAATGGATTACATATAATTTTCTTTAGTCAACCCGTATCGTGATACATATCGTATCATGGACCCTGTACGTATCGTATTGTGAGGTGAGCTTATTGTTACACCCTTAGCTAATGAAAGAGTGAACCATTTTTGGCACAAGTGTAGCGCTTTGCAAACCCTCATATCCCTGATTTAACTTACGTAGTGGATTTTGTCCTTCTGAAGCGTAGTATTCATACATTCCTCCTTTCACAATGGTGTCATAATGAGGAAGGTAGTTCACCCTTTCTTGAACAGGGGCACATAACTCTTGATCCAATGAACGAAGAATGTATAGTGTATCAGCTTTCTCCACACTACCTGTTGTTGAAAAGACAACAGAATAAAAAAGACAAGAAGCATGGCAATACCATGAAACCAGATTTTCAAACCGGAAACAAATTTCTACTTTTTAGTAACAGTGACGTTGACCCATGGGGACCCAAAAGCAATAATATATTTCTATATACCAAGTTTAATTGTTTGATCACAATATCATATCATTATCTTGATCCTTACTCTAGTTAATGACTTAAATCCTGGCAATAACTATTACTTCTTGTTCACAGTTAACATACATACTATTGACAAGCATTGTTAATTTTTTGCTCTTTATTCTTTAAATAAATGAGCAAATATTAATCGAATATCACTTGTTAAACATGTTTAATTTGCGAAAGACAAGAGAGTAAATGCAAAGGAGTGTCATGTATCATATACAAATTAGAAGATATTGCAAAGATAGGTTACTCAGGACTGACCAATGACAATGGCACTTTTACAAAAATAATGATAAAATAAAACAATGATTAATTTACCCCAGGACTCATCATCTTTTATCTCTTCTCTGTTAGTTGTAGCAATGACAAACTTCTCATTTGACTTTAAACTAAGCTTCTGCAAAATTAACAAACATAATCTGTAAACATAAGCAAAATACATATACAGTTTTAATGAGTAATTTAAACATTTTATTTCTTTCTTTTACAACAAAGGAAACCCCATTCTGATGTCATTTTGACATTTGTAAAAATCATATCTACTATAAGCTATATAGCAGAATGATTTTGTTATGTATACAAAGTCTATTGGTGTCCAAGATTACTGGCATATGAAATACAGTTAAACTTTGTTCGCTCGAACTCGGATCGCTCGAATACCTCCCTTCGCTCGAACTCATCGCCCAGTCCCGGCAAAATTCCTATATAATATATACTGTTCTACCTCGGATCGCTCGAACACCCATCGCTCGAACTCTCGAACCTGATCTCCGGTCCCTTCGGCAGAAATATAGTGTAAATCACACCTTTTCGGTCGAACTCAAACAGACAACAAAAGTTGCGGGTCGACATGTTCTAAATAATTGACAGTCGGCGACACATGTTTTTAACACCTCGTGATCGTGACAAAGGCAATTATGGGTAATTGATACAAAATAAAAGGTGTTTTACCGATTTGTTTGTTATGATACAATTGTTTATTTGCAGTCTTTAGTAACGATAAAAAGAAAGTAACTCCTGAAATGCCCAAAGTAAATAAATAAGTAAATGACGTTTACCCGGAAGGCTTTAATTACAACCGTGGTTCATGTAATGTGAATTGTAACAGTGTAATCTATTTATAGAATGATACTTGTATGTGTGTTTATTTTAGTAAATGACTACAAGTAGATGCTGCTATAAAATGTTGTTTTTTAATATATTATCGATTCATTGTTTAAAATAAAATTCATCCCATAATAAACTTGAACACTGTTCACAGTTTAAATAATGCTCGCCCGATCGAACTCAACCAATTGCAATATTCATAAATATAGATTAACACCGTGCACCGTTAATAGTGTTTCAATTCAATAGGATAAAATTTCTTAATATGACGTATTCGACAAACAGATGTACTAAAAAACAGTTTTATTGACTTATTTATCATTTGACCGATATAAGCTGGAAAACCTTAAGCCTATGTTCTATGTAATTATTGTTCAACCTCGGTTCGCTCGAACTACCGATCGCTTGAACAAATTTGCACAGGCCCTCCGAGTTCGAGCGAACGAAGTTCGACTGTATCTATATAGTAATATTAAATTTGGTTGATACACAGAAAAAAATCCCCTTTAAAGACATTTCATGAAGTAGTGCAAAGGAAGGAAACTTTAAACAAGATAATAGAATTTTCTAACACTTTGCATGATAAGAGAATTTTCTTACGCTTTGCATGATTAAAGGGAAGCATAGTTAAAACAAATGAAAAGGAAATTAGAATAAAATTCTCTGCATTTGTTTCAACTTTCCTTCTTTGCCTAAATTGTAAAAAAATTGCACAACTACCTAAAACAACTTAAAGACAATATGATTATGAACAAAGAAAACATTGAAACTGCAAACAAAAGGATGATATCTTTATTTGTAAAACTGAACCCTTCAACTCTCGTATTATCAGGGAATTTGTGTGAATTGTTTCTATTATAGTACACAAAACTTCAAAACATCAGTGTCACTTTCAATCAAGTGTTTAAGACATATTATCACAGGTAATGGATTCTAAGAAACTGATTAAAATTCAAGTACAATTGTCTGGATTGATTAAAGTTCAAGTGATACAATTGTCTGGATTAAATCATTTACTGACTTGATTATCTCACTGCATTTTGTCACATCTTTATCTGAATATTGACAGAAATAATCGGTGCTGCAGATAAGATTTCAGTTATTGATGCAAACTGGAAGCACTGATCTCACCCATGCCCCAATATTGCACAGAAACTTAGGTTTGCTCTCTTGCACTGAACTTTATTCCAAATATCTTTTTTTTTGTAAATCTTTTAAGTGTAATGCTTTCTTTTAAGCAATGCAGTAAAACATTCTGGCCAAGAATATGTATCAAAACATTCTTTTCCATAGTTCTTTTTTAACTTAAAAATTGTAGCTAATTAACATATCCGAAAACTGAACATTTTCAGCTTGTCACATATTTCCGCGAGATGGATCTGCTCGATATTAGCGGTTTCAAAGTGCATAAAAACGTAAGATTGAGGTTGCATATTGTTTATACACCGCACTTATTGATAACGGATGATATAATTTTAGTTATGCAAAGACAAAGGGTTCCTAATCAGCTGAATTTGAAAATCAATTTTCTGCAATATTGAATTTAGAAAAAATATGGCTTGTAAAAGCGAAATAAAAACCTTTATTAGGCGTTCCTTTAATGTCTTAAAATTTGAAACTCCTCCTATTGATACTTTTACTTCTGGCGAGTCTTTATCTCGGCGATCATACACAAAAACAAAGCTGTCAGATTCATCAGACGCTCCGTCGGCTTTGTGTGCCGCCATTTTGTTGACGGTGCGTTAGTAAACACATTCCCTTGTGAACAATCCTAAAAATACTGTGCGTCGTCTGGGATGCTTTGTGTACTGTTATTTTTTAAAATGTTTGTTCATCTAATAAATTTGGTGAAAGAAGACTTGAATTAAGATTAGAATCTAAATTAACTAATTTTCTTCTAATTTACCTTTTTAGGACATGTACTACGGATACATTTCTTCTAGATATTAATTTGTTTCAGTGTATAATTATTTTAAGTTATTTGAAAATATTTTATGATAACTCGGAATTGTTAAATTAAATAACTCATTGCAATATGAAAAGGGTTACGGCCTATGAGTATGTTAATAGCCGTGAATATAAAGTGTTTTTACTTATCAATGTTAAGCCTTTTTAAAACAAACAACGGGCGTGACGTAGTAATAAGTCAAGTCAAGTCAAAAGATTTATTCAGTAAATAAAGGCCTACGGCTCAAAATACATATCGTGAAAATGTAATATTGAACATTATAAGGTTGTGTCGTTTACAAGTTTTGATAAATTCTCGTTACATTTGATGAAAGAAATTCATAAAAGTTATGTAACATGTGTAATTCGGTTCCAGTTTAGTTAATAGGTATTTCTAATTTCTAAATATTTGTTATGTACAATGAAAAAAGCATGATATTCACAGTCAATGTGGTAATTAAGTTAAGTTATTTTCAGGACAAAAGTTGCAATTTTAAGCGTTCTTGAAAAGGTATATTCAAATGCCTACTGATTTCAGCATTAAGTTTGTGACTTGAACATCGGAATTAAGCATAAGCTTTTTTTATGTTTTACAAGGATTTCTATTAGAAGATAGCGTTCTACGTTTAATAAGCATTTAAAATAACAATAATGGTAACATTTACTGGCATTGTTAATATTATCATGCCAATTTTAAGTATAACAATCTATTATGCAGTTGTTTAAAACTGTTAACAAAAATATTCACATCTACTATTTCTTGAGAAATCCAGATGTAACCAAATGCATATCTGTACAGAAGTGTTCGTATTTTGCTAGCCCAACAAGTTCTACCAGCTTTATCTAGTGACTTTTAAAGGGAGACACAGGTAAAATGTTCATTGCTTCGTTTTGAATTTTTCCTACATTACTCTGCAAATGTCCTCAAAGTAAATACACTACACAGTCACAGGAATAAAGTGGTGATTTCCTAACTTGACCCACGTGGGTCAGGTTGGAGCGTTAAGATTTCACAATAGTTCTCACAGTGAACCCTGGAAACGTTAAAGAACATGTCAAATGGATGGCTTAGATATGTTTCAATCATACAAAATCCACAATATCTGTTATTGTGATTCAAGTCACATTACTTGTTTAAAAACTACTCGGTGATTCTGTCGGCGTCTAAATTTCGTTTAGCAGTGTGTAGATGTATTAACTCTTTAAACCCAAAATATATAGAATTTATACAGAAATTCATGCTGGGACTTAAAAGAGTGTCATTTTAGCGTGATTTGAGTACATAAGATCATTTTCATATTGTTGTCATTAATTTGTCAGAGTACCCCTGTAGCATTAAATAACATTGTTTTGGGTAACGGCATGGTGGCATAACTAATAGTTTACATTAATATTGGATGCAATTTGTAAAATAAGTAATACAAAGTGGGAGTCTACCACATTCATCTAACACCATGCTTGTATTTGTTGTTGATTTTTTTCGGACATTGTAGTTTATTACAATAAAGTAAAAAAAATATCATTTTTATTAATAATCTTCAAGATAATAAATATTTCTTTGTAACGACAGTCCCCTGGCCAGACAGTAAAAAACACATGATTTTGAAAATAGTATAAAAAGTTATCCTTATTTCCCTGAAATATTGTTATGGCAACCCTAATTTACTTAAAAAAGCAAACATCGCTTTTTATGGTAAACATTTTTTTTTACCTTTTTTACTCAATCAAATCGAGTCTGCAATTTTTTTTATGATAATGTTGTTTCACTGCTTGGGATCATCCCTTTTCCAGATTCTTTGACTTAAACACATATTTTCCATTTGTCGTGAAATTAAAACTTCAGGCGTGGAAAATTTCTGACAATAAGCCAAAATGAAATCATTTGGTATTTCTGAACCACTGCATGGTAAAGACAAATAAGGAGGTTTATAGTTACCGATCCCCCATACCCCTGAGACTACTGCTTGTGCTTCTTCTGCCGAGTACTGCTAGCGCTGATGTTACTACATTCAAAAACTTAATTGTTTTCTTTCAAGGGAATGACAATAAGGGTGATGTGATTGCGAAACATTTCGAGTTTGAAGCTTTTAAGACTGGGAACAAGAAGAGAATGAAAGGTGGTTGTTAGTGATGTTTTCCGGAGATTTGGCACGTGAATAACGGTGTCTAGATTCATGCTTTTAAATATTCATGAACATTTGAGAAAGGCTTTGTGTTATCTACGGTATTTTCTGACGTAACCCTCTTTTATTATGCCCCCACTTCAAAGAAGAGGGGGTATATTGCTTTGCATTTGTCGGTCCGTAGACCAAATGGTTTCCGAGTGATAACTAAAGAACCCTTAGGCCTAGGAACTTCAAACTTGGTATGGTGATTGGTCATGACCAGTAGATGACCCCTATTGATTTTGGGGTCAAGGGGTCAAAGGTCAAGGTCACATTGACCTTGTAAGTAAAAACGGTTTCCAATCAATAACTAAAGAACACTTAGGCCTAGGAACTTCAAACTTGGTATGGTGATTGGTCATGACCAGCAGATGACCCCTATTGATTTTTGGGTCAATGGGTCAAAGGTCAAGGTCACATTGACCTTGTAGGTAAAAACGGATTCCGATCAATAACTTAAGAACGCTTAGGTCTAGGAACTTCAAACTTGGTATGGTGATTGGTCATGACCAGCAGATGACCCCTATTGATGTTTGGGTCAAGGGGTCAAATGTCAAGGTCACATTGACCTTGTAAGTAAAAACGGTTTCCGATCAATAACTAAAGAACGCTTAGGCCTAGGAACTTCAAACTTGGTATGATGATTGATCATGACCAGCAGATGACCCCTATTGATTTTGGGGTCAAGGGGTCAAAGGTCAAGGTCACATTGACCTTGTAGGTAGAACGGTTTCCGATCAATAACTAAAGAACCCTAAGGCCTAGGAACTTCAAACTTGGTATGATGATTGGTCATGACCAGCAGATGACCCCTATTGATTTTGGGGTCAAGGGGTCAAAGGTCAAGGTCACATTGACCTTGTAAGTAAAAACGGTTTCCGATCAATAACTAAAGAACGCTTAGGCCTAGGAACTTCAAACTTGGTATGGTGATTGGTCATGACCAGCAGATGACCCCTATTGATTTTGGGGTCAAGGGGTCAAAGGTCAAAGTCACATTGACCTTGTAGGTAAGAACGGTTTCCGATCAATAACTAAAGAACGCTTAGGCCTAGGAACTTCAAACTTGGTATGATGATTTGTCATGACCAGTAGATGACCCCTCTTGATTTTGGGGTCAAGGGGTCAATGTCATATTGACATTGTACTTAATGACGGGTTCTGACCAATAACTCAAGTTGCCTTGGTTGATATTTTATATTAAACTAAAAATGCTTTTGGTATACACATTTGAAGGTCTTATGTAATATAACAACTTGGCTGTCATTAATGAGGCCTACATGATTCATTAAATTTAGGCATATATTATTTGGTAAGATTTGTAATAACTTAAATTGCTGCACACAACCTATGGGGTCACAATAATTATTACCTTGTGACTGGTCATGACCAGTAGATACTAGATAACCCTTATTATTTGTTTGTTCACTGGGTCAGAAGTCATGCACTTGACTAATTGGCTAGCGATAGGGGGCATACATGTTTTACAAACATATCTTGTTAATTTGAAATTTAAAGGTTGTAAAGGTTTTAAGGTTTAAGGACCCTAATGAATTGGTAAATAGACGTCAGAAAATACCGTATATAACACAAAACCTTTCTCACAAGCATTCTTTCGACATTTGTTGTAATACTATTTTAGTACATTTTCCACCGACACATCCATAAAAATGGACTTGATGAACATTTGTATGTGCAATGTCAGAATGTCGACTGTACTCTCTTCTCGAAGAAATATGGAATGCTTTATTTTGCTGTGTATACATAGCTTGGTCCAAATAATTATAAAATGTTCCGCTCTTCAGTACCGCTCAATACAGTGCTGGGGGCACGGAGGATGTTGCACTCTTTCACTATCCCTGATGTACCGACTCAATCAAACCGAGTGTTTCACTTTTTCCAGATATTGATGTTTTCATGTTACATGTAGACACATCGCTTTGGATCAATTTTGTACCAGGTGGATGGCAATGACAAACATATACATGCAGAAGCTAGCATATCACTTGGTAAATCTAAAAAAAACTACAGTGCATAAAGTTGAAATTACTGAAGTAGGTATATATATATATATATATATATATATATATATATATATATATATATATATATATATATATATATATATATATATATATATATATATATATATATATATATATATATATATATATATTATATATATATATATATATATTATATATATATATTATAGTCGTTTTGCAAACAGGAGCACAGGCTGGAACCCAAACTAGTAAAATCCAAATACAAGTACATTTCAATACGTGCAAGTGGAGATTTTGATTTAAACAATATTTATTTCTTCATCGATATTTACAGACAAAATTACAATATAACAAGAATGTCGAACGACACATATACCCCCTTTCTAGCCATTGACTCACATAATTGGTAATTTTATTACAGAAACTTGCCAAAAATGGGTACATGGAAGTGTTCAATTATGGAAAAATCAACGGAAACCATTTTGACATTTAAGGCCCATGTGACATTGACCTTTGACCTAATGACCCCTAAATCAATAGAGGTCATCTAATACTTATGACCAATAACTAGGTGAAATATGAAGACTTTGTGATGAATACTTTTCAAGATAATCAGCGGAAACCCTTTTGACATTTA